AATTCCCTCCTGTTCGGACACGTCGCTAGTTTCCTCTCACTGAGAGGCACCGAGTGAGACTCCAGCAAAGAGCAGCAGCTCACTGCCCCATCCCATCCCACGTGTCAGGGTAGTACAGGAGTCATCAGTCAATGTTCAACCTCCCTCCTGTGAACTCAATGCAAATTCTTGAGTGAGCGTAGGAGGGGAAAGGCAAGGAAGGAAGTCGATGGGGATGAGAGTTGGGGCACAGACAGAAACAGCTTTCAGTCTTGGGAGGTGGGCACAGAGTCTTACCCAATGTTACATCGACTTCCACTTACACCGGTCAGTGTGTGTTGCAACAATCGAGACACCGGCTCCGACACAGGAGTCTCTGTGTTCAGAAGCATTTAAGATTTCCCAGAAGAGGAAAGTGTCCTTGCCTTCGGGGGGATTCATATCACATTTTTCATTGGACCTGCTTTAGGATTGACTGAGGTCAAAAAGTCATTCACAGTAGCACCTAAGGGGTGGGGGGTTGGATGAGGGGCGCGTGGGGGGGGGGGGTTGGGCGAGGGGGGGGGGGCGGTGGAGAAGGGGGAGGGAGGGGGGGATAGAGAGAGAGTGGAGCTAGGAAACAAAGATGCAACACAAGCCGACTTGGAAACCCTAACGGAGAGTTAGTTCAGTTCGGATAAGATGGAATTAAATGTAAAAAATCTTCCACAATCTTTTTCCTCACTTAAATATAGCTCTCAGGATTGCTTACATCAGCTGCACAACACTGCTGTTCTCTGTATAATTAATAACTAATATTTTGAATGTCAGGATGCATGTTCCTCATTCTTTTCAAATCAAAGAGGAAAGTACATGAATAAATCACTCGCTGACGACCTCAGACAGTTCTTCAGAGAAGAAAAAAAATCTCCATTAGTTTTGCCCTGCGGCTAAAGTCCTGTCTGCTAGAACGTGCCTTGCACTCAGCAATGTGCCAAAACAGTGGCTGGAGAAAAAAAAACATCTTCCAGCTCAATCCTGCGATGCTTTGTATAATCATGGGCTCTGGTGATTATCTCTGAGCTTTTGCGTGTTTGGCTCACCCAACCTGGGTGGCGGGTCTTGTATCTACCTTACGTGGTGGAACTGTGGTGGGGAGGGGCGGAGGGGGGAAGGGGAAAGGGGTGGGTGGTGGGGGGGGGGTAGGGGGGAGTGTGGGGGGAAGAGCGAAGGGGGCAGAGAGAGTTAGAGAGAGAGAAAGAGAGAAAGAGAGAGAGAGAGATAACTGCGGAGCTAAACCTTTCAAATGCGAACCTGTGTCAGCCTGTTCCTGAAACCTGAAACTCCCCCAACGAACGAGCGGCAGCAGTGATCAGCCAAACCCAGGGACCTACGTACATACGTGACACCTCTGCACCTGTAGTTTACACGTTGGTTTGTTCGTCTGTCCAGCCAGCGCGTCGCTCGGTGACTGAACATACTTACAGCCAAGAGACCCTCCGCCACCGGCTCCGAGTCTAAACACTTAGCCGGTGAAGGTTTCTCTCGATGGCTCCCTGCACAGGGGAGGAAGGCAACACAATGCACTGCATTCCTCAGCCGTGACGTACGGCTTCTCTGTACCAGACGCTCCACACGGCCATCATCTCAGGGCCATAAACAACATTGCGCGCACAGCAAAAAACGCTTTGCTTATAAACCCAGTCACTGCTGCACCGGGGTCTGCCTTCTGCACGCTCACCCGGGGTTACCCACATGTCCGAATGCGCTATTCCAGTCTGAGATGATTTAAATCACTCTCTGCCTCCTCTCTTTCTCTCTCTCTCGCTATCCCTCTCTCCTCTCTCTCCATCTCTACTCTCTCTCTCTCCATCTCTCCTCCCTCCCTCTTTCTGGATCTTTGTAAAGCATTACGTTATGTGTAAGCGACGGCAGCCAGGATGGCGGAATGTGAACTGCGTGGACCTTACAGTGCAGCTGTTCGGCCAGCCAATCGATCAGACGGTTTGGGGGAATCAAAACTCCACACTAGGCCTTGGAGCTCACAGTCTGGGCTGACGCTCAAGCGCAATGCTGGGTGGGGTTGTGGGGGTTGGGGAAAGTCGGGTGAGACTGCATTGTCAGAGGTGTCGTCCTTTTTACTGAGACACTAAACCAAGCTGTGACTGTCCAGGTGGGCTCTCCAGAGACTGGAGTATCTCCTAGTGTCAAACCTCCTGATAAACCAGCCATTCACCTCATGGCTCTTGTGGGACTTGCTGCACTTGCACAAAAATAGTCACTACACTTGACAGGAATGACGGCGGAGCTCAGACAACAAGCAATATGAGGTTCTATAAAAAGGAGCCATCCCTCTCCCAGCAGACCCCAATCGGCACACTCAAACACATCTCCTTCTTTTGTCAGAAGGCTCATCTGAACAATATCTATGGTTTATAAATATCGGATTCATTGATTTATATAATGTTTTTAAAAATCTCACAAAATGAATCATCTGTTTGTGTTTCTCTTTGCGTCACCCCAGTCTCCCATTTCCCCCGGAGAGAAAACAATTCTGGAGATGGAATAGCTGCTGAACACACAGCGCTGTGGGTCTGTCTATCTATCCATCTGTGTGTGTGTGTGTGTGTGTGTCTATCTCTCCGCTGTGCAGAGGGGAGAGAGAGAGAATCTTTGTCCCGTGCATCTTACAAAAGATTGAAATTCAGATTGTGTGAGCAGGCAGGCTGGGTTCTCTGTTACCCACCGCTGATTTCCGAAGACCACTTTGTTACTGAGAGGCAACGGTGCCCGAGCTTTAAGCCGCAAATGAATTTGGCCGAGTTAAAAAAAAAGCCTAATATATTAAAAAAAATTCTACTCATCTCCCTGCTCCCCGCGCTGTGTGACTGTGCATGCAGATTAGCAGCCCACACAAGGGCTGAGAACGGTCACTGCTCATTTCACCGCTGCCTTTCTCTCGGCTTCGACTCCCTGGTGTGATAGTCTTTTCACACTCCCTCTCAGGCCCGTTCACAATGTACAAACTAGTCACAAACAGAGCGCAGTGATTGTGTTCCCTCGTACACCCACTGAGCGGGCTGTTTTTTTTCTCTAAAAAATGAATCCCTCCCATTAAATCACAATGATTTATAAGTCGCGCTGAAGACAATTGTTATTTCACATATATAAGACATCTTGTGCTAAACATTTTCCTCCTGAACTGCCCGGACGGATTAGAACCCAGGCCACTATACACAATTAACCTCTTTTCAGAGCCGTCCTGACTGACCCACGACTAAAATGAAGGTTAGAACAAGACTTTAGTTTGCTCTCGAGGACAGGGCGGGATAAAGGGAGAGCTTCTCTCTCTCTGCTGCTGTATATTTCCATAATTCTCCTTTTATGACATTCAGCACTAAGCAGAAACAGACACAAGTGGCCGTCTCACAATTTACAAGCACTTCGGGTCCCTGCGGGGTTAAGCCTCAAGCCACACAGACAGGCGAAAGCTATACGCAAATAATAATAATAATAATCCTGGCATTCGATACAGCGCTTATCACATCTTTGAGACGTCTCAAAGCACTTCACAGGATACACTGTAAAGCGAATTGACTGTATATTTTGTGGGCGAAACGCGGCAGCCAATTGTGCACAACAGCGTCTCCACAAACAGCCGTGGATTGAGTGACCAAACTTATTATTTTTTTAAATGGGGAGGGATTATTACCCCCGGAAAGCGATCCCCCAATCGACTAACAACCAGGTTCCTACTTACTGCTGGGTGAACAGAGAGGTGTGTGGAGTGAGGAAATTGGCCTAAGGTTTCGCTATACACTGTGCCGGGAACAAGCCAGTTTGGAGTTTTAATGATCCCCTAGTATTATATAAGGCAGGATTGTCTGGCCTGGGGGACAGGCTGGCACAATAGTCAGGGCTGTAGTCAGGGCTCAGGCACTACATTGTCAGAGGTGCCATCCACAGGTTGAGATGCTAAACTGAGGTCCCATCTGTGGGAGATGGACACGAAACGTCTCGTCGCAAAATCACTGGGAAAGAAAAGGGAGTTTGTGACAGAGTTCTGGCCAATAATCCTCCCGACAGTGCAGTTGGGCTGTTCACCTCGCTGTCGGTAGCGCTGCGAGACGTTACCCTGCGTGAGAGGCGCTATATGCACGAATGTGGTTGTATCTGTCCCCTTTTCAACTTTCTCTTAAACCAGAACCTCGCTGGGTTTCACATGCTGGACACTGACACTTATGCAGAACATCTTTCCCTACACTGGGACAAGAGGGACGGACAGGACAAGACACGACAGTGTCCGGGAAGAACAGGGAATAGAGTCTCCCCCTCTCAGAGGGCTACCGAACCCAGAACAAACAGGCAGATTTGGCCAATGTTGTTTGCTCAGGCAGGGGAGAAAGATTAGGAGCGTCTGGTGATTACATAATCCCGGGCGGGCAGGGGGTTGGGAAGGGAATGGGCTGAGAGCAGTTACTGTGTGTGGCAGGGGGAAGGAGCTGAACACACACGCACTGGAGATGAGATCACTGGAGAGACCCACTGTCTCACTGTTTGGTTCCCATTCACCTCCTTGGCTGTTGGGCACCAATAACTCGAGGCTTTCTGCTCCCGGTGGGTTCCTTAATCAACAAAACAGCGGAAGCCTATGGAGGTGACATGGGGCTCATTGTTGGCAACTCTAACGGGCATTCAATTAAAATTGGGGAGACTTCTTCTTAAGACTTCTGAGAAAGAAACAATCTAAACTTTCTTCTACAACGTGCTTTTTACACAACGCATTTTCACACGAGTCATCTCAAGGCGCTTCACAAACTAGAAACGTGGGGAATCTCGTCGGGGTGGTAAACTCAGCAGCTAATCCCGGAAACTTTACGGGGGGGGATTAACGGTTCTGATAATCCTCACCAGAGGGACACTGACATTTTCCCGGAGTTACTCTTGTGTGTTTTGTGTTAACGAAACCTCGGTGTATGATCCGGGGCTGACTGACAATTAATCACCCGGTCGTTTCCGATCTCTGCTCGTCTGTAACTTACGTGTGGAGATGCTTTCTTCAGCAGCACCAGCAGCGCCTGAAGAACCAGGTTGGAGAAGCGCGGGCCGATGGGAACGTAATCTGTAATGAAACGCACAGCTCCATGAGGACACAGCAGCCATCGCGGTCTCCCCTTCTCTCTCCCCCCTCCTTCCCCCCCCATCCGCCTGTCCACATGCCAGTCACACCTCACGTTCCATCATGCGGGCAGAACACGGGACAGATTGTAGGTGTGTTCAGAGGCAGGATTTGAGGCAGAACACAGAGACAGACAGAGAGTTACAGACACACACACACACAAAGAAAGACACAGACACACACACACACACAGGACACAGAGAAAGAGAGAGAAAGACACACACGCTTACACAAACACACGCAGCATTGCTGCAGTCTGGTGATAAGACGCCATGCTTAGATTCTGAGTCACTGCGGAGAAGACCCGAAGACAAGACACGGGACCTACATTCCTTCCTCCTTAGGAAGCCAAGGGATTGAGGAAAAGGGACCGGGATGAGAAGGGGAAAATGCTGGCATCTGAGGAGGTGGACGGCCCCCAAACCACCTATCGCGTTGTACACGGAAATACAGTTCCAGGGGAAAGAATTGGGAGAATATTTTTTCTCTTCCCCCCCCAATTTCCAATCAATTTGATTGGAAATGTGTAACAGAACCCACCGCTCTCCCTCCTCTCTCTCTCTCTCCCCCCCCACCCAACCCCCCCACCCCCACCCACACACTCTGTGCACCTGCACACACTCCCCAAGGCGATGAGCGTACGGACACAGGCAGTGAGTGACTGACAGCCTTACCCAGGAGTCGTTCTATGTCATCGACCACCACGCAGCTGAGTTGGGACTTATAAGCGTCATCGAAGATCTGTCAACAGAAATTAATAAACAAGATTACGGTGCGGTTTGATGGGCCGGGGCCTGTGGCAGCACATTCAGTTTGTGAAAGTGGAGAACATGTGTATTTAAGTGGAGGCATTGCCTCGGGGGTTTGGGTTTCAAAATGCCCAAACGAATTCCGATGCAGTCCAACACCGCGTGCCAACCTGCCAAGGGTGTGTTGTTACATCACGCCAAGGTTAACGTGTTCTCACTGATAAGACAGACAGCGAAGGGCTGGGTTTCTCCTTTGGCCTGTTATACCTGGGCGGAACGGCTTTGCGTGTGACAAACAGGCTCTGGGGAATTTCGATTACCTTCCCTGGAGCGGAGCAGTTGGGAGCACGGCCGATTTAAATGAGATCTTTTCAGATAATCAAAAGGGAGTTAGTTAGCGAGGTATAGATAGTGGGATAACTCTTCCCTTGGGCGGAGGGATCGAGTACGAGGAGCCAGACTCAGATCACAGCCAAGTTGCTTCCAACATAACACCGGACCAGACAACGATAGATAGCCGGACTCTTGCCCTGCGTGGCTCGAACACACACCGACGACCACTTCACGAATAATGTATAACTGTGAGAATTTAGGAGTCATCAAACAAGGCAGTGCTCAGCAGAGTGAAGCCAAGCCGTTTGATTCACACCTGATTGTAGAAAGGACATCACTCGTAGCCGGCAGTCTGCTCTCAAACAATGGTGGGGGGGTTTTTTTGCACCTATGTGTAAAATGTGTGGCATTGAAGAAATGTCACCAGCCCCTGCCTGTTAAACTCCAAAACACGTTTTAAAAATGGGTTCTTTGCCTAAGGCCACGTCGCACACATCCCTGAGATAAACAGCACACAGCCCAGCGGCCAAATTAACCCATCAAAGGCGCTGTGATGTTTAGTCAATGACGAGTGGTTGGGGGCTGAATCTATCTCAATGTTCGATGACATCACCCAACATCCAACCGGCAACACCAAAGTGTCTGATAGTAACTAGTTACCAAGTTCCAGCAGGCGATGTGACTGGAACCCAGTTACCCCTTCAGCGGAGTCCTCGTTACGTCCTCGTTCCCACCGCCGCAACCCCCCTCCACCCCCAACCCCAAACTGCCTGCTATACCACCCACATATTCCAAACACATTTTGGGGGAAGTCGGTGAGATAATAGCTCACATATTCCAGGAAAAGAATAACAACAATAGCGACTGTCCACACAACGACTCTCAACACAATGGGAAGGGCCAGCACTCTCTCTCCCTCTCTCCACACTCCCCCACCACCCCCCCGAAACGAAGGCCGAGTTGGCACGGCCATCAATTCCTCAGTCCCTGCTGCCCCAGCCTTGTCGCTAGAGAGAACATCTCTCCACACCTGACCGACGATATCACCAAAAGGCAGGGTTGTAAGTTGACCAATAAATGAATGAATGAATGAATGAATGAATAAACAAATAAACAAGTAAACAAGTAAACAAATAAACAGACGGTCAAATTATTTCACTGGAGGTTTAAACATTGCGGACGGCACGAGAACAGCAGTAAGTTGTTGGTTGAAGTTTATAGTCCAGCAGGACGGAGCTGGGCAGGAGGACCTGCAGTGATCACAGCACATGTTTAAATGTTTAACGGGACTCGGGTGGGGGTGGGGGGGGGTTTGGTATGTGTGTGCGTGTGAGTGTGTGTGTGTGAGACCGGCGATGACTGGCTATCAGCCACTAGATGGTAGTGTCTCACACACATGGGAACTGCGGCTCAGGACCAGCTGTGGACTGGGCAATGTAGCCTCCATCACCCCTCCATCTCCCCTCTGCCCTGCTCCCACCCTGGAGACTTGCCCTCTGGAGCTCAAGCAAGTAAAGCACGGCGAGAGAGAGAGAGAGAGAGAGAGGAGCGAGTGGGAGCGGGAGGATGAGGCGCTGACTGGGAGAAGATGGGAGTAAAATACTGGAGGGATGGAGGAGGGAAGGGGAGGGAGGGAGGGAGGGAGGGGAAAGGATGGGAAGGGGGGAGAAGCCCGTTGTGTCCAGTCACCTTCTTGATGGCCTGACATTTTGCAGTCTCGCTGAATCCGATCATCTTATCGGGGGAGCAGATCTTAATGAAGGGGAAGCCAGACTTCTCGGCAATCTTCGCCGCCAAGGCCGTCTTGCCGCTGTTCGGAGGACCTGCCATCGGATCGGGAGCAACTTAGACACAACTTTACAGCCGCAGCCACCCGGAACAACATCTCGGAGCGCTTCGCAGGGAATCGCAGTCGAGTGCAGTGACTGCTTGACGGGGAACGAGGGCTGAGCCAGTACGGACGGGACGGGCTGAATGGCCTCCCTGTGTGCTGCAATAATAATAATCCTGGCCTTTGATACGGCGCCTCATCACGTCTTCGAGACGTCTCAAAGCGCTTCACGGGATATCTCCTAAAGTGAACTGATTTTATATTTCGTGGGTGAAAAATAACGACTCTTCAATTCAAGCCTCAGCTTCGGGGTAGACCAGGGACTGATCCCCACCCACAGGCTCCCACACACAGGCCACCCCCCCACCCTACCCACCCCCCGAAAGGATGAAAAGCAATCTCTTTAAAAGCCCCCCTCTCCCTCTTCTGGGACATTTAAGACCATTTAGGATCATACCATCACCTCCCAAACATGCCACCTGGTGGCTACTAAGGTGATAGCCCTCACGGCTCTCTCTCGCACACGCACACACATACGCACACGCGCACACACACGCGCGCACACAACGTTCCCATTAAGATTTCCCCACTATCCACACTGACCTCAGTGGCAAATTTACCCCCCAACACATCTCTAGCCGGATCAACCGTCACCACTGTGACACTGGGCGAATGGCAGCACGTGTCACAGAGCTGAATACTATGATAATAATAATAATAATTGCATTTGATCACGTCACCGAGACATCTCAATATGCACAGAATTTACTGTGAAGTGGATTGAATGTGTTCTTTGTGGGCGAAACGCAGCAGCCAATTGTGCACAGCAGTGTCCCACAACCAGTCGTGGATTGAGTGAAAGATTTTTTTTTTTTGGGGGGGTGGGGAGGTTATTAACCCTGGAAAGCGATCCACCCATCAACTAACAACCGGGTTCTTCCTTACTGCTGGGTAAACAGAGGCGTGCGCAGTCAGGAAACTTCCTTGAGGTTTCGCCCTGACCTGACCCGCCCGGGAATCGAACCCAGGTCCTCTCACTTGCGAGGCGAGGGCTCTAACCCCTGAGCTACAGGGGACTCCACTCCACTAACACGAGACCACGTAGGGGGATTTTTAAACCGTGCCTTTGTCACACCCTCTGGAGGTGACGGACAGACAGACCCACCTTCCAGCAGCACGCTGACTAGCGGAGTCCGGTCACTGTTCTTGGTTTGCTGCACTAGGAGCTCCCCGTCATCCAGGGCTCGTGTCACCGGGTCTCCCCACACGATGATCCCGTTCATGATGTAGCTGTCGTAATCCTCCTGGTTAATGCCAAATGCCTGGAGAGAGACAGAGTGAGAAAAAGAGAGAGAGATAGAATAGAAAGAGAATTAATAATCCTTACACCTGATACAACGTCTTCCACCCAGTTGTCGCTTGCGAGGCCACGTTGCCAGAAATTTGGGAAGAATGTTAAATCCGGTGTTAATCCGGTCTGTCTGCTCATCTTAAAAAAAAGAAACCGGCTTCGAAATGAACACTGGAGTATATATTAGCATCTTTCCAATCAGCACCCTCCTCAACTGTAAGACAAGGGTCTTGAGGCTGAGGCCCAGGTGAATCTCCAGACCTCAACCCCCCTCCCCAACCCGAGGACTGATTTCAATTAGTTTCTGTCTCTGATTAAAATCTCTCACAACAAGATCAGCAACAACAACTGACAGTTTTACGGTGCCCGTCACCTCGCTCGCCAACGCCAAACACCCATCACCGGCTACTCACTGGCTTGATGTCGTTCTCCAGGGAGTTGAGGAAGTCTCCCCTCATCACCTGCAGTTTCTCTGCTCTCTCCATGTCCACTTCCACTTTGGTGGCTGCCTATTGTGGGGAGGACGACAGACGTTCTTAGCCATTTTGACTGTGGAGACGAGAGCCAGTGAAGTGAAGTATCTGTGGTGCGATCGCTCACTCGCTCTGACTGAGTGACAGAGACTCTGCCCCCAGCTCGGTGCCACAGCCTGGACTGTCAGCTCAATGAGGGACTCGAAACCACAAACTTCAGACCCCCAGAGACGAGAGCATCTGCAAGCCCCAAACTCCCAACACCCAACCCCCTGCTCCCCAACAACCCAACCAGCGCCTTCCACCTCAGGAGGACGGCTCAATGCGCTTCACAAGGACGTACACCGAAGTGAAGTGACTGTTTAGTGGGCGAATGTGGCAGCCGGTTTGCACCCAGCGGTGTTCCCCGACGTAAGGTGGGAGCAAGGGGCGGGATGTGGAGATGACAGAACGGAAACAGGAACCATTGTACGGAGGGTCCACAAAGTCCTGTTACCCGCCACCCCACCCCTCCCCCCACCCCCCGCCCTGCCGTGAATACAATGAAATACTTAAAAATACAATTAATTATCATCATTCTCCCACATGTGCCACTTGTTGGTTTTTGTGCACTGTAGAAAAACAAAACATAGCAGTAACGGGACTTTGTGGACAAAACAATAATAATGATAATAACCCTTGCATTTGATTGAGTGCCCAATCACGTCTTCAAGGCGTGTCAAAGCGCTTCACAGGATGTACCGTAAAGTGTAGTGACTGTGCGTTTTGTGGGCGAAATGCAACAGCCAATTGCGCGCAGCATTTAGGGAGGCTGGAGGAGAGAGTGAGAGTGGGGAGGCTGGAGGAGAGAGTGAGAGTGGGGAGGCTGGAAGGGAGAGAGAGAGAGGCAGATTCACATCTCTCTAGTAGCTCAGTCACCCCGCAGGTGGCCGAGGGGACTTGAGAGACAAATTCCTGTGGTGTCCTTACCTGGCGTATTAGGCTACAAACAGGAGCCCCACAGGGCTAGGCTGTCACCCAACCTGACATTTAAGCCCCCATTAGATTCAGTGATCAGTTGAACACAGGCTGTCGTGCCTGGAGCTAACCTTTCCTCTGATCCCGTGGGACTGGACAACACGTACACCTGCTGTGTCCACAATCACCGCTCCCCCAGGAGCACAGCGACACAGGCACTTAATGTATTGTTGTGCAACTCGACACCCAGGGCCGTAAAGCACACCACAGCGTACAGCCACCCCGCCAGCCTCCGGCACCCGCCAGCCAGCCAGCGTGTCAGACCCCGGCACAGCTCCACGGCTAATCCACAATCAGCCACCAGCCGACCTTCGTACATCGGCCTTTGAAAAGCCAGAGAATGACATAGGCTGGACTGGGCTGGTCTGGGGACTCATGGTCAGAAGCTCTTGTCTCGCAGACCCTGTGGTGTTGGCCAGGCGAAGGTGAAGCAGATTTTGGGTCGGGAACGAAAGCTATTTCTGACTCCCAAAGCCAGGAACACTCCCGGGAACGCAGGGAAATCAGGCTTCAGTTTGCAGTGATTTTTTGTTTAAAGTGCTGTGAATATAATATCACCCAATATAAAAAAATTCTCCCTTGACCAACCTCCTATCTCCTCTCTCCCCCCCACCCCCTCTCTGAGAGAGACGAGAGAGAAATAACAGAGAGATAGACAGACAGAAATACAAAAGAGAGAGAACAGACAGACAGACGAGAGAGAGAGAGAGAAAACAGAGAGAGACGGAGAGAAAGAAAGACAACAGAAAGTGGGGTGAGGAGAAGGAGCGCAATAAGAGAGAGTGTGGGGGAGGGAGGAGAAGGACAGATAACAGAGAGAGAACAGACAAAGGACAGAGATAGAGTGAGAAAAGGAGAAAAAGACACACAGAGAACAAGAGAGAAAGGATAGACACACTCACACACTCACTGAGGGCTGACCTCAGGGTCAACATAGAGAAACACGAGTCTCTAATCTGTGGGATCTACATTCTCAGGAAAACAGTCAGATGTGAATACAGCCGGTGAGATAAGGAGGAAAACAAAGTCAGAGGTCGGCACAGCCTCTGGTTTGGACAAAATTCAGGGTAAGGACTTCTGATTCCCCTCAGTATAGCTCCAGACAGACAGACAAGAGACAACCCAACACTGGGCTCCTCCCAAGCCTTGGCTCTTGCCAACCTGCGCCGAGTAGTTTCCAGAATTAGGTGAGCAGGATGCCTCCCTCCAGGGAGAGAGGGAAGAGAGCGAGGGAGAGAGAGAGAGAGGGAGAGAGAGAGAGAGGAGAGAGAGAGAAAGCGCGTCATCCATTCCAACAATCTATCTCTAGGATTCCCACGTGGAGGTGGGAAGCCCGGAAATCTCTGTTTGGTTTGGAGAACTCTTGAGCAACGGGGACGGGTTTCAGCGTGTGCGTCAACCTGAACTGACGGCTCACTTTCCTCTCTCTATAGATGCTGCCGGACCTGCTGAGGGTTCCCAGCGACCCCAGGTTTTTTGGGGGGGTTTTGGGGGTTTTTTTTACGCAGTTACCTTGATGTGCCGGTTCATGGCTGTGGACTGCGCAGCTCGCACCAACCCCTCCAGCTCGGCTCCACTGAAGTTCTTGGTCTCCACAGCCAACTCACGGACATCCACGTCATCCCCCAGGAGTTTGTGCTCCCGCATCCGGGCCGTGTGGATGTTCAGGATCTGAACCCGACCATTCTCATCCGGGAGACCTGGGGAGGTGGGGGGTGGGGGGGGAGAGAGTGGGGCCAAACAGAGCAGAGAGAGTCAAGAGGACAAGACGCCTGACCTGGGGGCAAAGGGAAGGGCGCGGGCGGGAGGAAGGTGGGGGGGGGAGGAGGGTGTCACGGGAATCCTCTCCACTTGGCAGAAACCCCTCAACAACGTCGCAGAAAACAATAATATAATAATAATCCTCGCATTCGATCCGGTGCCTTTTCGGGTCTTCGAGACATCTCAAAGCGCTTCACGGGATACACTGCAGAGTGTAGTGACTGTGCATTTTGTGGGAGAAACACGACAGACAATTGCGCCCAGCGACATCGCCACAAACAGTCGTGGGTTGAGTGACTCCATGGACCGGGGTGGGGGATGGGGGTTGGGATGAGATAGTGTGGGGGGAGTTATTCCCTATACCTCCCTTTGAGAACCTTTCCTCTGGTGGGGGGGGGGGGCTGAAAGGGGGTGCAGGGACACGACCCTGTCTTCATTCTCTGACTTGCCAGGAAGGGCTGGGCAGAGAGAGCGAGAGAGAGAGAGATAGGGCAGCAATGAAAGGTCGGCTACCGAGGGTTTTAATTAAAAGGAACAATATTCTATTGTGGCCAACACAAGGTGTGCACACACAGCGCTCTCGGCAAGTTATTAAATCAGCATCGCCCTGCCCTGCGCTGGGACCGGCCGATAAGCTGAAAAGGTCACTCTCTCGCTCTCAGTGAAGCTTTGTGTCCAGCTGAGCAAAGCCAAACCTTCAGGACATGGGACGTTCATTGGAGGGAGGGGAATTGGGGGAGTTGGGGGGTGGGGGGGAAGAGAGGAGCGTGTTTGTTGGGGCGGGCGGGAGGGCTGGGAAAGGTAGATAATAATAATAATCCTTGCATTTGATACAGCCCCTTATCACATCTTCGAGACAACTCAAAACGCTTCACAGGATACACTGTAAAGTGAGGGGAGCACTCACCGATCTCCATCTTGACCTCCAGGCGCCCAGGTCTCAGGAGGGCTTCATCAATCAGGTCTGGTCGATTGGTCATTCCTACAGCAGCAGCAGAGAGAGAATTAGCCCCGCACAGCCCCCCCCCGTCCCCACACAGCCCCCCCCCGTCCCCACACAGGCCCCTGCCCTCACTCAGCCGCCCCCTCACCTGCCCAAAGCCCAGCTGTCCAGTGGCTGGAGCTCGGCCTGAGGTGTTGGGGAGGTGGGGGGGGATGGATGGGCAGATAACAGGAGTTTGTGGGGGGGGGGGGGCAGGGGGAGCAGAGGGCTGGACAGACGGAAGCCGCAGTCAGGAAAGGTGGGAGATTGAAGAGAGCCCCAAAGCTGGGGATAGAGTGTATAGTTTGGGAACGTCATGTGTGCGTGTGGGGGGTGCGGAGCAGTCACAGTAGCGACACGAGTCAGACAGCAATGGGGACATCACCTTCCATCTGTGAGCTTCATGTAAATAAAGTGATGGATCGACGTGTGGGTGGTGGTGGGTGGGGGGAGATTAGAGGAAATGTGGGAACCATCAACATTCCTGGCCTCAGATCCCAGCTCCCCCGCAGCTCAGCACACCTCGCAGCGGGTAATTGCTGTCACGTGTAGTGACTGTGCACTGGCAGATTCTACAGCAGTGCGGAGCACGCGGGGGTGGGGTGGGGAGGGCTGAGACGGGAGGCGCAGTCATCAGCACCCAGCCATCGCCAGGCAGACACGCAGACAGACACACAGGCAGACATGTTTGCTGCTCTGCCATCAGCTAATTGGGGAGGAAAAGCGTCACCTCAAGAGACGGGAGAAGATATTGATCAGGGCGACAGCCCGGGCCGAGACCGACCGGCCTCAGAGACAGAGACACAGAGAGAGATTTCAAAGCAACGCAAAGAACTGCGGAGGGAAAAGTTCTGTCAGAGTAGAGAGAGGAGGGTTGCTAACGCGCTCAGCATGACGCACAGATAATTGGAGCTTCCAGCGAGGCCACTGAGCCGTGGGGTAGGAGAACGTCAGATACATAACAAACAACAACACGCGAGGAAACAACACAGGAGAAAATGCGCTGGCTTAGCTTTGCTGTAACACACCGTACCCTCCGCTCAGCGGGAGTCTAGGAGACAAGCACGTTACACACTCCCAGCCTCTGACAGCAGCGCTAATAAGCCAGTGTCCCGGGCTGATCAAAAATACAAGCGCAGAAACTAATCATCGCTTCGGAAAGAGACACAAGGGAGCGACGGTTTAGCAAACGTCAGCGACAGAGAGAGAGAGAGACACACACAGAGACAGAGACACAGAGAGAGACACACAGAGAAACACGGCAGCCAACTGCACACGCCAGCGTCTCTACAAACAATCGTGGATTGAGTGACCCAGTTATTATTATTTTTGGTGGCGGGCGGCGGGGGGGGATTACTACTCCCGGAAAGCGATCCAAAAACAGAGGCGCGTGTTTGCGTGTGTGTGTGTGTGTGGAGTAAGGGAACTCGTCTGAGATAACGGCCGACTGGGTATCGAACCCGTGTCCTGTGGCTTGCGAGGCGAGCGCGGGGTGGGGGTGGAGGGCGCTGGTGGGTGGGGGGTGTGGGGTAGACTCCCTGTGTTACCTGTGAGCGTCTCTTACCTATGACCAGGATGTTGTTGAGTTGCTCCACGCCGTCTATCTTGGAGAGCAGCTGGTTGACCACGGTGTCGTGGACGCCGGTGCTGCCTTGCATGGTGCCTCTCTGTTTGCAGATGGCGTCGATCTCATCGAAGATGATGATGTGAAGGCCGCTGTTCGCCCCCAGCTGCCGAAAGACAAACAGCCGCCAAGCCTGGGGTTTAGCCGCGGGAGCCATTGGCACGGCACGAAGGCCGGGCTCGGCCCACAGACCGTCATTGTTCCCGGCGTCTCTCCGCACCCTGGCTATCTACCCTCCTCATGCGCTGCCTCGCGCGCTGACCTTTCCAAAACAGCTCTCGCCCCAGCCCAGGTACGCAATCTTAACCCCGCGCTGCCACATAACAGCCAACATTCACCCGAAGCACAGGGTTAATTAAAGAGAGCCGGCCAGCGAGAGGCATCTGAGCGTGAGCTGCGATGCATGAATGGCAGGTCCTGTCGAGGCCTCAATGCTCCATTGTCAGAGTCCGACAGCAGCCGTCAATCCACCCAGCAACACCTGGACATGTCCAGCTCCACAGCCCCTCCCCTCCCCTTTATTAAAGTACCCCCCCCACTCTCCCCACAGATACACACACACACTGCCACCCCCACACCTCCTCGCACACACACACATACACACACGCACAGTCCCCGCTCCCCCGCCCCATATACACACACACATTGCCAACCACACACCCCCACTTCACACGTGTGCTCGCGCACACAAGCAAACTCACTCCCACTCCCCCCTCCACCCCCCACCCCCCACACACACACACACACACACTATTCCCCCACACAGACACACTCCCATCCCCCCACCCGCCAGAGACACTCACTCTCTTCTGCTCCTCTTCTGCGTCCGCAAACAGTTTCCTGATGTTGGCCTCAGATTCGCCCACGTACTTGTTGAGGATCTCGGGCCCGTTGACCACTTTGGGCTCGCGAGAGTTCAGCATCTTCCCGATCTGTCGCGCCATCAGAGTCTTTCCACAGCCAGGCGGCCCGTACAGCAGGATCCCCTTCACGTGCTTACAGCCTGAGACACACACCACACACACACACACAGAGCAAATTACACCAGTGTAGAGCCCTCTCATGTCGGGAGGACATCCCAAGTGCCAACAGAGTGTGTGTGCGTGCGTGCGTGTGGGTGTGTGTGGGTGGTTGTGTGTGTGAGGGGAGGGGGGGGGGCGCGCAGGCTCTCGCTCTATGTTACACAACAACGACGCAGAAATGTGCAGCCACAGAAAGCGACTCGTGTGCCTTCACTGTGAAGCGTAGTGACTGCATATATTTACGAGTAAACGTGGCCGCCGATTTTGCACATAAGCAGTGCACACACAAGCAGGTGTGGACAATAAGACCACATTATTGTTTGCTTGTTTTTTTTGACGGGATTATTATTACCCCCGGAAAAGCGATCCGCCAATCGACGGACAACCCGGGCTTTCCTGCCGACCTGCGAGGCGAGTGCTCTAACCACTGAGCTAAAGGAGATCGATGGATCTCACACACACATACTCACGCGCGCACACACACACACTCTTTCACTGTCAAAACGTACAGCCCAGCTGCTTTGTGAGCTCAGAAGCTGGAGCTTGGCCAAGTGTTAGGAGCAGGTCCTGGGTATCAATGGTCCCAGTAATGAAACCACCTGAGCCCCTGACAGCCAGTCAACGCGGTGACCTCATAGAGCAGCACCGATCAGCCCGGCTCTCAATTAACTTTCTATCAGACTTCAGATGGCATTTCCAGCACATTGGTGCCCGTGTTGTTATTCCCCCCCACCCCCTCCTCACCCCCCACTCAACAACCTCCACCGCCCCCCGCCACGTGTTTCAGAAGGTCTCCTGATAAGCAGGTGTGTGCTGACGTACACAGCCCCCGACCCCGTCAGTCAACACTCATCCACGCACCCAACCAGGTGTGTGACCCACGTTAGCCTGGCTCGCTCGCTCCTTCGCGCTCTGCCCTCTGGGGCAGAGGGTTGTAGTTTCAAATCAGCGAGAGGGGGGGGGGGTGCTTTCAGTTCAGTCTCAGCTGATGATGCAGCGCAGTGTTGGGGCAGGAGGTGCGGGGTGGGGGGGGGGTGTAAGGGGGTGGGGAAGAGGAACATGGGATCGTCGGAGGCTTCGAACTTCAGTGAATCCAAACTCCTGCCACCTTTTTGATAAATAGAAGGGAATTCTTGCAGGTCGGTGTGTCCCCTCGACAATCCCCCCCACCCCCCACCCCCATCCATAACACCAGGCATTCACCTCACGGCTGTTTGCCTGTGGCCGCTTACGCGCGGGACGCGGAAAGCGCGTGAATTGGGCGTTGCATTTGCCTCCGAGGCGCAGTGGCTGCACGGCGCGAGGGTCTGCCCTCGGGATTATTTTTTTGCGTCGTGTGTCCCCCGCACTCACCCATCTGCTCCACCAGCTCCACGGGGAACACCCTCGAGGCGAAAGCCCTGCGGAAGATGTCGGAAAACTCCCTGTCCAGGCCGCCGATGCCCATCTTCTCAAAATTCCAGTCGGGGTTAATGATAGACTGACGTCCCTGTTTGGTCTTAGATTTACCTGAAGTGAACGGAGAGGAAAGAGTCAGAGGCTCGTACGCACGCACGTCTACCGCCACCTGGTGGCAGCGTGCGGCACTGAGCACACGCCGGACACATTCACCGCGTGTGCGTGTTGCGCGCGCCCGTGCGTGATCGCGTGCCTCGCTGCGACGCGCGGATGGGCGTTCGTGCGAAGAGAGAGGAAATGCAGACCACGGCGCCCGGGTTCTTGGGCACGTTTTCCTCTCCTGCAAATTTCGGCGAGAGAGAGAGCGAGAGGGAAACAGAGAGAGAGAGAGAGGGACGAGAGAGGCCGGGATTGTGCGCCTTAGAGCAGAGAAGGTTCAGGTTGAGGGGGAGATTTAATAGAGGTGTTCAAAAATTGTGAGGGGGTTTTTAGTAAGAGTTTCCTCTGGCGAGCAGGCAGGCGGGGAGGGGTCGGTAACCAGAGGACACAGGTTTCAGACAATTGGCAAAAGAACCAGAGGGGAGACGAGGAGAGATTTCTTTTTTTTCACCCGGAGAGTTGTTACGGTCTGGAACACACGGCCTGAAAGGCTGTCGGGAGCAGATTCCATAATAGCTTTCAAAAGGGAATTGGAATCAGGTCGGTAGTTAAAAAGGGAAATGTGCAGGGCTATGGGGTAAGCGAGGGGGAGTGGGACTGGTTGGGGTAAAAGTGGGGGAGTGGGGACTAGTTGGTAGCTCTTTCAAAGAGCCGGCACAGGCAAGATGGGCCGAATGGCCTCCTTCTTGTCTGTAAGATTGTGATGGTATACTGTACTCACCGATGAGAGCTAGTGAGGAACTCTCTGCTTTCTCAAATATCACCTGGGAGTTGGCAATCGCCAGCCCCAGCTCAATCTGTTCACAAAGCAATACGGAACAGATCAGAACAGCCCCGGCTCATAGCCCCCGCGCCCCCCAGCCCCTCTCCGCCCCAGCCCAGCCCCCGCACACCTCACCAACAACAAACAACAACAACAATTTACACAACGCCCCTCATGCAGGGCAGCGTCCCAGAGCGCTGGACTGTGTTGGAGAACAGCGCCGAGCCAGGGGGGAGGGAGGGGGGAGGTGACCGTAGACACGGTCGAACAGGAAGGTCTTCAGGCGCGACCTGAAGATGAGGGAGGGAAGGAAGGAAGGAAGGAAGGGGTGAGGCGGTGGGATAGAGGAAGAGTGTTCCAGAGCGCCTTTCAATGTTTGGGAGGACGTCCCAAGGCGCTGGACAGTCAGGGATTTGCACCCGAGCTCGGGGTTGGGGGCCGGGATCAGGAGATGTACCACGTTGAGGGTCTGACCTTCTGCCGCTTGCTGGTCGCCTGCTCCCCTTTCAGGATGCTGGGGTCCATGGCCTCGAGGCCCTTCACCACCAGCCCAAACAGCTTGTCGTTGAAGCTGAACACAAGCTGAGGAGTAAACGGGAGACAAGACACACAGGTCACTCTCTGAACACAAAAAGGCCGATTGGGAACGAACAACCTGACTGGTATTATTACTGTTAGTGAGGCGTCCCCCTCCTCGCAGAGCCCTCCCGCCCCCAAACCCCCTTCTCTCTCTCCCAACCCCCCACCCCCCCCCCCCGCACAGGGTCCCCTCTCTTGCTTCAATCCCCCTCTGTGTCTCTCCCCCCTCCCTCTGTCTATCTCCCCCCTCTCTCTCCCTTCTCTCTCTCCCTCTCTCTCCCGCGCCCCCTTGCTCCCCACCTGCTCGTCCCCAAACACACAAACAGCCCCCCTCCCCATCGTGTGGCCCACCTGCTGGCCTGTGGAGAAGGCCTGGCAGTTAAACTGCTGGATGAACTCAGCCGCCATGCGGTCAGTGTCGTACGGGTTGGAGTCCACACTCTTCTTCTGCAGGAAGTCAATTTCGATGGTCATCGTCCCAATACACTGCCTGGCCTTGTCAAAGTCATAGGGCGTCACTGAGGGGGAGAGAAAGTGAGGGAGAGTGAGTGAGAGAGAGAGAGAGAGAGATAGAGAGAGAGAGAACACAAGTGAGCGAGAGTGTGTATGAGAGTGAAAGAGAGTGAGAGAGAGTGCATGAGATAGTGAGTGAGAGAGAGAGTGTGCATGAGAGTGAAGGAGAGTGAGAGAGCACGCATGAGAGTGAGTGTGAGAGAGCGCAAGCGTGAGATAGAGTGTGTGTATAAGAGTGAAAGAGAGCACCCAAAGCATTAACCTACCCTCTTTATGTGCGCCTGTGTGAATTATATATTGGCGGAAAGTCAGTCAGATTTCCTTATCTTTAATTAATTTCTACTTGCGCTCCCTCTCTCTCTCTCTCACCTACAAAATACACAGTCACTACACTTTACAGTAAAATCCTGCGAAGCGCTTCAAGACTGAGGTAGGAAGATATTTGTTAGGTCAGGGTATTGAGGGATAATTGGACTTGAGGTACAGATCAGCCGTGGTCTTGTAGAATGGCAGAACAGGCTCGAGGGGCTGATTGGCCTCCTCCTGTTTCTAATTTTCTATGGAGACGTCCTCCTGACACAAAGGCCGTGGTCAAGCATTATCGTTAACATTCACTGTTTATAATAGATAATGTGTACACAAATCAGACAGAGAGAGAGAGAGAGACTGAGCAAAAGAAAAAGTAAGCGGGTGAATAAGTGAGACAATGGGCAGAAGGATGAGAGTGTGAATATGAGTTGAAGAAAGAAAGAGATACACACACAGGCACACACGCACACACATACGCACAGAGGCAGACGCGCGCACGCACACACACACAGGCACACGCGCACACACACATACACACACAGGCAGACGCGCGCACACACACACACAGACACACACAGGCACACGCGCACACAGACACACAGGCACACGCGCACATAGACACACACAGACATCGCGCCAGACACACACACACGCACAGGCACACGCACACACAGACAGGTAGGCCAGATATTAATGAACTAACGAAGGGAATCTGCCTGTCATGTGCCCACCAGGGACTGAGCACAGTAAGCGAGGGCTCGGTGACCCTGGGTTGACAGGAGGGACCCCGCCTCAGCCAGGACAATGCTCCCAGGTACAGGAAGGAAACCACCTCACTCAACACCACACAATAAGTGCTGGTGTTTAGCAGCTGGACTGCAGGGAGCGGAGAGAGACAGCGAGAGAGAGAGAGAGAGAGAGAGGCCACGGCTGGCTCTGTCACTGAACACTCATTGTTCAGTTGAAGGGTGCAGAATTCCCGCGCGCTCCCTGGGCAGAGGCTGGTGGGCTGCCTGCCAGCCCCCGACACCTGCCGGACCCCGTGGGCTGCCCCGAATCAGGGCAGACAATGAACAAGCCCCAGACCCCCGCAGCTCTGGCTTTCAGCATCGCTCTGTCACACTGACGTCTTGCAAAGCCTCTTTTAATTACAGGCTGGCAGGACCGGCTGGGATTGAGCGGCAATCTACACAGCTGGACCCCCTCAGCCTCATCCGCTGGGGGGAGTGGGAACCATCCCTGGAGCCCAGCGACACTGGAGCACTATATAAATGCAAGTTGTTGTCGTTGTTGAGTGAGCAATTCTGCATCACTGAAGTGGAATGAACGCTGCAGTACTGGTGGCTGCCACCGGGCGGCCCACACTCCAGCCCAGCACAGCCTCAGCCCAGCACAGCCCAGCACAGCACAGCACATCTCAGCTCAGCACAGCTCAGCCCAGCACAGCACATCTCAGCACAGCACATCTCAGCCCAGCACAGCACATCTCAGCACAGCACATCTCAGCACAGCACATCTCAGCCCAGCACATCTCAGCCCAGCACAGCACATCTCAGCCCAGCACATCTCAGCCCAGCACAGCACATCTCAGCCCAGCACATCTCAGCCCAGCACAGCACATCTCAGCACAGCACAGCACATCTCAGCTCAGCACAGCTCAGCCCAGCACAGCGCATCTCAGCCCAGCACAGCTCAGCCCAGCCCAGCACATCTCAGCACAGCACAGCACATTTCAGCCCAGCACATCTCAGCCCAGAATAGCACATCTCAGCCCAGCACAGCTCAGCCCAGCACAGCTCAGCCCAGCACATCTCAGCACAGCACAGCACATTTCAGCCCAGCACAGCACATCTCAGCCCAGCACATCTCAGCCCAGAATAGCACATCTCAGCCCAGCACAGCTCAGCCCAGCACAGCTCAGCACAGCACATTTCAGCCCAGCACAGCTCAGCCCAGCACATCTCAGCCCAGCACAGCTCAGCCCAGCGCGGAGTCGCTGGTCAAGGAATTCTATTGCAAGGTATCAAATTGTTCAGTGAGGAACCTCACAGCCCCATCTCTGGCTCTGGTGCTCAAACGGCGCAGGAATCTTTAATGTCCGGCGGGACAGGAGCAGACACCAAGCCAGTCTGATGGCAACAGGGAAACAGGGGAGTGACGGAGGGAGAGAGGGACCAGTATAAGGGAGGGAATATAAAGTGTGTGTGAGAGAGCGAGATAGACAGACAGACAGACAGACAGAGAGAGAGAGGGTGAGAGACATATGTTGGTGATTTTCAGAGAGCACCACAACCTTGAAAAATAACCAAGGACTCTTCTTGTAGGAAAAACAATCTGATTTTGGCACAAACGTGACTGCAGGGAATCAGGAAGGGAGAGAGTAAATGGGCAGCGCATTGCAGTGGTGGAAACTGTGGGCAACCAGGCAGGGCTGTCAGTGAGAGGCAGCGAGACAGAGAGACCAGCGGCACATGGCAAACACCGAACCTAGCGATAACCCAGGCGGCTAAATGGGAATTAATTCACAGTCATCACCATCACCGCAAACACACCTAAGCGGCTAGGAGATATTTACACAGACGCACCCACACAGACACACACACTCACACACAGACTCACACAGGGGTATTGCAGATAAGGACCATGGAGAGGAGGGAAAGGACAAGAGGCAAATGGTGAAATAAAACTCATACCTTCCACTTCCTGGCCAATGGACAGCCCCACCCACTTCCTCTGGAAAAAACAACACAGCCCAATCCGTCATCAACAACAACAACAAATGACATTACATGATGACTGTTACATTGGGAGGACGTCCCAAGGCCCTGGATAGTCAGGAATTTGGACCCGAGTTGGGGGTTGGGATCAGGAGAGGTGGAGGGTGGGGGTAGGAGGGTGACCGAGGGTGGGGTCGATGAGGGGGCTCTTGAGACGGGCCTTGAAGGAGGCGAGGGAGGGGCCAAGGCAAAGGGATTGTGGGATGGAGTTCCAAAGGGTGGGGGCAGAGAGGCTGAAGGCCCCACCACCGATGGTGGGGTGGGGTAGGCCAAGCGGGGGACGTGGAGAAGGCCGGAGCCCACTGAGCAGAGGGAGCGGACAGGTCCATTATGGCGTTAGCGGGTCACAGAGTCAGATCGGAAGGAGCAAGGGCCTGAAGGCTTTGAAGGCTTTGAAGTCAACACACAGCACGGCAACTCAACACAGCCTCGCGCAGGGAAAACAGGGGCAGAGGAGGAAGCTCCTACCTGGGGCAGGCTGAAGGCAATGTTCCCTGAAAGCACGGTGTTGTGGCTCTTCACTGTGAAGACAAACTTGTGCGTGGGGCTGGTTTTCACTATCACGTGTCTGGGGAGAGACAACACATAAGAACATAAGAATTTGCTGGGCAAAAGACCGAGTTCCATCCAGTTCACCTTCCACCAGCCTGCCAGTCGTTTACACAGGTCACGTCCCAAACTCTACACTGTATACACATCAGCCGCCCGCCACACCATAAACACTGCGCAGTAATCCATTCAAATCTTGGGATACAGTATATGAGTAATTGGAGACGTGACATATAGTAAGTGGAGTTTGGTTTGGAAGAAGCATTAGGCAACCGCAATCTAAGGTTCCCAAAGCTTTCCACTGTTGTTGTAGACTAATCCATACAGAGTTAATTGCTGTCAACATCTCCAATAATGTAGCAAGATATAGACGGCGAACGAGATGGACCTTGGTATTTATTCATCTAGAGATTCCTTTTGTTCCTAGGAACACAGTGACCTGCGACACTATAAACCCCAGCACAGCAACACAGGCTCAGAGAGCCGTCAGCAATGGAACTGCGAGGGGCAAAGCTCTGCCCTGCCCTGGGAGGGGCACTGTGCAAGTGTGTATGTGTGTGTGTGTGTGTGTGTGTGTGTGGGTGGGTGTGGAGGATTTTGTGGGTTGGTATGTGTGTGTGGGTGTATTTGGGTATGGGAGTATGGGGGTATGGATAAGGGCATGTATGAGTGTGGGATGGAGGCTGCTGCTGTCAGGGCAACGACCTTGGAACCATTACATTAAGGAGACAGTTCGGCTCATCAATTTACGGTCTGCTCTCTTCTCTGCTCTCTTCATGTGAAACTGAGAAATGCTGGTCAGCTCAGCACTGCTCAGCTGGCTCGCTGCCATCACTGGGTGTTTGCCAGCCGTGAGCGCTGAGGAAGCCTAGGCTAAAATATATCTCACCTCGACTGGCTCTGCACCAAAACAGCGCAACTTTATACAAAAGACAAAATAACAGAGGTTCACGGCAATTGGTGAGATGCAAATCAAATGGAGTGCTTAAGTGCTTATCTCTTTTCTCCAATGGATGTTAAAAACTGTAATAATAGTAATAATAACCCTTTCATTTGATACAGCGCCTTATCACGTTGTCTCAAAGCACTTCACGGGACATAATAATAATAATCCTGGCATTTGATACAGAGCTTTTCACGTCTTCTCGACGTCTCAAAGCGCTTCACAGAGTAGACTGTAAAGTGAATTGACTGTATATTTGAGGGCAAAATGCAGCAGCCAATTGCGCACAGCAGTGTCCCACAAACAGTCGTGGAATGAAGTGACCAATACTGTGTCATCCATGTACAGTAAAATGGAGTGACTGTGTGTTTTGTGGATGAAAGGGAACATATAAGAATCTGGCTGTGTGTTCAATGTGACCCCCGAGCTTTGAGTCAGGGTCAGGGGAAGAGACACAGGGAGAGGGAGGGAGAGAAAGAGGTGTCCACAGACTACATCTTGACCACGTGCTGTTAGCAGCCATCACACACGGCAGTTGCAGTCAGTACCATGGACAGCAGCCCCAACCCTCCCACAGGCCCACCACCTCTATCCACACCCCTCTCCCCCAACAACGAAACATAGGGGTTATTTTTGTAGGGATTATTAACCCCGGAAAGTGATCCGCCAATCAACTAACAACCGGGTCCCTGCTCACCAGGTAAAATAATCATCCTTGCATTTGATATCGCGCCCGATCACATCTTCGAGACGTCTCAAAGCGCTTCGCAGAATATACCGTCAAGTGAATTGGCTGTATATTTTGTGGGCGAAACAGAGGCGTGTGGAGTAAGGAAGCTCGACTAAATTTTGCCTTGCCCGGGAATCAAACCCAGGTCCTCACGCTTGCGAGGCGAGTGCTCTAACCGCTGAGCTACAGAGCTGTGTACCGACAGAGCCATTAAAGAGAATCGCAAGGCTTTCAGCTGATTCTCTCTCTGAAATCAGTCACGAAAATTGAATACTTTAAACGCACAAAAGCCTCGTGACTGGCAGTCTGGCCTCCCACACACACACACACACACGGCAGAAAACCTGATGAAGCAGCCAAGATTCACGCAGATAGAGAGGCGATAATTAGGTCGGGGTGAGGGAGAAATAAAGAAGATTTTCATTTCAATGAGACAACAAGCATCAAAAGGCTTGCGATTACTCATTACTCATGCTGACTGCCCACCTCTCAGCCATCCTCTCCAACCAACGAACCAGCTGCCTCCACTCGACCGGCTCCAACCTTCGTGTCCCTCGTGCCCCCCATTCCAGCCCCGAAACTCTGGAACGCTCGACCCTCTATCCCTTGCCCCCTGCCCGCGACTGTCAAGCGCTCTGGGACGCCACCCTGTGCGAGGGGCGTGAGTATAAAAGCAAGTTGTTGTTCTTGTTGTTGTAGCCTGTCCTGTACAATCAGCTGAAGCCTCCGTGTCGCAGGTGGGAGTCAGGCTCAGTGTCAGCCAGGATCCCGGAAAATCGGAACGCCACCCAGAACCGCGGCAGACAACATCCGATCAGCCAGCTCCTTCCTGGCACAGAAGCTGTCGGGAACGCTCGCTGACCGGTTACCGATGGCCAGAAAACAACATAGTGGGGGGGGGTCCTGTTTACGCACCCCCCCCACCCCCCCCAAAAAAAAAAACTCCCGGCCTGTAAACCCCAGCGGTTAGCATTGACACAGAGGCGCGACACAGGGTGCAAACTCAACATGAACCAGTACTCGCTCGCTCCCAGCACAAGCCAATAAAATGATCAATTATGTTGGCGGCCAGACACGACTGCATCGACCACACCTTCCAGTGAGATGAGAGGAAAGCACAGCACAGCGCAGTGCAGCACAGCACAGCACAGCGCAACGCAGCACAGCACAGCGCAACGCAGCACAGCACAGCGCAACGCAGCACAGTTGGGTACTGATGGCAACAGGGAAAGGCTTTCTAAAGGGGACAAAGCGAGGGCCGAGGCACGTACTGGCCATTCTGGAAGTCCTTGTCGTTCACCACAGCACAGTTGGTCAGCGACAGCTCGTCAGTGGGACACCGCGCTGCGAGCATAGTCTGTAAACAAAACACACCCACGACACTGGTCACTTGTACATCATCTTCATCATCATCATCATCATCTTCATCAGCCTAACATTCCTCGCATTCGATATTAGTCACGTCTTCGAGACGTCTCAAAGCGCTTCGCACAATAAAGTGAATCGACTGCGTGTTTTGTGGGCCAAACGCGGCAGCCAAATGGCCCACGGCGCCTCCCCACCCCACGCCCCCACCCCACAGCGAACAGCCGTGGACTGAGTCTTTGTGGGCCGCTCAATCCTGATGGTTGTCACAATTCCAGTAAATTCCGGTAAATTCACAGGAAAGGAGGCCTTTCAGCCCCTCGAGCCTGTTCCGCCATTCTATCAGACCACAGCTGATCTGTACCTCAACTCCAATTATTCCACCCCCACACTTACACCGGACCCCCCCCTCGGAGCACCGTCCTGTCGTGGCTGATGTTACCTTGCAGCCACAAGTCGTCAAACTGCAGGACTTTCACAACCTTCTCTGTCTCGGTTTACAGGAAACTACGGTGCACTGACACAATAACCTCTCTGGCACTCGATTCACGCCTGAGCTCATGTTGATCGGAAGGAAGGGATCAGTTGAACCAGTGCAAGGCATCCCCTATAATGCAGCCTCCCACACGCACCGCCCCCCACCCTGAGACCCTGTCACCCCCCTCAGGGGCAGGTAGATGGATAATAATATTAATAACAATCCTTGCATTTGATACAGCTCTTTATCGTGTCGTTGAAACATCTCAAAGCGCTTCACGGGATACATTGTAAAGCGTAGTGACTGTGTGTTTTGTGGGCAATACCTGAGAGTCAATTGCGAGCAGCAATTTGTTTGTGGAGAAGAGGGATTATTAGATAAAAATGGAAACGGGTTGTAAGAGCCCTGGTCCCATCAGGGGTCATTAGTAAAATAAGAATATTTATCGGGATATATTGTTTCTCTACCTATAAATTTTATATATATTAATCAGAAAAGCCATCTGGTACAGAGACTGGAGTCGGGCTTCAGGGCAAATGGCAATGGATTAGATTTAGTCAGGACAGTATTGGTTTTTCATCTCTATAATTGGACAGTAAACAAATTAAAAATCTCACCACTTTGCTTTAACCCTTTGGGCCACTCAAGCTGTCCACCCTGTGTGAAAGTCACTGTGTAAGTGCAAAATGTTGACGTTATCTTTTAATCCCATTTACCACAATCTATTTTGCTGCCTCCCCCTCATGACCTTAAACACTGAAATGGCTTCCCCACCCCTCCCTGCTTCAGGGAACACCACACAAATCTACCCAGACTCTGATCATAAGCAAATCCTTCGACCCCACGCATTAACGTAACGGATATAAAAAAAAGCTTTGCCGCCCTCAACCGCCCGAACAGTAATGTTTCTAATAATTAACGAGCTGCCTTTCGGACTTCATTCAAAACCCTCGTCCTCGTCTTCAAAGCCCTCCATGGCCTTACTCCTCCCTACCTCTGTGACCTGCTGATCCCCTATCAATCAACCCGTCCTCTCCCTCCACTCGGCAGCCTCCGCCTTGCTCGCCCCACCATCAGGCCTTCAGCCTCTCTACCCCCACCCTTTGGAACTCCATCCCACAGCCCATTGGCCTCGCTCTCTCCCTCGCCTCCTTCAAGGCCCCGTCTCCAGACCCTCCCCTTCGACCGCGCCTTTGGCCACCCTTCTACCCCCTACCCCTACCCTCCCTGCCCTCCAGATCCCAACCACCAGCTCGGGTCCAAACCCCTGACGTGAAGGGCACTGCGTAAAGGTCATTTGTTGTTGTGGCTGTTATTTCAGATTTCCAGTATAGGTATTTTTTTTTAAGTGATTAATCGCCCACATTGTCGCTGCAATTAGATGTTGTTAGTGGAGACCAGCGGGCAGTCTATATTTTTATTGCGATACCCACGTGCATTACAATTTAGAGCTAATGTTGCAACATAATAATTTGGTCAATTCAATCCACGACTGTTTGTGGGGACGCTGCTGTGCGCAATTGACTCCCACGTTTCGCCCACAAATAATAATAATAATCCTTGCATTTGATATAGCGCTTTTCACGTCTTCTCGACGTCCCAAAGCGCTTCACAGAATATACTGTAAAGTGAATTGACTGTACACTTGTGGGCGAACGCGGCAGTCAATTCAGTTTGCGGTATATTCTGTGAAGAGCTTCGAGACCTCTCGTTGACGTGATAAATGCAAAGATTATTATTGTTATTATTATTACATGCATGTGCTGAACATAGATGGTTAGCTGTTAGGATGTTTATAATATTAGGGGAACAGAGATTATAATAAATAATCCCAGCGTTTGGTTCAGCACTTTTCACATCAAGGCCTCTCAAACCTGTTGACAGTATGGTACACTACAAGTGTAGTGACTGTTTACCTTGCTGGTAAGACACCGAGAGAGAGAGAAAGAGAGAGAAAGAGAGATTCTCTTCTCTTTAATCAGGTGGATTTTAAGATCTACTTAAACAGTCACGTCTCATCCACAGGACGAGTTTGTGACATGAGAGACAGGAGGCTGAGGGTTACACACACACGGTGACAGCTTGTAGGGCAGCACTGACACACAGCTTCACCCCCCCCCCCCCACACACACACACACAGAGCGCCCCCACCCCAACCCTCACCCCCCAACACACACACAGACAGACAGCATCCCCACCCCACCCCCACACACAGACAGCATCCCCACCCCACACACACACACACGGACAGCATCCCCACACACACACAGAGCGCCCCACCCCCACCCCCCACCCCCACACAGACAGCATCCCCACCCCACACACACAGAGCGCCCCCACCCCAACCCTCAGGGACTGCATTGCATCCCACAGCCTCTCCCACATTGCCGATGCACCAGCCCGGGAGCTGACAGCTCGGTGCAGTCCCGGTTTAAACCCAGGGCCGGGCCGGGCCGGGCTGGTCTGGGCTAAATATAACCCGGTGGCAGATGCGGCGGCTCAGACTGTGGCTCCGGCCCCTAATCCACAGCTCGGGGGGGGGGAGAGGAGAGAGGGAATGAGAGAAGGTAAGTGAGGAGAGGGGAGAGAGAGAGAGGAGAGAATGGAGGAGAGAATGAAGAGAAGAGAGAGGAGAGAAGGGAGGAGAGGAGAGGAGGGAGGAAAGGAGAGCGAGAAAGAAGGAGAGGAGAGAGAGAAGGAGAGAAGGGAGAAGAGGAGAGAGGATAGAAAGGAGAGGAGAGAGACAAGAGAGAAGGGAGAGGAGAGAGAGGAGAGAGGAGAGAAAGGAGGAGAGGAGAGAGAGGAGAGAGGAGAGAAAGGAGGAGAGGAGATGTAGCGAAGTTGTTGTGATGTATCTGTGTTGGGATACAAAGTGGATACATTGTCGCCGCGTCACAGGGCCGCGCTGTGTGTGTCACTGTGTGTGTCACTGTGTGTCTCTCTGTGTCACTGTGTGTCTCTCCCTCTCCCTCTGTGTCACTGTGTGTGTCACTGTGTGTGTCACTGTGTGTCTCTCTGTGTCACTGTGTGTCTCTCCCTCTCTGTGTCACTGTGTGTCTCTCCCTCTCCCTCTGTGTCACTGTGTGTGTCACTGTATGTGTCACTGTATGTCTCTCTGTGTCACTGTGTGTCTCTCCCTCTCCCTCTGTGTCACTGTGTGTGTCACTGTGTGTGTCACTGTGTGTCTCTCTGTGTCACTGTGTGTCTCTCCCTCTCCCTCTGTGTCACTGTGTGTGTCACTGTGTGTCTCTCCCTCTCCCTCTGTGTCACTGTGTGTCTCTCCCTCTCCCTCTGTCTCTCTGTGTCACTGTGTGTCTCTCCCTCTCCCTCTGTGTCACTGTGTGTCTCTCCCTCTTCCTCTGTCTCTCTGTGTCACTGTGTGTCTCTCCCTCTCCCTCTCCGTGTCACGGTGTGTGTGTGTCTCTCCCTCTCTGTGTCACTGTGTGTCTCTCCCTCTCTCTGTCTCTCTGTGTCACTGTGTGTGTCTCTCCCTCTCCCTCTCTGTGTCACTGTGTGTGTGTGTCCCTCTCCCTCTCTGTGTCACTGGTGTGTGTGTTGTGTCACGGTGTGGTGGTGTCACGGTGTTGTGTCACTGTGTGTGTGTGTGTGGTGTGTGTCACGGTGTGTGTTTGTGTGTGTGTGTGTGTGTCCCTCTCCCTCTCTGTGTCACTGTGTGTGTGTGTCACGGTGTGTGTGTGTCACTGTGTGTGTGTGTGTGTGTGTCACGGTGTGTGTGTGTGTGTGTGTCACGGTGTGTGTGTGTGTCCCTCTCCCTCTCTGTGTCACTGTGTGTGTCACGGTGTGTGTGTGTCACGGTGTGTGTATGTGGGTGTCCCTCTCCGTGTCACGGTGTGTGTGTGTCCCTCTCCCTCTCTGTGTCACTGTGTGTGTGTGTGTGTGTCACGGTGTGTGTGTGTGTGTGTCACGGTGTGTGTGTGGGTGTGTGTCCCTCCTTACCCGGCTGGCCATGGCGCTGAGCTGGGGGTTGGGGGGAGGAGAGGAGGAGGTTGAGCGGTGTCTCTGTTCCACTTCCTGCCGCTTCTCCCCCAGTCTGTGTCTGTGCTGCACAGCAGTCAGCGTGCGCGCCCCCGACAGCAACCGCGTGCTCGCACCACCAGCACTGACTGCTGCTGCCACCAGCGTGCGCGCCCCCCCCCCCCCCACACACACACACACACAGCTTTGAGCTGTTTTTCTCTCTCTCTCTCTCAGTGCAGTGCTGGGGGGGTGTGGGGGTGTGGGGGGGTGTGGGGGGGGGGTGTGGGGGGTTGTGGGGGTGTGTGTGGGGGGTGTGTGTGTGGGGTGGGGGGGTGGGGGGGTGTGGGGGGGTGTGTGTGTGGGGTGGGGGGGGGAGCCACTCTCTGTCACACACAGTCCTCTGGGTGAGCTCCAGGCCGAGACCCCCTCCGATCCACTCCGATCCGATCAGTCGGGCGTTCAAAGACTTGATCTGGAAAAGGAAGAAGAACGTCTCTCTGGGGGTCCCGGCCGACAATCCAATCCTAGAGTCCCTGTAGCTCAGGGGGTTACAGACCCCTCGCCTCGCACGCGAGAGGACCCGGGTTCGATTCCCGGGCGGGTCAGGTCAGGTCAGGTCAGGGGCGAAACCTTCGGCACGTTTCCTTACCGCACACACACACACACACACACTCAGCAATCGGTAGGAACCCGGTTGTTAGGGTCGTATTGGCTGATCGCTCACCGTGGTGGGGGGTGTGGGGGGGGTGGGGAGGGGGAAAACGGGTAATAATCCCTTCAAAAAACACAAATGATAAAAATGTGGCCACTCGATTCGCGGCTGTGTGTGGGACGCCGCTGCGTGCAGCTTTACCCACAAAATAGACGGTCGATTCGCTTGACGGTATATCCTGCGAAGCGCTTTGAGACGTCCCACGGTATCAAACGTCAAGGACGATTGTTGTGATGATTATATTAATTGTTGTTGTTGTGGTTATGAACGTGACAGCGAATCCGTTCCGTTCCGGCCACGGCCCCAGCGAGCGGCCGAGCCAGTGCGATAGCGCTCGGAGTGTAATTGGATGCGGTGGGACACCAGTGGGAGTTCCCTGCTCTCCCGTTGCCTCCAGCTCCTGTCCCGATGCCAGCCACGTCTGCAGTCTGTCGAAGGTTGAAATTGGAACCTTTTTTTTTTCACGGGACGGTCGGAATAAAATATGCATCCAGCACTCTAGGTGGCAGTCTGCCCCCACGAGATGACAACTCGAGCCGTGCGCCGCTCCCCTTTCTCCTGGTGGAAGAGCCGCTGCTTTTAATCTCTCTCGTGAGATGATAGCTGCGGTCCCGCTGGCACAGGGACAGCGTGGGATCGCCCGAGAGCCTGGCTCTTTGGTCCGTTCGCACTCTCATCCCTCCCTTCTGGAACACCCACCCGAGTCACAGGGAAGTGCAGGGGTGGAAGACACAGAGCGACCGATGTGCTATCAAATGCAAGGATTTATTATCACTATTTATTATTAAATGCAAGGATTATTATCCGTCTACCAATCCCTTCAAGCCCCGGCACCTCCCCTGCCTGTTCGACCCGCTTATTCCCCAACCCACCACCCGCCTCTGGCCTCCTGCTTCTCCCTCTTCCCCTCCGTTCCACCGTCGGCATCGTGCTTTCAGCCCCTACGCCCCGAAACTCTGGCACGCTCCCTCAATCCCTCCACCTCGCCCCCTATTTCCCCGTGTTCGGATCACGCCTTAAGACCTTCTTCTTTGATCGTGCTACGGTCTGCTCCACATGGCTTGGCCTCAGGCTCCGGCACTAGTAAGTGCTCCGAGACACTACCCGGCATGAATGGTGCTACATAAATAAATGCAGATTGTTATTGTTATTAATAAAGAACAACACTTTCAAAGCCATTGATTGCGTCACTGCACAGCTAACCAATTCCCCATCTCAGATTTGCGGGCAGTAGCTGCTTCCGCCGCCTCTCTAAAATGACTGAAAATCAAAGCGCAAAAGGACTAACGATCTGAAAAATTAAGACAATAAACGTTAAGAAGCTAATACAGAAATGGTGTGGCGAAGGCAAACGTGGCAGCCAATTTGCGCCCACGAAAATATACCGTCAATTCACTTTACAGCGGATCCTGCGAAGCGCTTTAAGACGCCCCGAAGACCTGATAAGGGGCTGTGTCAAACGCACGGATTACGATATTATTATTATCCCACAAAAAAGAGTCAGGAGCGAGTCGGAAGTTGTGCGCCGAATTGCCATTGGTCTCCAGAGTAGCTGTGCTCAGCTGTCTCGCATTCCTCCCTCCCTCCCTGCCTTCAGGTGTGCACGCTCCAGGCGACCTGAGATTGCCACATCACCTGCTCCCAGAGTGCCAGGCAGGCAGGCAGGGAGGGCAGGCAGGGAGGGAGGGAGGGCCAGCCACCTCCGCGATCGCCTGACTGATAGACACGTGGCTCTTGTGAAACAGGAACCGTGAGTCTGGCATTGCATCATCCAACCAGAGTTCCGGGCAGGAGCAGATTCCATAGCAACCAGTCGGGGTCAAAATGAGCGAGAAAATGCAGCTGTAAATTCAACGTCGGTTAGAGCAGGCCACACCTGCTTCCAATTCCCCTCCCACCCCCACACAGGTATTTTGTCTCTTGTCCAAAGTGCTTTGCAGGTAATTGCAACCAACAGTTGAAGGTCCCCTGCTTATAACAATCATTTGATAATTATAATCCTTGCACTTGATAAAGCGCATTTTGAGACGTCTCAAAGCGCTCCACAAAATATGCTGCAAAGTGGATGGACTGGGGTAATTTGTGGACGAAACCTGGCAGCCAATTGCGCACAGCAGCATCCCGCAAACAGTCGTGGATTGTGTAACCAAATGATTATTATTGTTTTTAGAATGTTATTGGAAAAGAGAAGGAAGTTTTTTCCCCCCCCCCCCATTTATTTACTGGCCGACAACCTGCCAGTTAAACCGGTTGTTCTCCTCACGGCTGTTTAGTGAACTTCTCTACACACAGAAAAACATTTGCCTGTAAATACACAGCCATCACGCTCCACAACAAAGTACTTTTAGACATTAAGGTGTTATCAGCTTCCTCAAGCCCTTGGCTGGGATGGAATGTCAGGCTGGACGATAAGCACAGCATTTGGGATCAAATCTACAACCTGATGCTAAAGCAAGAACAACTGAGCCAAGGTGAAACAGGGTGGATTCTGCAGTGCATTAAATATTAAAGGGGCCTGGTTGCTGCATCGGGAACACCTTTTCAGGCAAAACAACAGCTACCGAGAGATAGATACACAGCATGTAATGCTCATTCCCAGCCCAGGCCATTCCAAATCATATATATTGGCTCCAAGTTTATGATATGCTTTCGGTACTTTCTGACCTTTTATACAGAAGCACTTTAAGATGCAGTGCTATATAATAATAATAATAATCATCATCATCATTGCATTTGATATAACACCTTATCATGTTATCGAGATGTCTCCGAGTGCTTCACCGGATACACTGAAAAGTGGAGTGACTACACACCTTGTGGCTTGACACGGCAGGCAATTGTGCACAGCAGCGTCCCACAGACGGACATGGAACAAATGACCAATTTTATTTTGGGGGATTGTTGGCCATGACACTGGGAAAACTCCCTTCCCTTAGCAAATAATGGGATCTTTAACATCCACCTGAACAGGCAAAAGGACCTTGGTTTAACATGGTATCTGAAAGATGGCTGGCTTAACATATTTTCCTGGAACATTGTTCCAACATGCACACTTTGGCAAAAAGTGGGCGGAAAATAGACTTTATCTGTTGAATGAACTTCAGTTGGGGAATGTATGACTAAGCTATCAAAAATCTCACTAGAGACAGATGTTCCCTGAAACTGCTGGGAGTAGACAGCTGATTTCATTCTGCTTCACGAAAAGGATGACTTAATTCTACTTCGAGACAGTTTTCTGCGGAAAATAATTGAATTCTCCCTTCACAGACTGACTTTTCTGTACAAAAATGGCCCCAGGGTTAGTGGAATTTCACAAGCATCTCCACCCAAAAAGTAAATATGTGCGGGTCATGGTGAAATAATTTGCTCACAGCGAGCGAGACAATGTGGGCCAAAGGAGGAACCCACAGAAACTAGACAAATGAGTTTCTCTCAATATCCTGGCTAACAACAATCCTCCGGATACATTGGGCATGGCTGTTTGTGGGACCTTGCTGTACACCGAATGCTTGTCGCGATAACCGACAAATACGGTCTCTGCACTTGTTGGGAAATAATGTGCGAAGTGTTTTGTGACAGACATTTTAGGCGCTTTATCACATGTAAGAATTATCGTGGAATCCTGTTAGCGTATTGGCTGCAGCCCTCGCCTCGCGCGCGAGCCTGGGTGCGGTTCCCGGCCGGGGGAAAGGTTAGGCAAGTTTCCTTACTTCACATGCCTCCATTCACCTATCAGTAGGTAGGAACCTGCTTGTTAGTCAATTGGTGGATCGCTTTTCTGAAGGTAATAATCCCTCCAAAGTCCCCAAAAAGTTTAGTCACTCAATCCATGACTCTTTGTGGGATACTGCTGTGCGCAATTGGTTACCGTGTTTAACCCACTTTAACCCTAGTCACTTTACAGTATATTCTGTGAAGATCTTTGAGACGTCTCAGTGACGTGATAAGCCGCTATATCAAATGCAAGAACTATTAACACAATAAATGTTCCTTTAATTTTGGGGTGGGGGTGGAAATGTGGAATGTGTTATTCAGCACACGACAAAGTCCTACTGGGAAAACCAGGAAGTGACTCTTCCTGTTAGGGGGTGGAGCACTGTAAACAATGAAGAGGCTCTTTTAGAGAGAAGGGTGAGGGGTGGGGAGCGCGTTCGATATCTCACAGTCCAATTGGCTGCCGCGTTTCGCCCAGGAAACACACAGTCACTACGCTTTCCGCCGATATTCCGCGAAGCGCTGCGCGACGTCTTGGGAACCTATGGCGCCACGATCCCGCGTGCGGGAATGAATGAATGAATGAGCATTATTCGGGGATGGGGTGAGGGGGTGGTGGTGGGGGTGGGGGGGGGACAGTGACAGTGTTAAGTGACTCAGTCAGTCAGTCAGGGACCTGTTGGGCGATGAATGGAATAAAGGTCCCGCCCCCACATGGCGGGGAGGCGCTCGCTGATTGGTGCGTCTTGAGTCGCGCTGATTGGTCCGGCGCGGCTGTCAGTCGGCAGCGCGCGGGCGGGTTGGGCGGGAATGGGCGGGGCGGGTTGGGCGGTTTCGGGGAGAGTGGGGTGGGAGGTATTGCGATTGCTGTGACCCCCTCTGGGGCCGGAGGAGGAGGAGGAGGAGGAAGCGGCCGCCATTTTAACCCGCGAACGACGGCGGCGGCGGCGGACAGCGACGACGACGGCGGCGGCGGCAGAAGCAGCAGAACAGGCGAGACCAGCGGTGAGGAGAGCCCCGACCGCGCAGCCCGGGACCGGCCACCGAGTTGCACGACCTCGGGAGCGGATGGTGATGGCGGCGGCGGCGGCCCCCGGCGGCGGTGGGGGGGCGCGCGCTCGGTGTGCGGCCCTCGGGCCGGGGTTAGACCGGCGGCGGCGGAGAGGCCTTGGGCCCCCCCCCCTCCCCCCACTCCCCGATCCCTCTCCCCCCCCCCCCCGGACGGGGATAATTTGAGGGGCGCGGGCGAGAATGGCCTCTGATAACGGGGGTCGTGGGGACAACGTGAGGGTGAGGGTGATATGGAAGTTGGTGGGTAGGGGGGGGGTATGCGTTTGTGGGGGGGGAAGCGCGAGGGTGGGGGGAAAGGAGGGTGGGGGGGTTGTGGGGAGCAGGGGGGTGGGGGAGCAGGGGGGGTGGGGGGAAGGGAGGGTGGGGGAGCATGGGGTGGGGGGAAGAGAGGGTGGGGGGAGCATGGGGGTGGGGGGAAGGGAGGGTGGGGGGAGCATGGGGGTGGGGGGAAGGGAGGGTGGGGGAGCATGGGGGTGGGGGGAAGGGAGGGTGGGGGGAGCATGGGGGTGGGGGGAAGGGAGGGTGGGGGGAGCATGGGGGTGGGGGGAAGGGAGGGTGGGGGGAGCATGGGGGTGGGGGGAAGGAGGGTGGGGGGAGCATGGGGGTGGGGGGAGCAGGGAGGGTGGGGGGGAGCAGGGTGTGTGGGGGCGTGTGGGGAGGGGATGGTAAGGAAAGCTCCTCGGGGTGGGGGGGGGGGCCTTGACCCATCCTGCGGCCGACAGTGGTTTTTGTGCCGTGAGGTAACGTCGTTGACGGTCAAACCATTTGTTAAATGTCCTGAACTCTTGGCCCCGAATCGCTTTTTTTGCTGTTCTCGGCGCTGGGGGCGGTGTTTTATTTTTATTTTCTTTATTATTATTATTATTATTATTATTTACCGTTTCGCTGCGCTCTCGGTAGCTCCGATTTCAAGAAGATGCGCCGATAAATCCGCCGTCCCGTTCAGCCGCACCCGGTTTGCGCCTCGGGGTGTGCGCGTTGGGAACCGAACGGTGACAGCGGTGCCACTTCCCTGACGGACGAGGCGCGGCGCCTACAGTCCCACGTAACCTTCTTCCCGTCGGACCCGAGTGGAAAAGCTTTGCGGTGCTGGGTACGGCCTGAGGCCCGGTCTCTTGCGCGGGGTTTGTTTGTGTTCCGGAGCTCGGGAAATTGTAGGCAGGAAAGATGGTTTGCGGCGTTTTGAAGGTTAAACGGGTTATTTCGCATCGGCCATGAATCCTGGAACTTCCAAAGTTTGTTTTTTACACTTTTTTTCTCATCAATCTGTGGACCAGTTTTTCCCCTTTGCATAGGTGTGACGCCCATCCTTCCTCCCACTCCCCCCCCCCTCCTCGCTCCACCCCTTCCCTCCCCTCACCCTGACCATTTCCCACCCCTCCGCTCGGGTCCTGACCCAACTGTCCAGCGCCCTGGGACGTCCTCCCGACGTGAAAGGCGCTCTATAAATGGAACCTTGTTGTCGTTGTTGATTGCATTTGTGGATGAGTTGTCAATCGATTTATTTTTCAGACAGCACAAACGAGAGGCAGCGCTGCCCCCCTCTTTCTCCCCCCCCCACCCTCACCCCTGGCAACACCGCACAAAATCCAAATGTTGAGATGAAAGGAATTTAGTTTTTTTGCCCCCAACCTTCACAGCCTCAGTTTGTGTGTTGTCCAGCCAGAGGAATTTCTGAAGAGATTGTGGCTGGACAGAGTTGGTCAGATTGCTATTTACAAGATGTGTTCAGAATGGTGGTGGTGGGGAGGGGGTTTGCACAAGATGAGGTTGAGTGTTGTCATTCCCGTGACTTGTCCCATGGGAAAGCAAATTTGGCGCATTGTCTGATGTTCTTGAGTACTGTACTTTCCTAGCTGAATATCAACGGTGCAATTGAGGGACGCCTGAAATTAAGCGAGCGACGTCTTTAATGAACGCTGTTTTTTTAAAAAGTAAAACTTCACACAGAATTCCTGGTACCATGGTAAGATAAGGAGCCATAGTTGTGCACGTATGTGGGCAAGGAAATGGAGTAATGGTTAAGTAGCCTGGACAGTGAAGGATGGCAACTTGAATGATGCAGTACTGGCTCGTGAAGAGACAGGTTGACACCTCAGAAGAGAAAGTTGCAAGAAAATGGATGAAAACGGGGAACTGGGAACGCGTGGATGTTGGACTAAAAGTTCTTTGGGACTCTTTAATGCCTGAGTTCATTTTATTTTCCTGCCCCCAAATCTACAGTCAGTTTTCCTCCCAAAGGTGCTGACTCATGCATGGCCTGGTATTATCCAGGATCTGTCCCAGGAGGCAATCCTACAGCAAGTTCAAACGTGCTGATTGTGGGCACGAGGTTTCACAGCCGAGCCTGATCCCTCCTCGCCTGCTATCCACATAGGCACATTCCAGCCCGGGTCAGGTCAATACATGGCCTCACTACAGTGCATTATCGTGTTCCTGAAACATCTCAAAGCACTTCACAGGATTTACATGTTTTTTTTTTCTCTTTTCCCCGCCCAATCCCAGGACATTGAGATCAGCTAATTGAGCACATCGGGGATCAAACCTGGCTTCCTCCCTGGCCCGCATGTTAGAGCACGAAACACTGTTCTTGGGCACTAGTTGATGTATTTTACATTGTGGGTGTGTATAGGAGTGCTCTATCAGTCACTGATTTAGACCAGCCCCGTGCCAATCGTGAGGACAGATTAGCTGTCGTGTTGTGTGTGCTGCACTATTGTACCTGAACTCTACCCCTTTGAGTCAACATTCAGATCGGTCAGAGGAATGTGGCCATTTCTCCTTCCCACAGTGGCTCCTGGTATGGAAGGAAAGCCCCAACCCAGAACTTTGAGGGTGTTGGTTGTTGGAATGGTGGGCGTTCCTCTTCAGATTTTATGCTTGATTTTATTATAGAATTTTTGCCCCCTTCCACCCTGAAAGGTAGCAATGACGTGAGCGTTAGTAAAGTGCAAGACTTAATGTTTTGAGTTTTTATTCTGTGAGTGATTGTGATTCCCACAGTGTCCAGGTGATATGTCTGAGAGGAGCTGACACAAGGTGTTCTGTTGGTGACTTCTGTTGTTCACTGTGACATTCAGCACCAGCTGATCATTATTGAAACCTGTAACCCAGCAAATCCCTTCTGTTTTTTCACTTTGTGTGGATTTCCAGGGCTTCAAAATGAAAGTAGCTTGTTCTAATTCAAGTGTGTTGTGAGCTGTTTTTTNCTGCAGCACATCTCGTAAACCAAATGGCGCACCAAGTACATGGGTTTCAACTTTGATGCATTTTATTAGCATAAATTGAACAAAGTGAGGAGATGCACTACGACTGGATTAGTTACTGTAGTGGCTAAAGACTACAGCTGTACAAAATCTGTTGATTTTAGAGCTCAAACGTGCTGTGCAGTGGTGGAGTTGTGTAGTCTTGACCTTAAATAATTGATCCATATTTGCACCGAAACCTTTGATTTAGCCCAGAAGGAAACTATTTGTTCACTGATAAAAGTCTGGTATTTTTGTTCGCGCATTAGAGTTTAGTTCTGCCAGTTGTAATTTTTTTTCTTAAATGGAGTGGTTTGCCTGGACACCCCTGATCTCAGGCGTTTTCGTTTTGGTTCAGGTGAACGTGAGACAAGAGATTGCTTTGTTGTTTGGTGAACCTGAGCTTGATGTAGCCATGGAGAAATTACGCAATCACATTAATGTTGGAACTTGAGTTCCACTCATCATTTATTTACCAGTCAATATCAGCGATGGCTTGGGCTCAGTCTTTTTGTTGAATGATGTAGAATTTGGAGGTCAACAATACTGACACTGCCCTGTAGTCTCTCTAAACTGTGAGTGACTTGAAGGTGGTGCCTCACTGACTGACAAACATATATACAGACGCACACACACAGACGCACACTGGCCCTCAGCAACTGTTGAAACCTGAAGTTCACTGATCTTGTGTATTTATCCCTTGCTACGGTGTCACAAGGTGTGCGGTACCCAGAACATTTCATAAATCAATCTGCCTTTGGGCAAGATCAAAACTGGTTGTTGGGGTGGGTGTCGAGAAGATGATGGGTAGAACATAAGGCCAGTAGTTGCTGTAACTGAAAGTTCATTTGTTTCGTATTTGTCATTTGAAGAGAAACTGGTGCCATGGGGAACATAATCGACCGTCTCCTCAAGGGAATGTTTGGGAAGAAGGAGATGAGGATTCTCATGGTGGGATTGGATGCAGCTGGAAAGACCACCATCCTCTACAAACTCAAACTGGGAGAAATTGTCACTACCATCCCCACCATTGGTAAGGGAAAGCTTCTTCTCTGGGGAAAGCAGCTGCTGATTGCTGGAGAGGCTATCATGTGAGTCGTGGTGTAATGTCAGCCACCTAACCAGTGAATTGTAGAATTGGGTCCATTTATTCACATAGTGGATCATATTGCCGATGTAGCTTTGTGCAATACTGGAAGTCCATTGAGGTCAGTCTCAAAACCTCTTTTACTCCCTCCCCTCCATTGATTTTCTCTTCAATCTGCAGGCAATCTACTTCTGTGTCTACCATATATTTATCACTCGCTCTGTAAAAATAATTACATCCATTTACCTGCACTCTTCTAAGCTTAAATCTGTGGCCAAACCTTCAGCCGCTAGGCCCTCGCTTCCAAACTCCTACCGTGCTTGGTGTCTGGCGTTGACTGCAAAGTGCACTCACCTTGCATGCAGAGCAAAAGATAAACAATCTTTGCATTAGAATTGTAAATCATGATTGCAAGCTATTGGGGTTCAGTCATCTGCTCTCTTTAGGAACTTGAATACTTCAATCGAATCTCTCCTCTGAGCCCTCTCTCTGGTGTGCTCCACTTGTGCAGTGGGTGAGGTTACAAAGGAATGTTAACAGCAACAAGTTAAACAAATTGAGGCCCCACCTTCCCTTTTTAAAAATTAAAGTTTAATACGCCTCAAACGAGAACTAATGACAATACGTGGGAGGATTGCATTTGTGGCTCTATGTTTTCTAAATTCTGTGGGTTTTTTTGAGGTGGGGTGGGGGGGTGTGAGGTGGGGCTTTTCTTGAGTTTGACGGGCAAATGGGTTTGGGACATCCCGGGATTAAGGCCCATCGACCATCTAATGGCACATCTTTGTGCCAGTGACTGGGCTCTGGTTGATGGCGTGGTTTCCTTTCACTAACTTGGAATTCCATTGTCCTCTCACTTCAAGAACCTTCATTATTCCATCTCTTTCCCTCACCAGGTTTTAATGTGGAGACTGTAGAGTACAAGCAAGTCAGCTTCACAGTGTGGGACGTCGGTGGGCAAGATAAAATCAGGCCCCTCTGGCGCCACTATTTCCAGAACACACAAGGTATGTACACAGCTTCCCTATTTATTCATTTATTTTTTGGCCAGGCAGGTGTCTGACATGCACAGATATCACCACCGTGCTTAAGAATCCCCAAACCAAGCTGTGATTGCCAGGCCTCCCATCTGACATGGAAATCCCAGAGATAGATTGTTAGAATGGAATGCGCTCTCTCTCTCTCTTCCTGGAACTCTATCCCCCAGTGCCTTCGCCGTCTCCTCCCTTTCCTCCTTCAAGGCCGGTCTCAAGACCTTTCTCTTTGACCGTGCCTTCAGCTCCCCTCTTGACTCTCTACCCCTTCCTCGCTCCCTCCCCTCACCCTGACCATTTCCCCCCTCCTCGCTCGCTCCCTCCCTTCCCTCACCCTGACCATTTCCCCCACTGCTCGGGTCCTGACCCAACTGTACAGCGCCTTGGGACGTCCTCCCGACGTGAAAGGCGCTTTATAAATGGAATCTTGTTGTTGTTGGAAGAACCCATCCTGCTTATCTAATTCTGAAGAGTATTAGGCACAGGTTGGCAGGAGCTGAGGCTTGGGGGGGACCCCAGAGTGTGAGTTGGGAGTAACGGCTGGAGTCTAACCAGATAAAATTGCAAAGCTTACCATTGAGAGCGCTGTCTGGCAAGCTTTCCCACTGCTTGTCCAGCTGGGACCACCCTACTTGTTAGGGCTTTGAAGCTGGTGTGAGATGAAGGTGGTTCTTGTTCCACAGCAATTTGGTTTGTTTTTTTTCCTTAAAGGCTTAATCTTTGTAGTGGACAGCAATGATCGGGAGCGTGTGAACGAGGCGAAAGAAGAGCTGAACCGTATGTTGGCGGAAGATGAGTTGAGGGATGCTTCCTTGCTGGTGTTTGCAAACAAGCAGGTGTGGTGTTCTGTACAGTCCAGAGGGTTTTACTCTCACATATGAGACAATCAAAATCAAAGTGAACAGAAGAGGATGAGAATAATAATCCTTGCATTTGAGATAGCGTCTTATCACGGTGATGAGACGTCTCAATGGGCTTCACGGGATATAATAATCCTTTTTTTGATGCAGTGCCTTAACACCTCTTCAGGATATCACAAAGCGCTTCACAGAATACACTGCAAAGCGAATTGACTGTGTTTTGTGGGAGAAACGCGGCAGCCAATTGCGCACAGTGAAGTCCCACAAACAGTCGTGGATTGAAGTGACCAAATTATTATTACTATTTTAAATCTATTGTACAGTGGAGTGACTGTTATTGAATTGTGATTGCTGTCTGTTTGAGATCCGCATTCATTCATTCGTTCATTCTCTCTCTCTCTTTGTCAAGGACCTGCCCAACGCCATGACCGCTGCTGAGATCACAGACAAACTGAGCTTGCACTCTCTGCGCCAGAGAAAGTGGTACATCCAGGCCACGTGCGCGACCAGCGGCGACGGGCTATACGAGGGGCTGGATTGGCTGTCCAATCATCTTTGTACATCCAAATGATCGATCCCGTTTCCCCGAATGCCTCCGCCTGACCAGCGAGCTGCTGCTGCTGCTGCTGCATGTGTGTGTGTGTGTTTGGTGTAGAGTGGGAGCAGCTTCACCACGTGCCTTGTCTAGTTAAACACAGAGGGATTGAAGGACACTACGTACTGAACGAGTATTAGGATAAAACTGTGAAACTTATTTTAATACAAATAAAAAAAACAAATCCGTGCGGAGAGGGGGAGTGGGGGGGAGGGTTTGGGGGTGGTGGGGAGAGGATCATTCATTTGCTTCAGAGCGATTACCAGCAACTCCTGCAGAATTATCGTGTTACCTGCATTACCTCGGCTGCCCCCCACCCACCCCCCGTAATAAGGAAGTGAATGCGAGCATAATCCTCTCCCCCTTTTCTAATTTAACAAGGTGCTTGTGAGATGTGCAGCTCAGCCAGCAGCTTTTCACTGCAGGAGAATCTCATTAGCTGTCTCTCAAACTGAGCTGGGACCTGACAAGTCCTTGTGGGGTGGTGGGAGAGGTGAGGTTGGGAGTCAAGGTGGGTGGGTGTGTGTGTGTGTGGGATGGCTTTTTGCTGTCCTTGCGTTGTAACGCACACTGGATCGGAATTGATGCAGCGATCTGCAGTGAAAAAATTCTCTTGTTGTTGAGTGCAAGTCCCAGTTCATCCTGTCCCCCAACTCCGCACGGCTGGTATAAGCTTCGTTCAGAACCCGTTCGATCCCGTCAAATATTTAGAGGTCACTTGAGGCAGCTGCTCCCATTCCTCTGTTTCGTAAAGATTTCGAGCGACACTTGTATGTATTTACTACTGGGGTGGGGGGAGGGTGTGGGGGGGAGAACATCAATCAGAATGTCTAACTAATCCTCTTTCTTTGTTTCCAACACCATGAACTCAGCCAAAAAATAGTGCTCAGTCTCTCAGTCGCTGCAAACTCTCCAGACAAAAGTAGCTTCAAAAGCACGTGGATCTTTAAAGCACATAGACCTGTATGTGGCATTAAACTGGGGAGATGGACAGAACAGAGAGAGCTTACCTGTCTCCCACACCTCCTCAGTAGTCTAACTGGAGGTTGTAACCAAAAGAGATGATTGTGTGAAGCTGTGGACAGGTTGATGTTTTATTTAGAGGTTTATTTATGCTGCACAGGCCTAGTCAGCAGGTAATTTCCAATAGATGTGCTCATTGCTGAGTTAGTGACCCCCAGGAGACCATAACTGACTCCACTTATTTGACTTGGCTTTGAGCTGCAATGTTGATGTGGGGTTTGGGGGGGAAATCAAAGCTCCCATTGGGGGTATCCAATCCTTTCGCAATGAGCGAGGGCAGCCAGCGTTGTTAAACCGATGTAATGTAAGAATATATTTTAGTGGGGGCAGCATTACATGTGGAGCTGTAATAACCGTATGAAGCGTTGAGTTTTCTCTGTACAAATGAAGGCTGATGACAAATGGTGCAAATGTCTTATCTGAACTAAGATGAAGTTTGGTTTGTGTTTCGTTTTTTTTAAAACCATATTTGACAACCTGTCTTGAGAGAGATGCACTATTATCTAAGAGATCTCTATTAGAATAAACTTGTCATTACATACGCTGCATTGGGGTGCCTGTATAGGACTGAATCTGTGTTGGCTTGTGAGTGTGAGTGTGTGTGGTGGAGGGATGGGGAGAGACTTGTTTGGAAATATTCTGGCAATAAAGGTTCAAACTCCGCCTTACCCCTGACGCTACATGTTTCCATTATTGGGCCAGACCATCGCTGATTCCTGTTGGGTTTAGAATATAATAATAATTACATTTGATACAGTTCCTTATCGCCTCTTCGTAATGTCTCAAAGCACTTCACACGATATACTGTAAAGTGGATCGCTCCCCCTACCTCTGTGACCCCCTAACCCTCTACCAACCTGCTGGTTTCCGCCCCTCACATTCCCCGCTTCGCCCGCCCCACCATTGGAGGATGGGCCTTCATCCACTCTGCTTCCACCTTCTGGAACTCTATCCCGCAGTGCCTCCGCCTCGCACCTTCCCTTGCTTCCTTCAAGACCCTCCTCTTTGATCGTGCTTTCGATCACCTTCCTCCCCTGCCCTACCCTCTCTGATCCCAACCCCCAGCTCATGTCCGAAACACTGATTGTCCAGCGCCTTGGATATCCTGACATGGAAAGTGCTATACCAATGTAGTTTTGTCGTATTTTGTGGGTGAAACGAGCAGCCAATTGCGCACAGCAGTGTCCCACAAACAGTCGTGGATTGAGTGACCGGTTTATTATTATTTTGTTTCTTTTGGAGGGATTATTAACACCTGGAAAGGGATCTGCCAATCGACTAACATCCGGGTTGTCTGGCTCATTGTTGGGTGTCTCCTTAACTTGGGCGGGCAACAGACGGTCTTGATTTCAGGCGTTCAGCTAACGGCTGCTTGTTTCTGTCACAACACACGCACACCTTTGGTCCTTATTTACACCACACACCGGCATTGCAGGCGCTGGCCACACAAGGCGTTGCCGCTGTCCTGAGTCCCTCCCTCACTGCCCACACAGAGAGGTGGGACAGGGCTGGGTTTCTCCTGGAATGGCTCAGGAACAAATCAGCTCAGAGCTTTCTGAAAGATTTTTTAGAAAGAAAACTAGCAATTGGTGAGATGCAACTCCGGCTGAGTGTTTACGGTCTCTCCATTCTACAGCGGATGTTAAATATTATAATAATAATAATCCTGAGAATTGGACCCATCACTTTAAAGGAAGCTGATTCTGAGCAACAACAATAACAAGATTACATTTGTATAGCGCCTTTCACGTCGGGAGGACGTCCCAAGGCACTGTCGTTTCCAGATTTCTATCTCCCACCCCCCACCTCATCACAGCAGCCATACACGTGTTCACCTGCTCGCAGCAGCTCTTTGAAACAATTTAACACTCATAATAATCTTTGCATTTGATAGACCGGCTTATCATGTCTTCAGGACGTCTCACAGCGCTTCACAGAACACATTGTAGAGTGTGGTGTCTGTGCATTTTGTGGGTGAAAAATATACACTTCCAGAATTTCTCCAAATTCTGCACGCGCCTATTTCTGATCTTTTTTGTTTTATTCCTTTCCCCAACCCTCCTGTCTCCGACATGTGTTGATATTTTATACCCGGGCTGAACACTCACATCCTGTTGCCAGAACCAATTCATTTTTATTGTTCCATCTGCAACATAAAGGCAGTTTCAAAAGGGGCTGTTTTCCCGAGTGGGTGAGAAACCTCAACGGCTCGCAGGTAGCCTGCAGTCTGGCCCCATCCATCCTGTGGGATCTGCCAAGATTCCCTCCCCTAATCCTGAGAGTCCCCCCCACCCCCTCCATCCCCACACACGCAAACACCTGGGACATTGGGTGAGGATAAGATAGGGCTCAACAGGTTTCCCCCAAACCCCCCCTCACTGGGACCAGCAGAAGACTTGGGATGAAGCTGCTTTGCAATCAGACAGAATGTTTAACTATTTTTCCAGGGAAATGCCAGCAATGAATCCCTGTCCCTGTCTGTCCCCGTCCAGCCCTGGAGTTATCTGCCTGCGCTGCTCTCGGGATAGGCCCAGAGAGACGTCTGGACCTGCCGTATAGCAATGGCGCCGCCTTGTAGCACAATGTTGTAACATCAGCCCGAAGTTCACCGCAATCTGAGGTGATGCATTTTTTTTGGGGGGGGTTTTAAATAATAATCCTCACTTTCGCCTATGAACACCGAAAGGCGATTTGCAGGGAACTGCCGTAAACTGCAGTGATTTTACTTGTAGCCAATTTGCGCCAATACCTGCGGCATTGTTGGTCAGGAGACGGGGAGACATTGCTATTGTAACACCCACTTGATTAAGGTTTAAACGTAGAATTATACAGCACAGAAGGAGGCCATTCGGCACATTGTGTCTGTGCCAGAGCTTCCAAATCAATCACACTCCCACCGCGCTCTCCCCATAGCCCTGCAAACTTGCCCTCCCCAAATAATTATCTACTTCTCTCTCAAAAGTTGTTATTGAATCAGCTTTCACCACCTTTTTAGGCAACATCTCAAGATCTTTAATCCCATTAATCCCGGAGTCCTGTAGCTCAGTGGTTAGAGCACTCGCTTTGTAAGCGAGAGACCTGAGTTCAATCCCAGGCAGAGGGCCAAACCTTGGGCAAGTTTCCTTACTCCACACAGAGCCTAATAATAATCCTCCAAAACCAAAAACAATAATAAATTGGTCATTTTCAATCTACGACACTTTGTGGGACATTACTGTGCGCAATTGGCTGCCGCGTTCACCCACAAATATACAGTCAATTCACATTACAGTGTGTTCTGTGAAGCGCTTTGGGACGTCCTCCTGACGTGAAAAGCGCTATATCAAATGCAAGGATTATTATTATTATTTACTCCCCCTGACTCCCCACCTCTTAATACTCCCACCGCCCAAGTATCTGTGTGCCACCCAGAAAATGTACAGTCACTATACTTTACAGTCTATCCTGTGAAGTGCTTTGAGAGGGCTCAACGACATGATAAGGCGTTATATCAACTGCACGTATTATTATTATTACACATTCCCAATTCATTTAACAACAACGACAACAACAAAATTATATTTATAAAGCGCCTTTCATGTTGGGAGGACGTCCCAAAGCACTGATGGGATTTAAATCTGCAGCTCTGGTTTGTGTCGTTGCTGGCTGTGTGAAAGGGTTAACATGTGAGGCAGACTCTTATTTTCAAAGAGAATTTGCGTTTACACTTCACAGCCACGTTACACAAGTCCCGCTGAGCAGCAGCCGTTGATTCCTGGTAACCTCATTCACATTGTAACGTGTAATGGGTGTGTTAACATGCGACTCAGAAGTGAAGCTATTTGCAACGAGGAAACAACTCACAGAAAGTTGTGAACAAGTTTACACTGACTTTTCACACAACCCCTCACTGGGCAATCCACTCCCACCATTGCCTGGTGCTACTGAATTACACTGGGAGTCAGGGACTCCGCCTTATGACTGTCACACATGTTGGGGATTAGTATCTGTGACAGGACAATGGGACATGGGAGCGCACTTGTGTCCATCAGTCTAACACGGCTAAATATTGCCCATCTCTGGGAAACCCATTATGAATAATATTGCTGTTAATTTCTTCTGGGAGCGATGTTAAAAAAAGAACTTAATAATAATAATAATAATCCTTGCATTTGATATAGCGCTTTTCACGTCGGGAGGACGTCCCAAAGCGCTTCACAGAACACACTGTAAAGTGAAATTGACTGTATATTTGTGGGCGAACGCGGCAGCCAATTGCGCACAGCAATGTCCCACAAACAGTCGTGGATTGAAAATGACCAATTTATTATTGTTTTTTTTTTTTTGGAGGGATTATTATTAGGTGTGTAAAGCGAGTGCTCTAACCACTGAGCTACAGGACTCCCAACTTGTTTTTTGCAGCCGCTGAAACGCCCCAACACGCTGCACAAGTGAATCGCTTGTCAAGCGTAGAGTGACCGGTTTCGTAGGCAAAAACCTAGCGGCCGCCGGCAACCAGAGAGGTCCCAGGCAGGAGGCGAACGGACGATTAACCTGGAGGATTGTCGGCCGGGGCTCGCTCCGACTGGCCGGGCTTCAGGCTGCGAGGCGCCAGGAGCGGCTCCGCGATCAGAGGGTTCCATTAAGTGAATTTATCACAATATCTTTACAGCAGGAAATCTCTTTATAATGTAAGGAAGAGAAGCTTCCTGTGGTCAGCAGCTGAGCAGCGCTGAGCAGCCACGAGGAGAAGATCACTGGCGCCCTCCGGTGGAATATCTTGTAAGATGGTCAGCGACAATAACACATATGTTCACGTAAATCACCCCCCGCAATGACGGTCGTCACCCACAAAGCACCTTTTTTTTTTTTCGCAGAGAACGGGTGGAAATCTGAGCGCGGTGGGAGGTGAGCGAAGGCAAGGCCCGGGTGGTCGGTGATCGAGGAAGGAAGGCGAAGGAAAAAAAGAGAGGGAGAGAGGGAGTGTGTGTGTGCCTGAGGCGCAGGGATTGTGGGAGTGAGTTCCAGAGACTGGGGGCAAAGTGGCTGGAAGCTCGGCCACCGACGATGGGTGTGAGAGTGGGTAAGGGCTGTGGGGATGTGAGGGAGGGGGAGGTGGGGATGTGAGGGAGGGGGAGATGGGCAGTTATATTGCCGCAGGTGACTGTCACACCTACTCTGGAGGGTGGGAACCCTGAATGGAAATGTTTGATATAATAGAAACAGCATAACACCAAGATTACCATTATTATATTATATTATGTTTTACGTGAAAGAAGCTCTGAAACTGCTGATCTGAAGGACTTGTAGCCGAGGCGACTGTTGGCTCTGTTCCCCCCTTCCCCACCCCACAATCACACGTTCTCACCTCCGCACCACTGTCTCAGCTAATTTGCTGAGCTGTTAATTCCTGCTTGACACTGTTTGACAACTTTTCCTTTCATGTTGTCAGGTTTTAGGGGCCTTTTCTTCTGCACTTCCACAGGCTGATAAAAGGATTAAATAATACCTCCGGCCCCCAAGCCCGCCCTGTCCACATTCACTCACATCAGCAGCTTCCAGCCTGCAACTCACACACTGATGTGAAGCACTGAGCTCTCCAAGAACACCTTTATTACCTGGGGTGGGTGGGGGGTGGAGAGAGTGTGTTATCTGTCACGACTGTGCCTATGGCCACCATCGTCTTCACACAGCGCCCTTCTCCACCATTGTAGAGATCCCATGAGATGTCAGCCTACGAAAAGTTCGCTGTATAAATTCAAGAGGACGTTGTTGTGGTTGCCCTATTCCTATCATTCTCTCGAGGCCAAGACAGCGAGAGTGATGAGGCCATGTTGGTTGTGTGATTGACAGTGAGGGCCTGACCAGAGAGAGAGAGAGAGAGAGAATATAAAAAGCGTCAGCGATGAAGCTGCCGGTTGAGGCTGATTGCGGTTGTTGTCTGGCGGAGAAGGGAGGAGATGAAGGGATTTAATGGTTGGGTGACAGGAGCAGATTTACCCCCCCCTCCCCCGTCTCACCCCACCCACATCTGTAATATCTGGCACCACTCCCTGACCTCACCCCCGCGCACTTTTAATGAAAGAAGAAAAGAGAATGAATGAAGTCCCCAGCGATGCGTAGCAACTGTCTGAGGCATGCGGGGGCCGGGGCTGGGAAACAGCACCAGCATCCAGACTGACTCACAAACAAGGCAAATAAAAGCAGCCAACAATAGCTGCAGAATGTGTCACTGGCAACAGGTCGAATTCCTGCCCTGGTCTGATTGATGCTCAGGAGCATCGCTGCTACTCGCAGATCTGAGGCTCAGGAGGCTGTCTGCACACACGCGGACTGTGTCTTTAATTCTTAAAGGGGGCGTCTGTGGAACACACAGAAAGCGTTACAGGAAAAGGGCAGTAATAAGAATAATCCTTGCATTTGATTTAGTGGCTTCCACCATCCTGGCAGCCGCTTGACGTGTTGTGTCCCAAACTATATCCGGTATCTATCCCCAGATATCATATTACGTTCCAGCGGAAATCTGTTCAATTTATTCGGGCACTTTCAGCTTCCGCTGCCCATCTCCCTAGGGAACCTGTTCCATAAGTTTACTACTCGCTCACTGAAGTAGTGTCTCCGAGGATTTGTCCTGAATTTACCCCCTCAATCGCAGGCTGTGTCTCAAGTTAAAACACCTTCTCGTGGTCTGCATTATCCAGTCCTTTTTTCCAATAACCCTCAGAATCCAGACTAAGGTCCTTTATTAAGGAAATTCTGACAACTTTTCTTTAAATTAAAGATTAAAGGATTAAGAAGTAGGGAGGATGGGGGCTGTTGGTGGGTGGGGGCTGAGGGGATGGGAAAGGATTTATAGATTGGCCACATGGATCACTGGCGCCCCCTCCTGCTGGACTGTGGTATTGCTCCTGTCTCATTCAGCGTCTCAACACGGGATCAGCTCAGAGCTATTTGTGGTGTGAGCGCCTCACGTTGTCTTACAGTGAGAAGGTTTCTCTCTCTCTCTTTTCCCTGCCTCCTGTCTCAGAGTTAATAATAATCCCTGCACTTGGTACAGCGCCTGATCACATCTACGGGACGTCTCAAAGCGCTTCACAGAATATACCGTAAAGTGAATTGACTGTGTGTTTTGCAAAACAGGACAACCAATTACATACAGCAGCGTCCCACAGCCGGACATGAATTGAGTGACTAAATTATTATTATTTAATGTCATTAACAATCCTTGCATTTTTGACCTAGCACCATTCCCGTCAGGAGGACGTCTCAAAGTGCTTCTCAGGATTTATTGTGTTTTGTGGACAAGTTTTCAGCTTGGTCCTGATCTCAGTCACTGGTGGGAATGAGTTCAAAATCCCAACCAGCCTCTGGTGGGAAGATATTCTTTCTAAACCTCTCCCCGATTCCTCTGCTAATAATACTGAGATTGTGGGGGAGGGGGGTGGTGGTGTCGGTGAAGGGCTGGTGGGGAGGGAATAATTTTCGTGGCCAGCCCGCCAGCTCTGGATGGTTTAGTGCCCACACCAAAGCGGCCCTTATAAAACCATCAGGATTTTGTCCAGGGTCTGAGGAAGGAAGACAAAGTGTGAGACAATAAGCAGGAAACAGAGCGTCATTGGGGCTCCTGAGCCACATCGAATCGCATTGATCATCCTCAAGCTGCTCGTTTTTAAGATAAAATAGACCCCTTGACAACAGGATATCTGTAATTAAACCCTCTCTCAGCCAACCTCCATTCTGTACCCAGCCCGGCTCAGCAGTCACGGAAGATTGCGAGGCTGACCCTCTTGTCAGGCACTGTCAGTCTACTCCGTTCCCCTTTTCATAGACAGAATAAATGATATCTGCCCCGTGCTTTGAGCTGAATAGTCCCAGACAAGCTATCTGCTGGGTTTAATCTCCTGAAGACCCACTTGAACCATTAATCTTCTTTTGATGAAGATCTTGCCAATCCCAGGTTTGGAGCATTGGGATCTTCGAGGGGGCTCATCCGTCAGTGTCACTGGGAGAAAAGAAGAGGTTTATTACAGTCCAACTGAGCCGTGCCCCCTGCCTGCAGCCTTCATCCCTCTGTCTGAGGGAGTCACAGCTAATCACTCGGCTTCTGGACATGACTGGCATTTAACTCTTTCAGTCAAGTAATCTACTGTGAACCTACCCACATGTGGTTTGGTATAACAGCAATCCTTGCATTTGCTATAGCGTGTGACGTTGAAACGTCTCAAAGTGTCTCGCAGGGAGTTGATGTCAGGTGGTTTTGGTAGGCGACATCAGCAGCTAATTTGTGCACAAAGTGAGTGACCAATTTCTCTGGAGGGGAAACTTAGTCTCCAGACAAGCAGGATGGGAGCATTAAATTGTCGGTTGTGTGGAATAAATCCATTTAATCTAATTTTCCTGACTTTTAATAATAATAATAATCCTTGCATTTGATATAGCGCTTTTCACGTCGGGAGGACGTCCCAAAGCGCTTCACAGAACACACTGTAAAGTGAATTGACTGTATATTTGTGGGCGAACGCGGCGGCCAATTGCGCACAGCAATGTCCCACAAACAGTCGTGGATTGAAAATGACCAATTTATTATTGTTTCGTTTTGTCGTTCTCCCGACGTGAAAAGCGCTATATCAAATGCGAGGATTATTATTATTATATAGTCGCACAGCAGTAATAACAAATAATAATCCTTGCGTTTGACATCGCGCAATTCCCGCCCAAGTTGCAAAGCGCTTCGCGTGATTTTTCACTGCGTAAAGTGTAGTGACTGTGTATCGTGTCCCGGAACAATTGGGGGTGGATGTTTATATGGGGAAATGGATCGGGAAGGCAGAAAGAAAAGGTATGAAGAAAGAGGGAGGAAATGGGATTTAAAGCTCCAATCGATCGGGTCGATGGTCTGAGGGTTTCCTCCGCACTACAGTAACAGCTGCTCTGGGCACAACAGGACTACATCTCCCAGAATGCCCTGGCGGCGCGCAGGCGCTGTAGTGCACAACCCGGGGTGTGGGGGGGGGGACGACGACGCACACACACGCATGACGTTACGAAGACACGCCTTACCTGCTGCCGGGATGATGCCGCCCCCAGCGAGCGCTGATTGGCGACGCTACCCGGTGATGTCACCGTGACGCCGTCTGATTGGACTCGGACGGCTGTCGGTCAGTCAGCGGGGCGGGGCCGGGCCGGGCCGGCCCACGACGTCGGGGCGGGTCGACGTGAGCGTGAGGGGACGTCGACCGGCCGAGCGGGCTGTCAGTCATCGGCGGGGGGGCGGGAGCTCTCGCCCACGGGCGGCGCTTGTTGGTGGAGAGGGCGGGTGATGTCACCGCGGGGAGCGCTGATTGGACCGCGAGCCCGTCAGTCCGGCGGCGGCGGGGGTTGGGGATGCGCGGCGCGGGCGGCGCGGGAGGGGAGTTGATTCGGGGGAAGATGGCGGCGGCTCTGGTGGAGTTCCAGCGGGCGCAGTCCCTGGTCAGCACCGACCGCAACGCGTCCATCGACATCCTGCACAGCATCGGTGAGTGCGGGGCGCGGCGCGGGGGTGGGGGGGGGAGGAGGGGGCGGGCGAGGGCCCCGGGACAGGCCGAGGCTCCGGGCCCCTCAGCCCCGGGAGGAGGCGGCGGCCGCGGCGCTGCTGACTCACTACGAGCGCGGGGTTCGGGCCTAGTCGGCAGCGGCTCAGCCTCGGGCTCGGGTCCAGGCTCCAGGCTGCAGGCGGCGGGGGCACAGGGGCTGAGTCCGGGCTCGGGCCGGTGGAGGGGGTTTGTGGGGAGAAGCTGCGGCCGCTTTCCCTGAATATTAGCCAAGTCATTGCCCCCCCCCCCCCCCGCACTGGAGATACACACTCCCCCTCCACACACACACACTCACATACACACACACACATACACACATAAACACTCACCCACACACACACCCACATACACTCACACACACACATAAACACTCACCCACACACTCACCCACACACACACATAAACACACACACATAAACACACACGCACACTCACTCACACAAGTACACACACACTTACCCACACACACACCCACATACACTCACCCACACACACATACACTCACTCATACACACTCACCCACACACGTACACACACGCACTCACACATTCACACTCACCCACATACACTCACCCACACGCTCATTCACCCACATATACCATACACACACATACACACACTCACTCATCGACATGTACACTCACTCACACACATTCACTCACTCCACACACACTTACCACTTATTCACTGTTTGCTGCCCCTCTCACACACACACAGCCTTATATAGACACAGATTGTCTCACACAGCCACAGGCAGTGTCACACTGATGGCCACTCACACACAGGCCTCTGTGATCAGCCCCACAGTGACACAGCTACAAATAATCTCACGCATTCAGACAGGCACACAGCGACATAGAAACACACAGTGACCTGGCCGCTTCTAAAGTCTCTCATTCTGATTGTGTCCTGACAGCAACACAACTCAACGCCGCATTTGCCTGCAAGTAACAGTCCCTACACTTGACAGCAGTTCTCTGTGAAGCGCTGTGACAGGTGTGGGGATTGTTCGTTGACTTTCTTCTCAAAAGTTTCTCCCGTTCGCTGACTCACTCGTTCGAAAGGGAACCAAATAAGCACCTGAGCACTATACATTATTAAGGGATGTGGGGAGAGAACTGGAAAGCAAGATTCAAAAAAAAAAAGTGACCCGTGCCACAGACATGGTGTGACAAATGAATTGTCTATATGTGGGTCAGCAATGTCCTGAGCAGGAGATGCGAAGGTGTGGGCCTTCGAAGGAATGTTCTGGGACGCTACCCTACACGAGGGGCACTATATAAATGCGAGTTGTTATTGTTGCTTCTTTCAACCTACATCAAATGCAGACTCCACTTTTAATGGTGTTCTCGCTGTCTATTCATTTTGGGAAACTTCTCTTACAAACGTAAGAGGTGAATTGCATGTCTCTGCCTTTTTATTATTGCTGATGGGCGAGTGCACAACACAGGATCAGAGCTCCTCGCAGTGTGGTTAGAAGACAACTTTGGCTGTGTTCTTGCAGAGCTGTAAGATGCCGCACTCAGTTCTTGTGTGTTCATGTAATTCACTGTAACAGCTCCCCTCGAGTAAAGATTGATGTATGGAACAGTAAATGTCCTTCGTCTGATTGAGATGCATGTGGCTTTGCAATGGTTCGGTGTCTATCAATGGATGGAATGTTTTGTTGAGAATCCTGGTGATTGACAAACGGGCCGGGGGAGAGCTGAGCGTTTAATATATATTCTGTTACCTCTGATGAGTAAGTTACCTGATGGAACAGAGCTCCATCAAGGAGGATTCGAGTTTCCAGTTGCCTGTCATGGAAGTAATGCAGTAAATGCTTTAGCCTGAGACATCATGTCATGTATGTGTATCCACACCATCCCATTCTGCACTAGCTTTGTTTAAAGCTTGATTTGGAGCCATTGGGACGTCCTCCAGACGTGAAAGGCACTATACAAGTGTAATTTGATGTTGTTGTTGTTATTGTCTATAATGACTGACCTCAACACTGAGTATTCCATTCCAAAAGCTTAAATTGGTCTGATATAGAAGTTACACTAGTCTAACACGGCCAGGGTAGGTTAACAAAGTTTGAATTTACTCCTTGAAAATCCCTTTTGTCTCTTCACGAACCTGCAACCTCGTTGTTGACCATCAGGATTAAGAGGAGAACAGTCCACATCGGGTGTATTCGGAAATGTTCCTATCTCACTTCTCTTGTCCCCTCACTGGAATTGCCAGTCATTGCCTCGCCACTGTTCACCACTCTCCTCAGTGGCTCAATTCAAAGGTGAGCAATTGTGATGTAGGAGTTCTAGGAATCGATCCAACAAATCTACCCTTTTTTATGAATGATCTCACCCACATTTTGCTGCCTTTCTAAGCACCTCCTCTTTAGCCTAAAATACATTCAGTTGGAATTACTTCCAATGACTTCCTGCCATGACGTCTGTTGTTGTGTGAGATCACTCAGACAGAATTCTGAATGATCCTAATGTTGACCATATTTGTTCCCGGTTGTTTGGGCTGATGGACTTTTGGGTCTGTGGTACTCGATGCAGAACACAGGAGTCTTGAAGGAGGCAAGGGAGGGGTCGAGGCAAAGGGACTGTGGGGTGGAGTTCTAAAGGGTGGGAGCAGAGAGGCTGAAGGCCTGACCAACGATGGTCAGAACAACGTGAAATTGGTCATAATTATCTTCAATGTACCAACCGCCTTCCTATGCAATTGAACAATGTGGTAAAGTAACTGAGGGGGTTTTAAATTGAGGCTCAGTGAGCGTGTTTTCCAGTTGCCAAGAATAGATAACGCAACAACAACAGCTTGAATTTACACAACGCCCCCCCCCCCACGCAAGGTGACGTCCCAGAGCGCTTGACACTGGCGGAGCACGACACCGAACCGGGAGGGAGGGAGGTGACGGTAAGCACAGGTGACACTTTAATTTGCACCTTTTCCAAAATGATCATTGTGGACGAGCTGCTGGGAAGGACTTCAAGGTTGTCCTGTTTGCAGAGCCTGCAGCCTGAGGTCAGCCTGACAGCGTGAGGAATCTCAGCAAGTTGCACTTTGTTTCCAAGAGTTAGTTCATCTTTGAATCAACCACTGAGATTCTAGAGAATAAAAAAATAAAAATGTGTTCTTCCCTGGTCAGGGCAGTCTGCCTGTGCTGTGCTGGTGTTGCTGGGGAGCGAGTTTGACCACAACAGGATCCTCTGTCGCTTCTCACTGTTTCTGCCCTGAGCAGACAGTTTCTGTGGTGCCCTCAGTCACGTGCAGAGTAAAACTTAGTTTGATATCTTGTATATTCAGAAGGTCAATGTTTTAGTGTATTGTAAAGAACCTGGCGTTTCTGTGAGTTCTCATTGGACATGGGCTCACAATCGGACACATTTATAAATGCAGATTACTGTATAACGGAGTCCTGTTGCTTAGTGGTTGGAGCGCTCGCCTCGCAAGCGAGAGACCAGGCAGTGCAAAACGTTGGGCAAGTTTCCTTAGCTCCCCTCGCCTCTGTTTACCTAGCAGTAAATGGGAACCCGGATGTTAGTCGATTGGCGGATCGCTTTTCCGGGGGGTACTAATCCCTTCAAAACAAATCATAATAATAATTTGGTCACTCAATCCGCGGCTGTTTGTGGGACACGGCTCTGCACAATTGGCTGTTGCATTTCGCCCACAAAACATACAATTCACATTACAGTGTATCCGGTGAAGTGCTTTGAATCGTCTCATAGATGTGATCAGGCGCTATATAAAATGCAAGGATTATTATTATTATATTATGAGCAGGGGAATCTCAAATTCTTTTCTGAGGGAGTTGTGCAATGTGTCTATCGTCCCACAGCCTGAGACTGACTGAAACTCACACTCGCTGCTTTTAGCTCCGTGTCAGTGTGATGTCCTGACCCCTGATCTGACTGGCTGCTGTGAGCATGTCTGTCATCTAATGACCTGTCGAGAGTTTGGTTAAGTTCCGGGAAAGGTAAATCTAACTGCCCCTTTGCCTCCTCAGCTGCCCCAAATGCCCCAACATTCACCGCCTCTCTCCAGCATCACCATCACCCACACAGATCTCTGGTAAAGAGAGGAGGGAAAGAGTCCAGGCAACAGGTTGCGTTGGCACAGTCCGTTAACTGCAGGTGATTTCTGTGCAGGTGAAGCCTTCTATGATTTCACCTGATGTGACGGAGAGGGAGACAGGACCATCCCAAAGTAAATTTAAGCTTCTAATTCACTCAGTTTCTTTAAGACAGAATTGTGACAAATCACTTTTCTGTTTTCAAAGGACTTTTGAATTAATAATCGTTGTGCGGTCTGTGAGATTTGCGCTTGTAAAGGTCCTGAAATGATCGTCACTGAACTGAGATACAGAATGTGGTCAGTGTAACGGTCACTGGTTAGCCGTGTGTCAGTATTTTACAATGTGTGTGGATTTCTGCATTGTTTTGCTAACCCTGCTGGGAAGATGACTGGCAAAGCAGTGAGGAACTGATCTTATTTAAGCACAGTTTAACATGGCCCAGTGGGTAAAGAGAATCCGCTACAGAACTGAACACAGGCCCGAAGGTTGCAGGTTCATTCCCTACGGTTAGACAAAGCGGATCGGAAGCTTGTTGGAGAACACGTCTCTCAAGCCTGGGTCTTTAGTCGGAATTAAACGTACGGCTGTGAGGCGAATGGGTAGTAAATGTTCCGTCTCTTGGGTTTGCAGTGAAGCGCGATATCCAGCAGGACGACGAGGAGGCTGTGCGCGTGAAGGAGCAGAGTATCCTCGAGCTGGGCTCACTTCTGGCAAAGACAGGACAGGCAGCTGGTAAGCAACACAGCACCAGCTCAGGCACAGGGAATGACAGGCAGCGGGATCGGGGTGGAGCAGGGAATAAACCTTTTCGTTTCAATTCAACTGGATGAATTCCTGCATTGAAGGGCACTCGGGGCAGAGCGTCCCGTCCTGGAGCTTCGCAAAGCAAACCGGCACTGCCCCGTTCCTCTTGAGAGCGGACAGGCTATAGGGATGGCGTTCCGAGGCCTGGCAACGAGCGATCGGGCCAAAAAGTGAACAGAATTTCCCATTCCCCCCCCCCCCACCCCTATTTAAAATAACTTTTTCTGACCGGGGTTAACCCCATCTCGTATATTCTTGTTCACGCGAAACGAGGCGGATGCGGTGAATGCGGGCAGAGTGTCGCGCTGAGCCCGGGGGGGGGGGGTGCGCTGGCGGCACGGCGTTCCCGAACGGCGCTCAGCTGCCGTACCTACCACACGGTGGCAGCGGAGAACCGGTGCCGCTGTCCTCACCGGCGCCCCCCGCAGGCGGCTGCCTGTCCCGCCTTTACCTCTCCGGGTCCAGTCCGTTGACTGAAGTGTTTTCTTCGTTTTAATTCGACAGATACGGTCGTGCAGCGGCCGAAATAACATCACAAAACTGCTCTGCGGTCCCAGGCTCACTGCGCTCCTTTTTATTGCCGCCGCAGTGATGTGTCTTCGGGCCCTGGGGTGAGACCTGCCGACACGAAAGGAGCTATATACGAGTGTAATTTGTTGTTGTTTTCCCTGTCCGCAGAGCTGGGAGGATTACTGAAGTATGTCAGGCCATTCCTCAATTCCATCAGTAAAGCCAAGGCTGCTCGTTTGGTTCGATCTCTCCTCGACTTGTTTCTAGACATGGAGGCGGCAACTGGTCAAGAGGTGAGGCTCAGTCTCGCGCTACGTCACTGCGGCCAGCCTAGTGCTGAGGGATTTGTGCTGATTGCAATCTCTTTTGCAGGTTGAATTGTGTTTAGAGTGCATCGAATGGGCAAAGGTTGAGAAGAGGACGTTTCTACGCCAGGCATTGGAGGTAGGTCTCTGTGCTGTCTCTGTGCCAAGAGGTCGGATCAACCGCATCATTTGAACAAGAACTGACTAATCCTGGTCTGTGCCACGCCTGCCATTTCACCTAAAAACAAATAAATGAATAAATAAATAATAATAATTTGGTCACTTCAATTCACAACTGTTTGTGGGTACGCTGCTGTGCGCAATTGACTACTGCGTTTTGCCCACAAAATATAATCAATTCACTTTACAGTATATTCTGCGAAGCGCTTTGAGACGTCTTGAAGGCGTGATAAAGCGCTGAATGAAATGCGAGGATTGTTATTATTATCTCTGATGTTTCCTCCACAGGCTCGCTTGGTTTCTCTGTATTTCGACACTAAGAGGTATCAGGAGGCATTACAATTAGGTAACTAGCGATCTACCTTTGTGCTACAGTATTCAGTATACAGTACAGTCACTGCTCACTGGGTGAGAGTTTAAACAAACTGTCAGGGCCATCGAAAGACATGTTTCTCTAACTCAGTCTCATGTCGGCTCAAGTTATCGTTCGACATAATACTGATTGTTGAGGGAGTGTGTGCGTCTGGCTGTGCAGTGGATCAGGGGTCTGATCCCACATGGCTAAGTAGCATGGTTACACTCAATGTCTAGGCTCAGACGTGAGGAGAGGCCAGAGGGAGACTGCAGGCTGTTGAGTCGGACGTTAAAAAAAAAAGTTAAATATCTACAGATGAGAAAGCAAACAACCAGCACATTATTTTATTGAAAAGGTAAATGACGCACTGTTATTTGCTTATTACAATAGCTAACGATCAGGTAGTCTCATCCTCTTAAACCAGTTGCACGTGTTACACACATAAGAGTAACTAACTGGTTTGGTGTGTATTTGCTTTGAGGTGCCAGCAGAGGCCAGGCTTGTGTAACATTCTCACTGTCATTTGGCACAAATAATACACAGCAGTCACTGGGGCAGGAATTTGGGATTCGATCAAACACTTTGGGGTGAATTAGTGCCTGTGGGGTTGAGGAGTGGCAATGCAGGGAATTGTGAGTGAGTGAGCAAACACCTCATTGTGGGATGCTTCTTGTTACTAACGTGAAAACCGTAACTGGCGCAGACGACTTTGCTTCAAAGCATCATCTCTACCAAATAATTGGGATGGGAGAATTCTCTTATGTTCAGTGTCGAGGATGTTTTGGGGAGAATGTTTGGAGTAATGCTTCTCCTCGTCCCAGGGTCACAATTGCTCCGGGAGCTGAAGAAGATGGATGACAAGGCGCTGCTGGTCGAGGTGCAGTTGATGGAGAGCAAGACGTATCACGCTCTGAGTAACCTTCCCAAAGCTCGAGCTGCCCTGACCTCGGCCCGGACCACAGCCAACGCCATCTACTGCCCCCCCAAACTACAGGCTGCTCTGGACATGCAGTCAGGTACGCATCCTCCCCCCCCGCCCCAACTACAGGCTGCCCTCGACATGCAACAATAACAACAAATTATATTTACACAGCGCCTTTCATGTCGGGAGGACGCCAGATCAGGGAGGATGGGGGGGGCGACCGTAGGCACAAGGTCTTAAGGTGGGCCTTGAAGGAGGCAAGGGAGAGAGGCTCTGGGCTGGAGTTCCAGAGGGTAGAGGCAGTGGGGCCGAAGGCCTGAACGCTGATGGTGAGGCGGGCAGGGTAGGGGATGTGGAGCAGGCCAGTGCCCGCTGAGCAGAGGGAGCAGACAGGTTGGTGAAGTCTTAAAAGGTGCAGTCAGGTACACAGGCATTGTGTGGCTTCGCAGTGGCACAGACTCACACAGGGCCAATGGCCTCGTGTGTTTCTGTAAGCACTTGCCAAGTAAGAGAGGGTTGACCAGCAGAGGGAGACCTTGTACTGGCAGAGCTGGTGGTGCTCACTGCTGGAGGGAATCCTCCTGTAGGGCCCACTCTACCCCTCAAACCCCAACTCACAGGCATTGGGGCTGATCTAAATCAGCCTGGAGCAGCCTGGTATCTCACTGTCTCTCTTGCGGAGACGTGTCCTGCTGATGTCTCCCACCCTCCCTGCTGTAAGTGGCTTTTGCTGACGTCTCTCATTGCCGGGCACAGGTGCTGATCATCGCCAGGAAGCCGGGCGCGGCGGGTGGTAACCGGTGTTTAATGCTCGCTCTCGCGCTCAGGTATTATTCACGCCGCGGAGGAGAAGGACTGGAAGACGGCCTATTCCTATTTCTATGAGGCATTTGAGGGTTACGACTCCATCGATAGCCCCAAAGCCATCACTGCACTGAAGTACATGCTGCTCTGCAAAATCATGTTAAATACGTAAGTGTGAATGTTTACTAGACACGGGGGGAGGGGTGAGGGGGTGGGTCTGACAGAGGCGACCCTGTGGTTGTGCTGAGTCTCGGCTCGGTGTGTTGTGTGCGGGTCCAGAACAGGCTGAGCGCCAATCGCTTTGGTGATGTTTCTGGGGACACGGGCGTGAGGGGGATCGGGGGCACTGGGCAAAAGCGTCACTCGGCTTCCCGCTAGCGGGGACGGGGCTGGAGATTTTCTGTCCCTCTATAGCTCTTAGTCGCAGTGCAGTGCAGCCCCACATAGAGCGAGCGAGCAGGTACCTTTCCCTGGGGGGTGAGGAGGGGTGCCGAGAGGGGAGAGAATGAATCTTTAGTCCGTTTGGCCATTGAAAGGCTACACCACACTGAGCACCTGTTGGGATTACAGACAGACAGCCGGTGGCGGATCACTTGCTAATCTCTGTGGGAATCCAGGAGATCAATGTGTGGAGTTACGTTACCACTCGATGCCTGGAGCTCTCTGATCCTCCGCCGGTTCCTCTCCCTTTGTGTGAGAATTTTGAGAAACAACAAGAACAACTTGGATTTATTTCGCGCCCCTCAGGGTAGCGCCCCAGAGCGCTTGAAATGCACGTTGTGGTTTATTGTTCGCTGGGGATTGAAATTCGTGCTGTTTAGCCACTCGTAGACACTCGCAGGCGTGTTGTGCTGTAATGTTCACTGATTTTTCGGTCGCTGCTATCTCGCTGTGTAACTCACGCCGCCTGGTTTGTGTTTGTTCTCCAGACCTGAGGACGTTCAGGCGTTGGTGAGTGGGAAGCTGGCCCTCCGGTATGCAGGAAGGCAGGTAATACAACACCCCGCTATTCTTCAATCTAGCGTTTTCCCGGGAGGGGTGGAGGAGGAGGGGGGAGCCGAGAGGGAGGGGAGGATTTTTTTTAGAAATAGTTCTGTGGTTTATGAGGCTTCTGAAGAATGATCTCACAGTCACTAGACACCAGTCAGGCTGTTCATTCCCACCCTGACTTAGCCCAGAGGGCAGCAAGGCCAATGTAGCACCCAACTGTCTGAGATCAATTAACTTAGCACTCACTGGGAATCACTCCTCCTGGCTTTGTTACGTCTGTGTGTGGCTAAAGATTCTTTAAACGTCCTCTCAGAGCCCCTCTAGTAATGATCCTTGCACTGGATACAGCATCTATACACTCAGAACATCTCAAAGTGCTTCTTGAGTGTCGAGACTGTTTCCTTCACTTGGTGGCGGTTTGTGCAATCAGTCTGGGCGCACAAATTGGCTGCTGTGTTAGTCTCCAAAGACTCTCACTTGCGAGGACTTGCTATAGAGCGCTAGGAGTAGTTTTGATTTGCTGGGGGTGTAAACGCCTCAAGGTAGTGTTTGAGCCGTGACCCAACTTTCGGTTTAGCTAACGGTGGATTTCTCTTTGTTTTCAGACCGACTCGTTAAAATGTGTGGCGCGTGCGAGTAAGAACCGGTCACTGGCAGACTTTGAAAAGGTGAGCTCTCTCTAGAGGCTGGCGACGAGTGAGGAGAGAAGGTGAACTGTTAATGGCCACAGTTTGAAGGGCTTTCAATGCACAATACAGAGCAGCTTGTGTTAAATTCCAATCCCAAAGCGGGGGAATGTCCATAGGAACAACAGAAACTTGCTCTTCCTCCAGGGAGACTGGAAATTACACCCGCTTCTGTTTACAATGAACATTGCCAGCACTTTGTACAGTGTATGAGTGTGTGTGTGGAGTGGGGGGATTATTATCTGGTCATGGGGTGGGTTACCTGGTTCCTCGCCCTTGCTCTTCCTTCTGCTATACCGGCTGACATACTGGGTGGGCAGGGTGGCTCCTGAGGCGGGTGAATGTTGAGATGTGCGGGGGATGAGGGGGAAGAGCATTAGTTTGCGGGGAGAAGCATTTACTCCCCTCTGGCACCTCGAGAAGAAAGGTCAGGAATCCCGACTCGCATGTCCCCATACCCTAGTGACAATCAAGGATGTGTGGGGGGCGGGGGGGGAAGGAGAGGAAAGAAAGAGTTGTGAGTTATACACTGGATCCCTTCCACACAGGCTTGAGCTTGTCTGTCACTGGGCCACATGCATGTGCAGCTGCTTTCCAACTAAATTTAGTCCTGAAAAAACCCTGCTTGGAAACAACCAGAAATCTTCAGATGTTTGATTCAGTGAGGAGCTAGGTTTGAATATCGCACATAACCCAGAGTGACCGCCTCACTCCCTCTCTTGTCTCCTTCAAGTCCCGTCTAAAGACCTCCCTCCTTGACTGTGCCTTCGGCCATACACAACTCCCAGCTCGGGTCCAAAAGCCCCCGACTGTCTAGCACCCTGGGACGTCTGTCCGACGTGAAGGGCACAATACAGGTGTAATTTGTTGTTGCTGACGCTTCTGCCCTTCTGGCCTCCAGGCTTTGAAAGACTTTGAGGCAGAGCTGAGGGATGATCCCATCATCGCCACACACCTGGCAAAGTTGTACGATAACTTACTGGAGCAGAATCTTATCCGAGTGATCGAGCCTTTCTCCAGAGTCCAGGTAAGGTTCCTCACCAGCCCAGAGACTCTGGAACTCTCTCCCCCCCCCCCCCACCCCGCCCTACTTTCAAATCCCAGCGTCACACAGCCTCCTGTTGAGCCCTACCTGTATCCTCCACTTTGTTGACTGTTGCTTGTGGAGACATCCCAGGTTATATTTCATTACAGCGTTGACACAATTTGTGTTGCTGTGGTTTGTAATGAGAGAGCCCTTGATTTCCACCGTCATTGCGTTGTGACTTGTAATCGTTCCCCGGACTTAAACTGGACTTTCTTAATCTTGCAGCTAGAACACATAGCAACCCTCATCAAGCTCTCCAAGGTAAGTGAGGCTCCATTAACAACACAATACAGACTCCTCCGCCTTTGGATCTGAACTCTTTGTGGTTCAGCACAAGAGAGGCTGCCTTTAACGGGACGTCTCGAGATGAGAGACCTGGAATTCTGGCCTGACTTTATTGCTGTGATTTCAGGGGGATGTGGAAAGGAAACTCTCTCAGATGATCCTGGACAAGAAGTTTCACGGTGAGTGTTTGAGCAGTTGTGTGGGTGTGTGTGTGTGCGCTGCAGAGAGAGCTCTGTGTCCCCCTTGGGTTCTGACCCTGGACTGCATTGCGTTTGCTGATCTAAGCCCTGGCTACAAGAGGTGTCAGTGCAATTCTCACCAATTTCTCCTGAGGATTTCACACTTAAGATTTTCTGTTTCTCTTTGTCCCAGGTATCCTAGACCAAGGCGAGGGAGTCCTGATTGTTTTTGACGAGCCTCCAGTAGACAAAACGTATGAAACTGCGCTTGAAACTATCCAGAATATGAGTAAAGTAGTGGACTCGCTTTACAACAAGGCAAAGAAACTAACATAGGTGGGTTTGAGGTCTCGGGTATTCAGCAATAAGCTGCTGCCGTGCATTGACTTGTGATATTTTATAATGACCTGTGCTGGTCGATAATGATAACTAAGGTGTCTTTCCCTCCAGTTCTGTGCTGGAGCCAGGACTAAGCCCACATGACTGAAGGTTTGAGTGTGTTTGACTTGACAGCCTGGCCTTACCAGGGCTCTGTCCTTTACACATACATTCAGCTCTTTGTTCTCCTCCCGCAGAGCGAGCACCGTGCGTGCCGGAGTTGGCGTGTGTGACAGAAGAGAGAGAGAGAGAGAGAGAGAGGCGCTTGGAGAAGTGCTAGGATTTTTTTCAGTGTGTCCCACTTTCAGAATGAAAGTTTTTAAATCCCTCGTCAAACTCATTCTGTTCAGAGCAAGTTTGTTCCAGTTTGATGTAGCCTTCACCCAGCAGGTTATCGGGGATGGTATGACTTCTTTTTTTAAGAAAAAAAATCCTTTGTCATATTTTGTCCTGACTTACCATTACCTGAGAGTTTACTGAGACTCTTTGTTTTTTTGGTTTGATTTTGACCCTGTGCTATCTCTGGACCTGGCTGATATCACACTGCTTTTTACATCTGACTTGTTTTCCAGCGGTTGCCCCCACACGTAACATACCGTCTCTCGGTTTGGTTCCTTACCATCAATATCAAATGTACAAACGGTTCTCGCTAACCAACAAATTATCAGGTATATCTGATGTTCAGATGAGTTCATAATAAAAAGAAAAAAAAGTGTTTTTTTCAAAGTGTGACGTGTCCTTTTTAATTTCCTTTGGGGGATTTTCTGATTTTTTTTTAAATAACGAAAGAAAACGAGCGGATTGGATCTCAGAACTCTCAGAAGTTGCATTCATTACATTGTCAGCGGTTTCCAACCATTGAATCATGGGTTTTCCATTGCTCTTACTTTGTGATCATTCAGCGAGATTGGCTGAGCCATGCGTGACTTGTTACATGAACCCTTTGGTGGGTGGGGCGGGGGGGTGGGGATGGCGAATGTATGTACATCGCTGGTGTGGAGGGGGCAGCAAACCTTTTAAAGCGAAAAAAAAATCTGAAGATCGTGAGTAAGCCAGTGCACTCCAAACCTAAGCTCACTCAATTAGAATGCTTCCTGAAATTGGGTGACGTTTAGGTGAGGAAATCCTAAGCCATTGGCCTCAGTTAAAAGCGTGCGTGAAAGAAGCCGCCATTATTAGTTACTGAGGTGAAACGTACAGCAAAGAGGGCGCTGGATTTCACAGATCTCAGTATAGCTCCACACTAACAGGACCTGAGCACAGTGTCTGTCTGTTCTGAAGAATGTGTTGAAGCCGGGAGCCCTATGAATGTGGCTTGTGGTTCGCATTTTATGTACAATATAAGAGTGTTTGGTGAGTATGAGGACAAGCCTGGATTATGCACTGGAGTGAGTAATGACTTCAGAACCTCATCCACCATCCTCTGAGTGCACAGTCACTACACTCCCATCTTTTTGGTTCTATTTGAATGTTTGAGGAATCTGTATTTTCTTTTCTCTGAGGAGCTCACTTACCACTTGGCTTTTTTTTTGTCAACTACAGTATTTTACCTTATGTCATTTTAATAAACCCCGGCGGATTTGATTCACTGCATTTTAGTTTTTAATTCAAAGGTGACGGAATCTTTCACACTCCAGACGTGGGGTGAGCTTCGAGACGTGCCGCGTTTCGCCCACAACATACACAGGCGCTCCACTTTACAGCGTATCTCGTGAAGCGCTTTGAGACGTCTCGACGACGTGATAAGGCGCTTTATCAAATGCAAAGATTATATGATTGACAGCTGCCAAAACCCCGCTGGTTAAACGAATCCGAGCCAGACGCCGACGATTTCCATAACACACAAAGCAAGTGACGCAGTGTCAAATTATTATGATAATCCTTGCATTTGATAGGGGGCACAGGTGCAGACAGGTAGATAACCTAATTCCCCAGATCACTCCTCAATGCATTGCTGTACACAAGTCAGTACAGGAGTTGGAAAACTGCCAATTTCGTTCAACAATTTAAACATTCAATTCATCCCCAAATTGTTTTTCTCTCTCACTGTGTGCGTTAAACAGACTAACCATTAATATAATAATCCTTGCATTTGGCACAGCGCCTTATCACATCTTCGAGAGTCAAAACTCTTCACATAATATACCTTAAATTGAATTGACTGTATATTTTGTGAGCGAAACATGGCAGCCAATCGCGCACAGCAGCGTCCCACAAACAGTCGTGGATTGAGTGGTCCACATTTTATTTATGATAATGCTTCAATCAATGTACCTTTTTCTGCGAGCACCAAGTATCCTGACCTATATTCCTTATTGTTATCTCGACACAGTGCTCCCCAATGCTGGAACAATTGCTCTCTTCAGCAGCTGCCACTGGGAGAGAGACAGAGAGAGAGGCTATGATCTAAGGCTCTTGTGATAAGTTACCAAGGCCTGAGCTCAAAACAATGAAATACCGGCCCGTGTGGAGTCAATACTGAACCCTGCAAACAGCACAGAATTGCAGTTGAAACCATTTTATGGTCGAAATTCAGGAGAAATGTGTGGGTGTCGGAAGGACATGCAAAAACTTGCAAATAGTTTGTTCCAGGAATCAAATTGTATTGCTTTTTCTCTCTGCTTCTGGTTGCATTTTAAGAAGCCGATTCCTATGAACGCCGGGAGGCGTGTGGTTTACGTGGTGAGAATGGCAATGGGAGCTGCTGCCATCATTTACACATTTAATAAGACTACGTTTGGTGGTGGGCTGGGCCAGCGATTAACCCCTCAGTCTCCAGCCCCTCCCTGAGACTCAATCTCACACTCTCTCCACTCTGTCTCTCCCCTGTTAAACAAATAAGTTTGACCTATTCCCCTCCCAACCTTTTTGCTGTTTAAATGTAATCTCTCCACTGGAGAGGACACAAACCCTGAATTTAATTATATCCTATAAGGCGCTTTGAGACTTCTCAACGACCTGATAATGCGCTGTATCAAATGCACGTATTATTATTATCGCTATCATTATTTTTCAACCAGTTCGAATTTTTTTCTCTCGTGACCCAATCTAGACACTCACCTAATTTATACTAACCTGTCTCTTCCCTTTTCCCCCTCCCACACACACACACATACACACAATCAGTTCAATATTCCAACCTGTACCTTAGTCAAAACCAAATCTCACATTCATCCAAATGGTGGACAGACCATGATGTGCTGAGATCGCTGTCGTAAACAGCTTCTCATTGCTCTGTCACCATTGTGTAAGGAATATCCTCTGAGTAAAAACATTGTGTGTGTGTGTGTGTGTAATCTGATTGATGTGGGATAACTGATAGAATAATAAAGCAGAATATCTGCTGGGATTTGCAGTTAAGGTAACAGATAACCATCTACAATCCCTATCAATTCCTGCGACAGATAACTGGAGATTGTCATTAAAGGAATGAGGTTAGCCTGGATACTGCAGGCAGGCAGCCTCCTAACCAGTCACATTGGATCTGTCTGGCCTCACCTGTTCAGTCACTACAACCCTGGAGACTTCTTCTGCCGCTTACTGTATCACAGCGTTCAGCGTCTTGGGACTTCCTCCCAATGCGAAAGGCGCTATTTAAATGCAACGTGTTGTTGTTCAGGGCTGAGTTAAAATGGCCAACATCTGCCTGTTCCCCAAATCCACTTCTCAATCATCTGAGTGGCTCAGCTGTAGTTCATTTAGACTCCAGGAAACTCAGGCGAGGAGCGTAACTACATTCTTCTGTCAGAAAGTTCTTATTTTAGTTATTGGTCAGTTATTATTTATTATTAGTCAGTTATTATTTATTATTAGTCAGTTATTATTTATTATTAGTCAGTTATTATTTGTTATTAGTCAGTTATTATTGTAATACCTGGAGTTGTTTCCTGGTGGAGTAATGTGATTGATGGAAACACTGTGATTTATTTTGCAGTTTTTAAGGAGTGACTGAGCCCGTGTCACCCGAGAATACTCATCCCTCGAGTGATTAGGAGACAGCGATTGAATTAGAGGTTCAGATTATAGCAGAACCCTCCACAGCAGAGTGTGTATAAAGGGATATTTCTAACCATCATTTGGACCCAGAGTTTACATTCCCTTCTTACCTCCCTCCTGGGAGCTGTCATACTATCATTATTATTATTACCATAGAGCTGATGGTTGATTTTATTTGGTCTGTTGTTGAGATCATTGTTTTATATGCTTTAATAAGCAGCCCCCCCCCCCCCACACACACATCTATTAGTGCAGGTTATAGGGACCATTAAAGGTGTTTTTTTTACACCATCTCTCACCGAATACCTATTATTTTTTTGAGAGAAAATGAGAGGTTCCAAGAGAGAGGAAAACAGGCTGAGCGAGAGAGATAGAGAGAAGGGATGGCACAGTATGGTACTACAGTGATGGTATAACTCCTGGTGAACAATCGTTTAGTTTGTATTGGGTGGTATTTGGTTATCCGCACTGAACAGAACAAAGCTCTGGCATCTTGGTTTGCCAGACCCGTTACACACAGCCTCGCCTCCACCTCCACCTCACCCCCTCCCTCGCCTCCTTCAGGGTCCATCACAAGACCTTCCTCTTTGACCACTCTCCCCCAACTCCCTACACTCCAACCCCTCTTGATTCCGACCTCCAGCTCGGGCGCAAAACCCTTAACAGTCCAGCGCCTCGGGACACCCTGAAGGGGCGCTAACATAAATACGATTTTGTTGTTGTCTCGACGATGGGATCGGGGGTTAATATAATATAAAATAAAAAGAAAGTCAGGATTGCCTAAGGTGCGGTTCAACTGCCCCACACCACCCCCACCCCCCTTCCTCCTTAACCTGTGAATGTTTCTCGAAAGGGAAACACAAAAACATTGCTTATGTGGCCCTAAGGGTTGGACCCCACGAGGGTTGGCTCTCTGGGCTCCTGCCCTCCGCAGCCCCGAACGGTTCACCGAAAACCTGGACGGGAAAGGAAAAATGTGTTTGGTTTGGGTTTGGGGGCGGAGAGGAAGGGGTTAAGGCTATGATACTGAGTTGGTCGTTACGAGGGGCGGTCGCTGTGCTGTGAGTGGGAGAGGCTGTGCGGGAGGCGGCAGTGAGGAGCGGGTGGGGGGCGGAGGCAGAACAGAAGGTGGGAGAGGAGAGAGGGAGAGAGAGAGAGGAGAACCCCAAACCATCAGCGCCTCTCAGGGCAGCTCCACATCATGGGACCACCGGCTTAGACACGCACACAGTCACCGGGGAAGGCTGCTCTCTCCCCGGGGGGAGGCAGTCTGCTGGAGCCCGGGGGGCAGCGACACCGCCGCTCCCGGGAGGGGGAGTCGGTACCGAAAGTCGTTGCTGCATTCGCGAATGCGGATATTAACGGGAGAGCTGAGGCGCACATCGTCCGGGGACCGGACCCACCAACCTGGCGCCGGGGCTCGCCGTTAGCCTCCGTCTCCACCTCCACCGGGTACCGGCACTGCGGGCGGGGGGCTGAACGAACGCGGCGCAACGCAACGGAGCGAACGAACACCGAATCCGCTGCGCATTTTCTGGGCTGTGCAGGAGGAGGAGGAGGAGGAGACGGGTTTAATTCAGGCTGAAAACCATCAGATGTCTGTCTGATTTCCTGCAGCCGCTCCTTCCTCCCCGGTCCCCATCTTCCCTCTCCCCTCTCCCCGCCCCGACCGGACCCGACGGCGACCGGTACCCTCAGCATCTGCCAACCCGGTACCGTGAACGTCTGACAGCCGGTGCCGTTAAAACGTCTGCAACGGGAGCTGTCAACATCTGCCAGCGGACAAGGTAGACACCCGCCCCGGGAACCGCAAGTACCTGCAACCGGTACCGTGAAGCCTCTGTAAGCGGAATCACAAACATCTGCAACCGGTGCTGCGAACACGTCTGCAACGGCAACCTTCAAAAACATCTGCACGGGGGGTGGGGGGAAGCGGTCAAAACATCTGCCCCGAGCGTCTGAAAAACCTTTGCCGTTTACCGTTTTCAAAAAAGAAATCTGGCGACCAAACGTGACCTGTGAGCAACTGCCGACCCGCGGGTGGGGAAACCCTAAAACATCTGCAAAAGCCACCAACCAACCACCAACTGCCACCCAACTACCAACCAACTGCCAACCACCCAACTACCAACCACCCAACTACCAACCAACTGCCACCCACCCAACTGCCACCCAACTACCACCCAACTACCAACCACCCAACTGCCAACCACCCAACTACCACCCGCTCAACCGAGCCAACCCACCGCGAACATCTGCGGGAGCCGGCAAGGCGGCCCGCGGGCCGGGGCTAGGCAGCGCCAGGCGGCGGCGGCGGCGGCAGCAGCATGGGGACGGTGCTGTCGCTGTCGCCGAGCTACCGCAAGGCGGCGCTGTTCGAGGATGGCGGCGGCGCGGGGGCCGCGGCGTTGTCGGGACGTTACACGGCGGTGCCGGGCGGCAAGAGCGGCGGCGGCGGCGGCGGGAGGGGGGAGAAGGGCAATGGCGGCGGCAACGGCGGCAATGGCGGCGGCGGCGGGAAGCGGCACTCCATCATGTCGGCGCTGCCCTGGAAGCGCATCGCCGCCGTGTCGGCCAAGAAGAAGAGCAGTAAGAAGGTGACGCCGCTGCCGCCGCCGCCGGTGCCGGTGCCGCCGGTGTCGGGGACCGTGACTCACCTGAACAACCAGAACCTGCGCAAGTCCCTGTCGTGCGCGAACCTACCGCCGGGGCCGGGCCTGGGCCTGGGCCTGGGTCAGGGCCTGGGCCTGGGTCAGGCTCCCACACCCGCCCCGGGCCGCGCCGACACCGGCGGCGCCACCACCACCACCAGCGGCGGCGGCCTCGCAGCACTAGGCCCGCGCCGCATCCTCGGCCTCGCGCCGACCCCTCCCCGGGCCGTGATCGCTCCCCCTCCGGCGCCGCCTCCACCCTCCTCCGCGGGGGGCCCGGGTCCGGGCCCGGCCCCGCCGCCGCCGCGCGGCTCCCCGAGGCGGGTGGTGGTGCAGGCCAGCACGGGCGAGCTGCTGCGCTGCCTGGGCGACTTCCTGTGCCGCCGCTGCTACCGGCTGAAGCGGCTGGCGGCCAGCGAGCCGGTGCTGTGGCTGCGCAGCGTGGACCGGTCGCTGCTGCTGCAGGGCTGGCAGGACCAGGGCTTCGTCACCCCGGCCAACGTGGTCTTCGTCTACATGCTGTGCCGGGACGTCATCCCGGCCGAGCTGTCCAGCGAGCAGGAGCTCCAAGCCGCCCTCCTGACCTGCCTGTACCTGTCCTACTCGTACATGGGCAACGAGATCTCCTACCCGCTCAAGCCCTTCCTGGTGGAGAGCTGCAAGGAGCTGTTCTGGGAGCGGTGCCTGAGCATCATCCGCCTGATGAGCGCCAAGATGCTGCGCATCAACGCCGACCCCCACTTCTTCACCCAGGTCTTCGCCGACCTCAAGAGCGAGTGCGCGGCGGCACCGGCGGCGCCGGCGGCACCGGCTCAGGAGGAGAGGGGCGGCGGGGAGAAGAAGAAGAAGGAGGCGGCGGCGGCGGCGGCGGAGCGGGAGAGGGAGAGGGAGAAAGAGAAAGAGAGAGAGAGAGAGAGGCCCCACCGGCTGCTCATCGGCCTGGACCGGTGACTCCGGCCGCCTCTGAGCTCGGGCTCCCTCCTTCCCTCCCTCCCTCCCTCCCTTCCCTCCCTCCGCCCCTCCGAAACGGAACCAATTCAAAAAAAGAATAATAGTGATAAAATAAACACGATCGGTAACGGTAATCGTGAACGAAGAAACAAAACGAAGGAAGGAGAAAGGGATGGATGAATGAATGAATGAATGAATGAATGAAAGAGGAAAAGGATAGGGGTGGGTGGGGGGGGGGAGGAGTGGGGTAAAAAAAAGAAAGCGAGACGCGGATACGTTTCGCCCCGTAAAATACACAGTCACTTCACTTTGCAATCTATCCTGTGAAGCTTTTTGAGGCGTCTCGAAGACGTGATCAGGAGCCGTGTCAAATGCGAGGATAATAATAATTATCCCCTAATATATACGTCTGTATATATTATATATATAATATCCCCCCCTCAACTCTCCCCCCCCTCCCCCCATCCACACACACATATGTAAAACACACAAGCTCACCCCACTTTACGGGGTAAGAGTACACAGTCCCCACCTCCCCCCTCCTTCCCCTCAACTCTACACTATTTTAAAGTGTAAAAAAACACTTTATAGTATGTTCTGTGAAGCGCTTTGAGACGTCTTGACGACGTGATAAGGTGTTGTATCAAATGCGAGGATTATTTATCATTGTTACTTGAGTGTAAGACTGACCCGCCCGCCCTTTTATTTTTTCTTTTGTTTTTGTTGGTACTTTTATTCCCCTCTGGAGACGGAGGGAGGGAGGGAGGGAAGGGAGGTGGTTGGTGAGGGTAGGGGTGGGGGAGAACCTTGGAAGAAAATGGATTTTCCTGTTACACAAGCAAAAAAAAATTGTTTCGGAACAAAATGTGGAAAAAAAATTCATCCATGAACAAAGCAAGGTTTATTTCTCTCTCTCTCTCTCTCTCTCTCTCTGGGTCTCGCGCGTGGTGGTTTATCTGCATGTCTGGGTATTTGTGCCCCTCAACTCTCACATTAAATCAGTATGAATGACTTTATACAGAAAACAAAACCAACGACAAGATGCCAAGGATGTGTTCGCGGATTCTGACAGATGGTTCTTTTATTTTGGTGTGAAGCGTTTGATGAAGGATAAACATTTTTATCGAATATGGGGAGGTGCCGTTTTTTAATATTTTTTTTTGGGGGGGGGGGGGTGTCCACAAATGCACGATTTAATTCTCTGTGTTGCTCTCCCTGGAGTCGGAGAATTGGAAAGCTGCAAAAAAAAACAACAACAATGTGCCATTTTTCGACTGGAAGTCTTTGACATAGACTTTAGCTGTACATTTTTTTTGAAAGTGCTAATATATGAAGATGTTTCCCAGTGCAATTTGTTATTTAAGAGGAACCCTGTTAACCAAACAGTGTTCTTTCCGTTGTACGTGTAGAGTGTATGTGTGTGTATGTGTGCGTGTACGTGAGTGAGCAAATGGAGGTTGATGTCACTCGATGCTGTAAACAGCGATAGCTGTACTTTGTGTTTTTAATTTTAATTTTTATTTATTTTTGTACTGTGATGAATAAAAAATGCACTGATCATTCATGACAGCTGGAGTGTGTTTGCGAGCTTTATTCGGGCCCCTGATGTGGGGTATTTCATGTGCTGTTTGAGTCTGAGCCTCAGTGCCACAACTCTAAACACTTTTCGTTCCAATCCCAGTATTTAGTCTTGTTCCCCCTTCCCCCTCCCAGCACAAGACGTGGTTTCTTTAGAGCGTTCAAATGCTAATTAGCAGCTGCCTACAGAATTGCTTCCAATAGATAGCTTGTCCTGCTCACCGTCCAGGCTGATGCTCCAGCGCAGTGCTTGGGGAGTGCTGCATTGTCAGAGGTGCTGCTCCAAAAGAGACGAGAGTTTCTCTCGCTGTCCTGGCCGACAGTCCTCCAGATATAAAAATAAATTGGGTCATTCACTTCATGGCTGTTTATGCGCAAATGGGCTGGTGCCTTTGGCTGCAAAAACAGTCGCGTGACAGAAAATTCTACGATGCCCTTTGAGACGTTTGAATGTGACGCGCCGCTATGTAATAATGCCAAGTTTATTATTATTATTCTCACTTCTTACTTAAGAGGAGCTCAGCCCCGGTGTCTCCATCAGAAAGTAACCACAAATGTGGGCTCAATGGTTGTATGTTACTAACGTGTCCGTATGTACCTGGCATGATTTTTGTGCTGAAATTGATACAGATTGATGTTTGCCTCCCATGTGCAGTTATCTGATGATGTGGAACGATGCCAGATTCAGGATCATGGCAGAGCTTTCAATCCCGTTTCTTCACAATTTCTCCCTGCTGCTCAATACCCTTACTCCCGAACTAGGGAATCTCTATCCCTTTTAAGCCCGTCAGTCTGAGACCACATCATTGTCCTTTATCGGACGGCGGGCAGGCGGGCGGGCGGGCGGCAGGCATGGCGGGCTGCGCTCCCCACAGATGAATAGCTAATCATTTTGCCTGGACTTGTGGATGGGGGCTGGGGAGTGGTGACAGGCTCCAGTGTGTGTGTGTGGCGATTGATCGGAGGTTGTGTGTGTGTTGAAATCCCTGCAGATGCCTCCTGTTTACTGCCACCCCCTCCTCATAAAGAGATCACAACAGCCTCCAGCCCTACACACTCCGCTCACACCCCTCACCCCCTTTCCTGGCTCAAGTGTTTGTCAGCCCACTTCTAGCAGCCAAACTCATGACAAGCATATTGCTGCTGGTTTATTGGTTAAAAGGCCACATTTTTGTTTGTTGCGATCGCGCAGAGTTCATTTTAATTTAAAGTTGAGGGGGCACTGATGTGCGTAAATTGGCTTCCTCATTTCGCACACAAAACACTTAGTCACAGCATCGATTGGCTTCCCTTTCTGCAGACTCTGCTCAACTGTGGTTCGAGGCAGAGAATTCCACACCCCAACCAGCCTCGGTGCAGATATATATTTTTTTCTGTACAGCTCATCTTTAATTCCTTTTGGTGATGATTTGAAAACCCATTCCCTCTGGTTCAGACTCTCTGATCAGTGGAAACAATCTGATTGTTTCTGCAGCCCATGTCCTCTCCTGCACCAGGCTCCTCGACCCTATGGCCCCCATCCTTGCACAACTCCACTGGCTTCCTTTCCATCATTCAGAGGATACAGTTCATGGTCCTGGTCCTCACCTTCAAAGCCCTCCAAGGTCTTGCTCCCCACTACTTCTGCAACCTCCTAACCCCCTACCATTCTGTTCACCTCTTCCACTCAGCGGGCTCCGGCCTGCTTCACGTCCTCTGCCTTGCTCGCTCCACTATCGGCAGACGGGCCTTCTGCCACTCTGCCCTCACCCTCTGGAACTCCATCCCACATCCCTCTGCCTCGCCCGCTCCCTCGCCACCTTCAAGACCCATCTCAAGACCCTCCTCTTCGACCATGCTTTCGATCTCCCTGCTCCGCCCCTGCCCTCCCCCACTACGACCCCCAACTAGGGTCCGTAACTCTGTCTGTCCAGCTCCTCGGGTTGTCCTCCCGATGTGAAAAGTGCTTTACAAACGTAATTTTGTTGTTGTTGATATTGATCCGGTCAGAAACCTTCAACCATCACAAACACCTTGATCAGGTCACCTTCTCAGCTCCAGTGTACAAAAAAGCCCAAACTAGATAGATTTCTGTCGAGACATCTCACAGCGCTTCACAGAATATACTGTAAAGTGTGTTGACTGTGTATTTTGTGGGTGAAAATATGCTACAAAGTCAAGGGTTTCTTGGGAATTTTTTTTAATTCATGAAGAGCACTAATATTTTTTCAGTTTGGAACAAAGCGTTTATGAAAATAAAGTGATTTTACTGTATATCCTATACCAAGGAGATAACATGAATAAAACACATCAGAAATACAATTAAATTACAAATGTTTTTAAAAAAAATGCATATCAAACAAAGCTCCCACCATAAACTTTGGTTTTAATCAAAAACAAAACAACAAAAAGTTTAATTTTGTGTAAAAAAAACAGCGGTCCCGACACTGTTTAGTAACAAGAATCACTTTCCTGGTTAACCCAATGGTATAAAGTCAATTCTAAATATAAAGCTGATTTATACATGATAAATTAGAGATTAAATAAATCGTTTCATTACACATTGGCATTGCCGAAAACAAGCACTATATTCCACTGAGCGGCAAAACAATCGCTTAGCGACCTCGATACTAGGCTATAAAGAGTCCTGACAGGTAGTGCAGTGTTGAAGGCACTTGAGTCCACTTCTGTGTTTGGGGGGAAATCTAATGCTGGCGTCCCACAAACATCAGGGGTGCATCATTAAAAAAGCTGCTGGATGGCGATCAGTTTTGTTTGGGGAGGGGTGAAAAAGAGGCATGTTTGCAGCGATTATTCCAATGCCATCACTGGACATCCTTCCTCATTGCAGATGGTTGGAATCGCTTGCTGCCCCTTCAGAGGGGGAGGGAGGGGGAGCTGGCATACTGCCCGGGGGCTGTGTTGACTCAGTCTGTGTTGCCTTTCCGAGTCTCCGAAATTAATCTTGAAGCTGTTTTTCTTATCATGAGTTTCTGTTAAGAAGTCACGACTAATATTCAACAATTGGCTGAGTTCTGGGAAGCTTGGATACACGACCCTGACACCGAGAGGAGTAACCCAGAGCCAGGCATCCCTCTGGCCCGGCTGCCCTGCTCCCACTAACTCCTGGAGCTCGGGAACTCTCCGGGCCAGTCTTGGAGGACATCGTCAGCGCAGACCAGCAGCGCTGGGACATCCTGCCCTCGCCAGCAAACCAGAGAGCTCCAAACCATGAGCAGGATGTAACTGGCGGTGAGGGCCATGGGGGGAGTGTTATTGCTAATGAAGTGTTGAGAGTCGTGCACCTCCAACAACAGAATTCTGAGACATGTCTAAGCACTGGACTCGGGAGCAGTGTGTGGGTTGGATCTACTCAGCCCTTTACCCTTCTGAGGTCAATAAATATGTTCCTTCCAGAGGCGAGGATGGATGGGGGTGGGGATGGGAAAAGGGGGTGGGGGGGAGTAGGGAATGCTTTACATTCGACTGCGCTGGGATCTGATCTGAAAAATGATTTAAAAGATAAAAATGAAGGATTAACCTCTCAATTTTCAGGCCACTTTCTCACACGCTGTTTAATTGGCTAATCCCAACCTCACTGCCGGAAAAATAGACCTTAATGAGTGTCTCTGAACGACAGACAGTGAAGATGGGAGGTGAGGGTGGATGGGCAGGGCTGGGGGCCGGGTTGGGGGGCAGGGCAGGGATGAAGTCCATGGGGTGGGCTTGGTTTGGCTTGGCAGCAGATGGGAGGAGAGGAGGGGAGGCCTGAGCCAAGCTCACTGAGCCCCAGGCCAACACAGGATGTACCCTGAGCGGGTTTTGGTGAAGTCGGGGTGTTGTTGGTTGATCTTGGTCTCCACGGTGATAGAGCAGGCCTTCCCGTTCATGGTGCAGTGGATGGGATTTGATGCTTTGACGTGAAGCTGACGATTCTCACTGTAAACGGAAAAATAAACACCAATTAGTTCGGCATTTGGTTGCAAATCCATCCGATAATCTGTTCACTCAGTCCACGACTGTGTGTGTGGGGGGCACTGCTGTGTGCGATTAGCTTCCACGTTTCACCTACAAAACATACAGTCAATGCAGTTTACAAGTATATCGTGTGAAGCTCTTTGAGACGTCTCAACGAGGTGATCAACAACAACAACTTGGATTTATATAGTGCCCTCCATGCCAGATGGCGTCTCAGAGCTTCACAGTAACGGATCCCGGGACCGACTGGAATGGAATTGCACTCTCTCTCTCTCCCTGGAGGGACACATCCTGCTCACCTAATCCCGGAAAGTATTAGACGCAGGTTGGCGTGAGCCAAGCCTGGGGGAGGGGGGAGCCCAGAGTGTGTTGGGGGTAATTGCTGGAGTCTAACCAGCTAAAACCATATATTGCCCGTTCCTTTACCGGAGTTGAAGTGTGACGAGACACCGGTCCCATTTATCATAGTTGTCCTGTATTAATATCCCAGCAGCTAATGGAGGCTGTGGTCAGACTCTGTCCCTCGCGTCTCATTAATTAGACATTTCTTTGTTGTAAAGCTTGAAATTCTTTTATAACAGATGAGGAACCTGGGAATAGAGCCGGGGTGTTAGTCACCGGGGGGGATGATGGATTTATGGGTCTCTCCCGGAGAGGGAGGGGGCAGACATTCACATCAGATGCTGTACTCTGTATTATTGGGCCTAAAGTAGTGTTAAATCAGTAAAGGCTTGTGCTCATGTCTGGTTACTGGCAATTATTATTAATTATAGTTGCCATTAATTATATAAATTATAATTACTATTGGAAAGTGTAGTAACAGCCACCGCACTTTGCAGTATATTCTGTGAAGTGCTTTGAGACATCTCGACAATGTGATAAGACGTCATGTCAAATGCTATATCAAATGCAAGGATTATTATTATAAAGGAACGTCGCAAATTAGCTTGCGTTCTGACGAAAGGTCTTTGAGCTGAAACGTCGACTCACTTTCCTCTCTCCATAGATGCTGCCTGACCTTGCTGAGGGTTCCCAGCAACTTTTGTTTTTATTTCACATTTCCACCAGCTGCAGTATTTTGCCTTTTGTCACAAATTAGCTGTCGCATTCGTCCACAAATGATGCTTCACAGTAAAATCCTGCAAAGTGCTTTGAGACGTCGAGAAGATGTGATGAGGAGCGATATCGAATGCAAGGTTTATTATTCTTGTTATTAATTTTAGTGACCAGGCATTGAGTAACCAGAGCAGCAGCTCATTAAGTAGCCACGGTTTATTGAGTTTAGCTCAGTGGTGAGGGCAGAGACAGCTGGGGGATTGGGGGAGCTGCAGGACCTCACACTTTCATCCTCTTCCCATCTGCTTCCTCATGCCAGAGAGACAGACAGAGAGAGAGAGAGACACACACACACACAGCTTTCATCTTCTAGCTTTCCTTTGGCTGCGAGTGTTTTTTTTCATACAAAACACACACGCACACACACACACAAAATCTTTGTGGTTCCCGTCCTCATTAAGGTGACAGATGTCAGTAGTGAAACCGGCAAATTATGCAGTTTCTTTATTGTAAGAATCTTTCCAAACACTTCCCATTCCTCCTCCCCCACCTCCCCCTCCCCCAATTCTGACTTTCAAACCTAGTCAAGACACAAAGGGACACAAAAGTCTCCTCTTTTAAGTCCAGTCTCCTAGGTTTGCTAATAATAATACTTTCAATCTGATGTAGGACCTGATCACGTTGTTGAGATGTCTCAATGCGCTTCACACGATTTACTGTCCGTGTGAACTTGACAGCAGACTTACACACAGCCATTTCCGCCCCACAAACAGCCACTAAGTGAATGTGGGGATTAAATTTTGAGGGGGGGGGAGCGGGAGGATTGTCAGCCGGGGCTCATGACTGCACCCGAAGACTTGCCTGCCGGTCGGTGCCTCCTGTAGAGCAGTGAGGAGCTTCACAAAGCACAGCCTCTTAGCTGTAAATGAGACAGAGCGCGGATGGTGAAGGAACCCATTCATTGGGAGGTCGGGGGTGGGGGGTGGTGGGGGGGAGGCAGCAAGCTGCCTTTGCTGCCGCTAATGGCCGGCGAGCTTGTGCTCAGATGATTTAAGTGTTGAGGATAAGTGGAATTATGAACAGCGTCACATCGCGGCTACAGCACTCGTGTGGGCTGTCATCTTCAACAGAGCTGCGCGTGTGTGTGTGTCTGTACGTGCAAATATCTGCATGTGTGAGTGCGCGGGTTGGGTGTGTTTCACTGTGCTTGTGTCAATCTGATCACAGCAGCAGCAACAATGACGTACATTTTACACAACGCCCGTCTTTTCACGTGGGGAGGACGTCCCAAGGCGCTGGACGGTCAGGGATTCAGAACCGAGCTGGGGGTTGGGATCAGGAGGCACGCGTGTGTGAATGAGCTTGTGTCTGCGTGCGTGTGGGTGTGTATGGGGGAGGGGTGCGGGGGGGAGGGAGGGGCGGGGGTTGGGTGTGGGGTGGGGGGGCAGAGGGTGTTGCTCTGCCCTGCCCCGTTCCGCTGGCTGCTGCCTGCACAATGCACAGAGACACCAATGATCTGCTGAGCTGCCTCCCTCCCCGCCACGGGCTGTGAGCAGATGGTGGGGACGGCAGACAATGAGAGCACTGACCCTTCAGTGGGGCACAGGCTGGACAGCTTGTGTGTTAAAGGAGACGGAGCCACATTAAAGGCGAGGTCACGCCAGCTCACAATCTGCTGAGCCATCGACTGGGCGTGCGAGCGAGTGAGCGTGTGTCTGCTCGCCACTGTTGTGACTGCAGTGTCCATGGCCACTGATGCTGCCAGACGTCCAGTCACACTATAGCCAACCCCATCGCCCACTCACTGCAGCTGCACCTCTCCCCCCCCCCCCCCCCGCCGCGCCCTGGCCAACAATCCCCCCCCAAATATAACTGGGCATTTACTTTCCTGTGCCGGTTCCTGTGCGCAAATTGGCTGCTGGGCTTACTAGCAGGAACTGGGGGAGGGGCACGGAAGCTGGGGGATGAGGGGCAGGGAAGCCAGGGCGGGGCAGGGATGCTGGGGTTTGCGGGGCAGGGAAGCCGGGACATTGAAACCGCTCCTGATTCTTGCCTTGCTTTCGGGGGAAATGGAAGCTAAATAAACAAGAGAGAGAGACAGACAGACAGAGAGAGTTAGAGAGGGAGGGAGGGAGGGATTGGGGTAACAGTGAGGAGATAAATAGAAAGGAGGAAAGGCGTGTGTGAGGCCCATTCGGCTGCACCGACTCAATTGACTGGTTCAACGAGCTGATTGATATTCAGGAGCAATCAGAAGCTGGAGTTTTATTCCTGTTTTGTTTGCTTCACATAGACTACTTTTCTATCTATCTATATTTTCTATGCTCTCCTCTCCGCCACCAGAGACACAAGAAACTCTCCGCCCCCCCACTAGGTTACGCTGACAGGAAAGCCAGCCACAGATTCAGTCTTTGAATGGATGATACAATTCAACCTGAAGCCTGGGGTTTTGGGTGAATATTCCTGTCATTCGGCCCTTTGTGACAATGGTGTCTCACCCTGACTGAGGTCTGTCTACAGTGCGTCCGTCTGTATGTGTGTGTCTGTGTGTGTGGCTCAGACACTCACTGGACACTTCACGTCAGCCTCTCGTGTCCGCTATATAATCACAACAACTCCGTTATCCGCTTGGAACAAACGGTGTCTTGTCGTCAGCCGAGGCTGGAGATGAACATGTAATCGTGTTTTCCAATCCCCTGTTATCACCAGCACAGCAGCATTTCTATAGCTTCCAGCCTGTGCCTTGCAAACTCCCCGTTCTTCATTCACAGAACTCTGTCAACACTAACCAGACAAACAAGCCACGCTAATCAGATCGGGATTAGAGAGCTCCAGTGTGGGAGAGAGAGAGCAGGGAATGGGAGTGGAGCAGCTCCAGTGGGAGAGCAAGACCCAGCACAGACACAGTCTAGGTTAGGTTGGGGGATTAAGCTATATCTAGTGAAACGGCTGCTGGAGAAGAGATCAGTCACTGTCCCAGCCCCTCCCCGGGGATTAATAGACACTTCACGTTGAGTGGGGTTTAAGGGGAGATGATAAAAGACCTGTTCAAAGTGCCACCAAACAGAAGTTTTAGCAGCTAAATGCAATAAGAGGATTATTTCCACACGGATCAGCAGATTAAGAGGCTTTGATATGTTCACTCCAACGGGACGGTATGTGTGAGCCATGTATAAACCCAGCAATGAGCCCACGCGTGCGAGCAACTATTTTGTGGACGAAACGCGGCAGCCAATTGCACACAGCAGCGTCCCACAAACAGTCGTGGATTGAGCGACCAAATTATTATTATTTTTTTTAGAGCGATTATTACCCCAGGAAAAGTGATCCACCAATCGACTAACAAGCGGGTTCCTACTTACTGCGAGGTAAACAGAGAGGATGAAGAGTTGCAGCTCTGCCCTACCCACGGCTAAATATGTCTGAGCAAATTATTTGTGGCTGTTATGTTAAATTCATGCGGCTAATCCGGAGCGAAGCAATTAAAATTCACTTTAATTATCAAAATCTAACTGTTCCCACCATGTCCCCAAAGGGAATTACAGCCCCACAATATTCCCTAATCATCGGCACAGCATCTGTGGCTGGAATGCTAACATGGTGCTGGTGTGTCAGTTTAGTGTTCAATCCAGGCAACATCCTCGCAGGAGGCAAGACACGCGAGCAAGGTGTGCGTGGGAGAGTGTGTGAGAGTGAGTGTGTGAGTGAGAGTGAGTGTGTGTGAGAAAGTGAGTATGTGTGAGCGTGTGTATATATGTGTGTGTGTGAGAGAGAGAGAGAGAGAGCAGGCAGTCAGTGCCCACTACTCCCTCCCCACTCCCCCGCTCTACGCAGGGAGGGGAGTGAGGGGAGCTCAGGTGAGGACGAGGATGAGGGTAAGGGGGCGGGCGAGGGTAACCCCCCCACCCACTGCTCCATCGCACCCTGACACTCCCCGACATGTCTCATGTTTGAACAGTGTACCATCGGTTCAGGCTGAGGAAGCCAGTGGGAAAAACTTCTATCCAGTTGCACAGGAGGGAAGAGAAAGCCGCTCAAAGACATTTCGGGACTCAATAAAAACTGGGGCAGAATCTAAAAATGTCCGTGTGCGAGAGGGGAGAGAGAGAGAGAACATGATCTGATAAATATTTAAAAAGCGATGGTTCTTCCCCACCAGAGCAGCTGAGCGCTCATTAAATTACCGGCCGCCAGAGCCTGAGATGGAGAGCAGTTCGGATGCTGATGTGGTTGCCGCAACAACGGACCCTATGCTGAGGAGAGAGAGAGAGAGAGAGAGGGGGAGAGATGGAGGGAGGAAGGAACGGAGGGAGAGAGAGACGGAGGAGGGGGAGAGAGTGAGAGTGGGGTAGGCAGCTGCCCTCGAGCCTTATATCAACCAGACACACACAGTGTTGGGGGATGCGATCGATCCTGTGGCTGTAGCCAGCTTTCCCCACTCGCCGCCTCCCACAGATTAATGAGCTCCTGTGACAGGTGCAGAGCCTCAGATAGTAGCGGAATCCCATCTCCTACCCCCCACCCCACCCCACACCCCCATCACACCCGTTGTCTTTTTTTTATTGTTGCTGCAGACAGTGAAACTGATCCAGGAAGGTCCTGGGCTGCTCAAACCCCTCTGCTTTGAAGCCCACCTCCTAACCCCCACCACCATCCCAACCCACCCCACCCGCACCCCACACCACCCGCAAACACCCACACACGAGTCAGTTCTGCTAGGAGAACCACTTGAAAGAAAAATCAAGAGGAAATTGCTTTTCTTTTACAAAAAGAACAGAATTTGCCGCAATCTAAATAATTCACTGCCTCGAAATGTTTAAATCAATTGGGGGGAAAAAAAACATCGGCTGGAAATCTCATTACTGAGGAGTTCCCAGTGATCTACTGGTTCCTGAGGAGGTAGGTAGACAGACAGACAGACAGCTCTGGGTTTGTGCTCACAATACAACTCAGTACTGTTTGAATTTGTATCCCACCCCTCGCCTAACACTGCTCCCACCACCCATCACACCCCCAAAGCTCTACAGACCCCCCCCACCTATCCACACCTTGACCTCCTCCCCGGGGAGAGGCGGAGGAAGGGAAGGCAAGTGAGATGGAAAGAGAAATGAGAGGGAAAAAAAGGGAATTAAATTAGACCGTGAAAGAGTGAGAGAAAGAGACTGAGACAAACAGAGAGCGGAACAAGAGAGATAGAGATGCAGAGAGAAACACACACACATGCGCATCCCTCCCCCTCAGCCACACACACACACACACACACACATGGAAGTATGAACACAGACACTCATGCACTGGGGAGAAGAGGGGTAGCGGGGGAGAGAGAGAGCACGAAAGAGAGGTAGAGAGAGGGAGAGAGAGAGCTTCCCTTCTGGTCAAAAAAATTAAAGTTCACAAAAAGAAAAGCCATATAAGAGACAGTATCAGGATGTAAATAGGCTTCACTGATGTGGAGAAGCTGAAAGTGGGTCAGTGGCAATGTGGAAACATCGGGGCCACTGACAGGAACACTCTCACACTCACAGCCACAAACACAGCAAAGTGCTTCACAGGCAGTCGCTGGAGAGTGTAGTGACTGTATTTTGTAGACAATCGCAACAGCCAATTGGCTGACAAAAAGGTGCCACAATCAACCGTGAGATGAGCAAGAAGTGAGCAGTTAATGTGCAGGACACTGGGACCAACAGTAACTGTGTTAATATAGAAGTAATTTTGTTGTTGTTGTTGGACAGTGACCCTGAGCGAGGCTGAACCCGTGACTACGGAGGCAGCTGTGAGGCTGGCTCAGTGGGAACAGGGTTTAATGCGAATATCACAATGAATCTTGAAGACTGTGCGTTTGAGATATTTAGCCCAAACGCAGGCCTTATTATTAACCTTCTCACATCATGACTTCGTTAAGAGGCTTGGCTGAATTATTGTACAAAGTGCACAGAGCTGTTTAATCAGCTTAGCCTGGCCTGGGGATCAGCCTGGATGTTCTCCCCTCCTCACGAGGTGACCTCCCACACAGACACACCTTTCCTCTTCCCGTCTCTGATCGGCTCAGGATAATCCAGCAATTAACTGCTCAGTCAGTCACTGTCACCCCACTGACACATGTGATCGCACCTCACTATCACAGATCCTCACACTCGTCTTCAAATCCCTTCACACCCTGGCACCTCCCTACCCCTCCAACCTGCTTACTCCCCAACCCACTACCTCCGCTCGACTGGCTCCGGCCTCCAGCATGTCCCTCCCGCCCTCCGCTCCACCATCGGCGCCCGCACTTTCAGCCACTACCCCTCAAAACTCTGGAACTCTCTCCCTCAATCCCTCCATCTTGCTCCTTCCTTCCCCATCTTCAGATCGCTCCTGAAGATCTTCCTCTTCGACCATGCTTACAGTTACCTCGTACCCCCAACCCCGCCTAGCTGCTGTGCTCCAACACTGTCAAGCGCAGTGAGATCCTACCCTACTTACTCCACACAGAGCCTAATAATAATCCCTCCGAAACCCAAAACAATAATAAATTGGTCATTTTTAATCTACGACTGTTTGTGGGACATTGCTGTGCGCAATTGGCTGCCGCGTTCGCCCACAAATATACAGTCAATTCACTTTACAGTGTGTTCTGTGAAGCGCTTTGGGACGTCCTCCCGACGTGAAAAGCGCTATATCAAATGCAAGGATTAATATTATTATTATATTACTTGAGGGGTGCTGTGCAAATACAAGTTGTCGTTGTTGTGGGAACCTCGTTGGGCACAGTTGAAGAACAGGGATTATTATTTAGGCTTTGAGACGGTTGGCAAAGTGTTTGTTATCCATCCCCTTCCCCCCTCCCTGGCAGAGAATCTAACACATAGACCTTTAACACACAGACACAGAGCAGCAAAGCCAAGGCTACAGTCCTGTGGGTTCAGGAATACACAGGGAGAGAATATGAACTCGTCTCCCTGGCAATGTTTACAAGCTGAGGGTTCAGGCACACAGGAATCTGTTGTGTTAACACGGTCTCTCACAGCACCTCGGGCTAGGCTCAGCTATTTGCAGTATAGAGCAGAGCGTGTGCTGAAAGAGCAGGAGTGAGGAAGGAGAGAGAGAGAGAGAGACGATGTGAAGTAAGCAGCCTTTTTTGTGTGTGTGTTGGGGGGTTGGGGAAGGAGGAAGGAGGCCAATGTTTCATTTATAACCCACTGATGTAAGTGGCAATGAAATCACTGGCTAATTAATCAGGAACCAGGCGTTAGCAGCACCACACGGCAACACAGCTTCAGTGAGAGACAGCAGCCAGGCCACAAACCAAGGCCATTGTCAGCACAGCGGACAACACACAACCATCTTGTCCTCACTTGTGTGGTAATTAAACTGGAAATTATTCTCCTCCTCCTCTCGCTTCTCCCATCTCTCTCTCTTTCCCATCGCTCTCCCCCACCTCTCTCTCTCTCCCCCCTCTCCCTCCCTCCCTCTCACTTTCTCTCTCTCCGCCTCCCCCTCCTCTCCCTTTCTCTCTCTTCCGCCACCCCGCCTCTCTCTCATCTCTCTCTTTCTCAAAGCACTTTGAGACGTCTCAATGACGTGATAAGGCACTATATCAAATGCAATGATTATTAATATAGAAGCATCTCCCCACCCCATCCCCCACCGGCCTGGAGGCCGCTGACGAAGGCTAATCAGTAAAGACCCATCAAAAGGCCAGATGTGTCCTCCACCGTTATCAGTGTCATGGGAACAACGGGCACAGAAACAGGAGAGGTCTGAACAAGCAGCTCTTTGTGAGGGCGAAGATCTCTCTCTGTGCCGCTCACTCACACTCGCTCTCACACTCACAGGGAGACTTTACTGTCTCATCTGCTCTCCCCGATCTTCAGCAAAACAACAGCCTCGCTCACTCACTCTCTCTTGCGCTCACACTTTCTCTTTCTTTCTCTGTCTCACTCACTCGCTCTTTCTGATAAAACTAATATGATCGTTACCCAAAAAAACAACTCAAAGGAGAAGTTGGCAAACGGAAGGTTATCAGGTCACAGGTGGTGGGGCAGAACCCAGACTATTTAAACTCCAGTAAAACTTCAGGAAGACCACAAGTCGTATCTCTATAAATGGTTCAATCATCTAAGTCACTACATGCACTTGAGTCCCGTTCAGTTTCCTATCAAAAACACTTATTTCTTTGCACCAGCCATATTTTATTCGACTTTTGATACAACTTAGGCTAGTTTGCCTCTAACTCGAACTTGCCGTTATTCTTCGACCATCTCCCGCCTACCCCTGGCCTCCCCCTCCACTCCACACCCGTCTTGATCCCAACCACCATCTCGGGTGAGGATCCCTGACTGTCCAGCACCTTGGGACATCCTCCCCTGAGGTGAAAGGCCGGCGCTGTGTAAATGTCACGTATTGTTGTTACGGTCCTGATGACACACTTGAGTGTTACTGTATCTGTGCGGACACGTGGGGACGAGACGGACTAACCTGCGGAAGTGATTGGCCACGACACCCACCAACTCCCCGATGCGGTTCTCGTTAACCGGCTGCATCTTGTGGAGACAAACCACCAGGTCCTTGTTGTCATTGGTGTGAAACACCACCAGCTGGTCACTGCCGGGCGACACACTGACCCCAGTGACCTGCAGGGAGAGAGAGGGGGAACGTTACTGTGATCTCAACACCGCACCTCAATGTACCAGGTAGCAGAGCGAGCTCTCTCCAGTGGCCTCCTGCCTGTGCCAGCCTGGCTCAGACCCTAGCACTCTGGCCTCTAAGGCAGAGGTCTTAAACCCACTCTGGCTTTATGGGTTCAAACCCCCAAATGGACTTTGCGCTCATATAGTCTAGGCTGATGCTCCAATGAGGTGCCGGGGAGAGGAGGGGGAAGAGGATGCTGCATTTGTGGGAGGTGTGGTTCTTCAAGCTTCCTGAGACGCTATGTTGTTGTTGAGACATCAAGCCAAGGTGTGACTGTGTCTGGGTGGCTGGAGGTCAGACTTCACCTGCACCTGTGTTTGGGGTGGGGTGGGCTGTGTGTTTGTGTGGGGGTGCTGTGTGCATGGGGCTATGTGTGTGTGCGGGTCTCTGTGTGTGTTGGGGGGAGTGGGTGGGGGGGGGGGTGTTGAGAGGGGGATTATTTTCACTACAATTCTCATGGTGAGGTCTCTGGGTGAAGACAGCAGCCAATCTGCTCACAGTGACATCCTTCAGAACAGCCACGAGGCGAACGATCTCCCCTTCCTCCCCCCTCCCTTTTAACGATCCAGGAACAAAGATTATTCCATCTACAATCCCCTCCCCTCCCCTCGTTTTAAACCTTAACGTGCAACCTTCTTGACATTTCCTCTCTAAAAGCTGTCCCTCGCTGGCAGGGGAAATCAATACAAATGTCAGTAACCCCTCTCTCTCTCTCTCCCTCACTGCCTCTCTCTCCCCCACCGATCCCACCCTTTCCTCTCTCCCCCTCCGCCACCTCCTCCACTCCTCGGTTTCTCATAATAATCCTTGCATTTGATATAGTGCCTCATCATGCCTTTGAGACGTCTCAAAGCGCTTCACGGTATACACTGTAAAGTGTAGTGACTGTGTATTTTATTCAGTCTCTCTCGCTCTCTCTCGGCTGACCAAACAGTCTTACTTTTCGGCTCTAAAAAAATCTCATGTTTTTGAGACTTATTAGACGTTGTAATGGTAGCACAACTTTTTGGCCACCCTGTACACACATATATATTATATATAGAGAGAGAGAGAGAGAGAAGGAGAAAGAAATAGCGAGAGTCAAACTAAACTAGGACAATGGGGCTGAGGCACGAGTGCAGACACCTCAGTACAATGTGCCACTCTGACGGTACATGTCTGTGTAGTTTAACTGAGAGTCACCATCATTAGTATTCAGATGCTCATCTCCAGCATCAACCACTTACTGATGCTGTGCAGGGCTACAGAGCCCTGGAGAGCAAAGGCGTTAACCCCTTAAACACTCTCGACGTCCCCCCCCCACCTCCCACCACCCCTTACACGCTCACTCACACTCAAACCCAACACTGCTCCCCCACCCCAGCCATTCCTGAGTCCCACCGACTCACTCACTCGCTCGGTCTCTCTCTCCCCCATCTTAAGATCTCACAGATCACAAGAGTGGTTTGGATAAGAAGAACCTTTGGCCCATTCCCCCAGAAACCCCCCTCCCCCACCCACCATCACAGCCGCTTGATAATGAGTCCAGTGTCCTGACCTCAAACCCCGCCCGCCCCCAGCAACCTGTTCTAATGGTCAGATACCCTCCCCTCCCAACCCCCAGCCCCAGCTCAGCTGCCCCCCCCCCCCCTCCACCACCCCGGTTTGAAAGTCACTGTATATAAATGTAAACTCTCAATTGTAAATGTAAATCCCTATTTTGGCAGCTCTCGGAGAACAGGCACGGAGAATCCAGTGATGTTTTTTTGAAGAAAAATTTGGGATATAAGTAGACAACGGTGTTTCTAATCCCTATCATTTGGGGGTTAAGCTCTTCCCCCCCCACATACACACATATACCTTCCCCTCCCAGACACACACACACACACACCCCACACACACACACATCCTCCGTGCACACACACAAAACATCCACCAGTCACAATCTCACTGAATTTTTATTTGATGATCTACAAAAAAATAAATAACTGATTCATTGATTTCCCAGCGCGAGTATTGGCAAAATCCTTCACGTAACAGGGACCTCGACGTGCTGAGAGAGGGGGGGGTGGGGAACGGATGCTCTCTGTATCAGCCCAGCCCGGTCCAGCACAAGAACATCAACTCCAAGAGGGGTCGCCATAGAAACTGGGTTACCATGGAAACGCTGATGCTGAGCCATTCCGACAGGAAAGATGAATTCACTTTGGGATCATCCGGGCACGGAGCACCAGATTCCCAGCTCCCGGTAAAAACCACCCCCCCACCCTCAGAAACCATAGCAACCCTTTCCCCTCAGCTCCATCACACACTGTACCTCACCAGGTATCAGATCTGCCAGGGAACAGTTTTGGTTGGGGTGGGAAGAGGGGGGGGGGGTGGTGTGGGTGGGTGGGAAGGGGGGGGGGGAAACGTGGAGGGAGAGGTTGGGGGGTGCGAAAAGAGGTATGAGTGGAGAGGGAAGGCAATACTAATTATCATCATTAGCAAATGCACTTAAATCTTCAATGTCTTTGTTCCCGAGTGAGATGGCAATATTGTTCTGCAAACGTTTACAATGATGTTTTGGGGGTTAACACGATGCTGGGTTTATAATGTGGTTTGTCCATCACCGGGGAAAAGAAGGGAAATACTCATGTCCGTCGTATTGTGCGGGGGAGGGAGGTGGGGGGGGGGGTTCCTCCAGTTCAGGGGGTGGGCTTGTAATACTCAAAGTCAGGGTGTTATACAGCAACACCCCTGAGGGTATCACAACGTCCCCTACTCCAACCCCCAACCATACAGTGACTCCTGCCTTTCCAACCAAACTAAACCGTCTGATACGACGACCTACTGCGGCAGGTGCGAGAGGTTCAGTGGACAATGCCAGCCCGTGCCCCCCCCACCCACCACCACCACCCGGTCTCAACTGGTGTCACTAGTGTAAGCACTGCCGCAGCCTGGCACCACCCACCACCACCCCACCCCCAGCCCGTGCACCTCCTCCCTCACCCCACCCACCCACCCACCGTGACCTACGTTGTACAAGGCGATGGTCCTCATGACCCGATATCGCTTCAGTGGGTCCATCTTATACAGGTGCCGGTCGGTGATCAGGATGGCACGGTCCTCTGGTTTGTTGAAGCGGTTGATCTGCGGAGAGAGAGAGAGAGATGGGGGAAGGATGAGCAGAGAGAGAGACAGAGACAGAATAGGAACCATGAGGTTAGCCATCTGTCAGACAGCACGAGTCCGGCCTGTGACCACGAGAGTCTGGCAGAGAGCGAGTCTGCCCAGAGATGCCATGTGCACTGTACGTCGTTGCTCCCATTACAATCTCAGCCACTGAAAACAACTACCCCCTTTTCCTTGCCCCTTCCCGTTCCTCAGCACCTCCCGCCCACCCACTCCATCTCACCCCCCCACTCCATCTCACCCCCCACCCCTCTCCCCCTACACCTCGCTCCCCCCTCTCTCCCTCGTGAGATAAATCAGGAATATACAACACGAGTTATCCGTTGCAGGCTGCTGGTTGGGTCAGACACCAGAACCACAGTATCCTGTCCCACGCCTGTTTAAGTGGATGATAAAAGAGCCTGTGACGCCAGCGACAATGTTGGTAAAGAGAAGGAAGTTTCTCCGGTCAACAATCTGCCGGATATATTCACCCTTCTCCTCGCTGCCCCCCAGCTGGGCTGGGTGGGGGAAGGAGCCTCAGGGCTTACCTTACGCACGTGGCTGGAGAAGAGGGTGGCCATGTACTTGTCTTTGCGCTGGAGCTCCCGGGCGATGGTGGCAAAGGCTGACGTAGAAGTGGGGTTATCCCGGGTCTGAAACAGCAAAGAGAACAAGTCAGATCTCTCCCCCGGGGTCTCTCTCCTTCCCTCTTACCCCCGGGGTCTCTCTCCTTCCCTCTCCCCAGTCCCGGGGTCTCTCCCATCCGGGGTCTCTGTAGAACACTATAACGTGGAGTGAACGTGTATTTTTTGGCACAACGCGGCAGCCAGTTGCGCACAGCAGCGTCCAACAAACAGCCGTGGAGGGAGTAACCAATTTTATTTGAGTTGGAGGAGGGTTGGGATTTTGGACGGAACAGCAACTAATCGCTGAGGTGCCCACTGAGCGAGGATCAACAACAACAACAATATGCATTTATATAGTGCTACTCCACTCGAAGAGTGTGAACCTTCTAGCTTCTTGTGATGAACTCACTGTGAAAGTGTGAGGGAATTGTGAGTTTGAGTGGGAGTGTGAGTGAGTGGTCAATTCGGGGAACGTGCTTTCAATCTCAAGTCATTTTCCCTCCCGTCAACCACGAGAGCTTCACTTTCGGTTCACACAGACGACACATTTCCGGGGTAGACAGAAACATGCGGTGAACAAATTGACACACAATTTCCTCTCAACTGTGAGACAAATAGCAGCAACGAGAGCGCGAGTGAGCGACAAGAGATAGTCAGAATCTGTGCTGTCATTTCCTCTGATCGTTGCTTCACATCTGAACCTCACACACGATTTACTCTCGTCAGAAGCCACAACCTTTTGCAATCCAGCAGTTTATGGTAATCACTGACTCAGTTGCAAGGCCTCGCTGCTCAGGGTCAGACACCGGGCCTTCAACCAGTCAGTCTACAGAGCGTCCACAAAGCCCTGTTACCCCACGTCTAGGCTGATGGTCTAGCTCATTGTTGGCGAGCACCGCATTGTCGGAGGTGGCGGCGGCTTTGTGTCGGGACGGTGAACCCACAGAGTAGGGGTTGCCGGGCGCTGGAGAGGGCGCGAGTGTGTCCCTGTGTTGTCGTTCCGATGAGACGGCTGTTCGGGTGGTCGTTAAGAATTGCCAAGTCGCTGCTCGGAAAGCAAAGGGTGTCCTGACTGACCAGCAGTGAGACACCCCCTCCCGCCCACTGCCCCCATCCCACCACCCCCGGGCTGGCAGTGCGACACAGCGCAAGAACGGCCTGGCTGAGGACTATCACTCACCGTGGCCAGGTAGTTGCCCCTCCAGCCCCTGCGGAGGCCAAGTTCCCCTCGCTGCCCCTGCAGGTTCTCAAACGCCGAGACCTTCGCCCTGACCTGGGGCAGGTCAGCAGGAGCGATGCCCTTAATCATCTGATACGCTCGCCACCTGCACAACAACAACAACAACTTACACGGCGTCTGTCGCACACTCAGCTCCAATTGGGTTAATTATCAAGGCTGAGGTGGAGATGTTTGTGAGGTCAGGGTTCAGGGCAACAAGGGATACGGGGCAAAGGCAGATAATTGGAATTTGAGGTACAGATAAGCCACGATCTTATAGAATGGCGGAATGGGCTCGAGGAGCTGAATGGCAAATCACACCCTCCACTGCACCCCCCCCCCCGCGCCGCAAAAAAACATCCACGTATCCTGCCAGCTGGGTGACAATATGAGGAACGTGAGTGAATGTTATTGCCTCTGCAGAGAGAGCGAGAGCCGCTATTCCCGAGGAATCCGCCGGCAAAAACAGCCCGAGGCTGAGTGATCTGTGGAGCTGAGGAAGCCTGGCCCTGCCTCATCGTCTCACTGATGTTGCCAGGCCTGCTCCCCGAGTGGCCGATCACATTGACTGCCTGACTGTCGGGATACCTGTTCCCAGCTCCGTGGTCATTAATCGGGAGAGAGATCAGGAGTGCAGCTTCTTGTGGGATGCGATCGCCGCGAGCAGCCACACTCCCGGCCCCGGCACAACCCACCGGCAAAATCCTCGGTCGTAACAGTGCTGTGCTCTGCGGAAAATGTTAGTGACCCCAACACAGCAGACACACACACAGACACACACACACACAGACACATACAGCAGACACACATACACAGACACAGTATCTGGTTGCAGGATTAGTCACAGTGTGCGTTAAGACGTTACCTGAGGAACACAGACTGTAACATGTCCTGGAAGCGCTGTAGGACTCTGGGGGGAGTCGGCCACTTCACGTGTTTCCCAAAGTCCTTCATGGTCCGGACGTGCTGCAAGCGCCGGGTCACCTCGCGGATGTAGGACTTGACCTTGTACCTGCGGTAACACCGGGCAATGGTGGTCACCGCTCTCGTCCGCTTGTATCTGAGCCGAGCCACGGTTCCTCTCCATACCTGGGCCCAGAGAGAGGGACACGGTTAGTTACAGTAATAATAATTATAACTTTAATAATAGTAATAATTATAACAGTAATAATAATAAACCTGGCATTTGACACAGCGCATTATCACGTCTCAAAGCGCTTCACAGGATACACTGCAAAGTGTAACGACTGTGTGTTTGGTGGGCGAAAAGCCAATTGCGCCCAGCGACGTCCCCACAAACGGTCGTGGATTGAGTGACCAATATTTTTTTGATTTTGTTGAAGGAATTATTACCCCTGGAAAGTGATCCACCAACCGGTGTGTGCGCGTGTGTGCAGCGGGTGCTGGGTGGGGGGGGGTGGGGAGTGCGTGTGCGTGCACGCGCGGTGAGGGGGTAGTGTGTGAGTGAGTGAGTGTGTGCACGGAGGATGAGTGGGTGACTATTATGTATAATATAAGCTGATTAGGAGGCAGTGAGTGAGGCTGGATCACAGTGAGCACACGGACGTCAGTGTTGAGTGTGAATGCGAGGAGGCAGAGGATGTGGTTAGCGCTGGAGCTCAGTGTAGCCACTAGTTAGGACCTTAGTTTAACATTAGCTTCGTGGCTTATTTTTAATAAACTGCAGCACAAAACCACAGGCTTTGCTCTGCTCTCTGCGCTTCCTGCAGATACAGTCGCACAATCACACAGACGGATGGTGAGAAACTCTTGAGGTTTGGGCTCCAACCAGATCTTTGTTCCCCCGTCCCCCACACACACCTCTCTCTGCTGCATTAATAACTAGGGCACACTGACAACGTGGTCACTGTTCACACCAATAAAAGGTTTTGGTTACAGGCAATCAGGTGGGTTTTACAATGAGGAACATATGTGTTCACAATTGGCTTTGAAGCTACAACCATGTCCTTACGATGGGAACGCGATAAGTCATTGGAATGGGTTTAGAGTAGAAAGCTCCAATGGGGGAGCGAGCCCCAGCACAGACATGATGGGGAGAGAGAGAGAGAGAGAGCAGAGAATGGGATTAGAGTAGAGAGCTCCAGTGGGGGAGCGAGCTCCAGCGCAGACACGATGGGCGTAAGCAGCCTTATTTTGCAAGGTCGGCAAATAAACATAAATAACAGATTCAACACAAACAGGAACAGGGAACACGTCATAGAAGGAGTGGAGACACCTAGAAACAAAGCCCTTCCCTTGGGGGGACGAGGGGGAAGGGAGGAAAGGGAAGCCCACAGAGGGAATTAGATCGAGCTCGCTGACATGGCAGCTCAGGTTTTACTCACTGAGCAGGGAAGTGAAAAAGACACAGCGGTAAATGTACGAGGTACAATTCATCTCACGCACCGTGTAAATCATTCCCACACTGCAGCCGGGAATAAATAGTCGGCTTTTAATAATGCACGTGTTTGGGCCTTCTCGAGGCTTGATCACTGTGAATAATTCAGCCTCACAGACACTCAATAAAAACAGCATTCCTCACACACACACACACACACAGAGAGACAGAGTTCCCCTTTGTTGGCAGTGAATTGATTGAACGCTGTTCCATTCAGACACGGGCTGGTTCTAATCCATCTCTCCCACTGTATTTCCGTCTCTCCCGGGCTTTGCCCTTGGTGTTTGTCCTGCTCTCTCTCCCTCACACTCCCCCAATCCCCCTCTACCCCCAACCCTAACCCTAACACCCACCCACACCCCCCAACGCTCCCTCCTCCACCTCAAGGTGGAGCCTGCCCCAGTGTATCGGATAAATGGAAGCGAGTTAGCCTGCTGAACAAGCACAAAGCAATCATTACCATGACCTACTGCTCCCCCATCACATAGGTAATTAAGCAGTGGATCCTGGCTCTGACACTGGGTGCGGAGGGGGGGGCAATGGGGTAGAGATGGCCTGATAGAGGCTCAGGAACCACAAAGCAATTCAGGAACGCTGAAGCGACTGAGTTGGTAGCTGTTGTTTCTGCCATTTTTTTAAAAAATCGTTCAATACGACAATAAATTGCATTTGACACAGCGCCTGTCAGGGGGATGTGTCTCGCAGGGCTTCCCTGTTGAAGTGTAGTGACTGACTGTGTGTTTTGTAGGCAAATGCAGAAGCCTATTGGGTTGGGATGACCCCCCTCGACCTGAAAGCGCAACTTGATGGTGTTAACCCGAGTGGCTGACTGCCCCGCCTGCGGGATGGGCAAGTTATCCCGGGAGACCCGAAGCCAGCTGTCACTTCGCGATGGCTCGTACCTTCTGGAGGAAGAGGATGATGCGCTCGATCATCTGCGTGCGCTTGGCCTCCAGCGTGAAGAGGGTCCTGGGCGTGCGGACAAACAGCTTGGTTTTGCCGTACGCCACGTCGTGCTGGAAGCCGCAGCACTCCACCAGCTTCTTCACCGCCTCCCGGTCACACCGCATGTCGTGGTTTGGCCACGTGAACTCCGAGATCATCTTGTACCTGGCCAGGGCGAGGCGAGAGAGAGAGAGAGAGCGAGAGAACACAGGCTCAGTAACCGTCACCAACAGCCTCCGCGCCAACCTTCACCGACAATCCCAGACCAGCCCCATTGTTGATCGGTCATGCTTCCTGACCTCACTGTAACCGGCTTAGTCCTGCCCTCTGCTTTTCGCTGTCGTCCTGAGCTGTGCTACACGCTACACACAGGCTTTGCCGTAGCACACGCTACACGGGCAGGGCTACAGCACACGCTAGCCGGCCTGTGGCGATGTTTGACTACAACTACGCTCACTGCACTTAACAATAAAATCCTGTGAAGTGCTTCGAGACGTCCTCCCGACGTGACAAGGCGCTGTGTCGAAGGCCGGGTTTGGTATTCGCTGCTTGGCTCGGCTGGTCACTCAAGGGAAAAACCCTGCCCGACTCTCGCTCCTTGTAAACTCCATTACATCAGCCGATCGCTGTGAAATGGCTTGTAATTTAGCGAGCATGAGGTGTCACAAGTTTTATGGATCAATTAATATCCTCTTCAATAAAATGCTTTATTGTGCGTGACTGCCAACATTTAATCCTGTCACTGTTAAGATAAATTTCTGTGCGTTAAACAGACAGAACTGGCCTCCTGTCAGCTATAAACCAGGGGTAATAAACCCCGGAATCTTAACTAACATTTCTGAGTGAGACAGACAGCGGGAGACAGGGATGAGATTCTCTCTCTCTCTCTGATCACAACTCCGTCGCCACCCAGAACGCCTATAACTACAGGCGTGAACAAAACCCAAAGGCTGAGACTTGTGTGTGACATGAACAGAATGAGACAAACTCCTCAAGGTACACACGTGCCAGTATCATGTCACGTGGGCTGGAACACGGACCACATGGAGTGTGCTGGAGATCGCTCCCCAACACTGGAGTTCTGTACTGTAACCCCATTCCCTGCTGCTGTATTCGCTGATTAGTCATGCTTGCTCTGTGCTGTAACCCCATTACCCCCTGCTGCTCTATTCCCCAATGGTGTGTTGCCCACTCCCCTCGGTGCCGGACACTGACCTCTGTAGGAACCTCTCGTAGACTTGTCGGTAAGCAAAGCCTGCCCTCCGTACCCGCACGTTCTCCATCAAGCCCAGGTACTCCACCTGGTGCTGGCAGCGCTGCTCCTCAAACAGCAGTGGAGACTTCTGGTCATTAGGCTTGATGCAGCGCACGTAATAGGGCTCCTGTCACACAGACAAACAGTCAGACCCTAGCGAGGAAACCCCTCTCATCACTGGGCACCGAAACATCAATTACAGCTTTACAGTTACAACAACAACAATAATATAATAATAAGAATAATCCTTGCATTTGACGCAGGGCCTGATCACGTCTTCTAAACGTCTCAAAGCGCTTCACAGGATACACAATCGAGTGCAGTGACTGTGTATTTTGTGGACGAAACGCGGGCAGCCAATTGCGCGCAGTAGTGTCCCACAAACAGCCGTGGAGCAAGGGGAACGGAGATAAGGCAGGGAAAACGGGATTAAAAAAATCGGGGGGGCTGAACAGATCCCCCTCTCCCACTTGCCGATCCGTGTCAGAATATTCTGGGGAGATGGCAAATGTTAAGCACAGTGTCCGAGCCCCACATCCATCCCCTATTCCTGCTCCTTTATTCTCTCTCTCTTTTACCGATCGATCTTCACAGTGCTGACTTGTTATCCATCAGGTGCAAAATCAATGCAGCCAGAACCTGTCACATTGAATAAGATACGAGAGAGAGAGAGAGAGAGAGAAAGCACCTTCACGCTGTCACTGGTCTCTCCGCAGCCCAGGACCCTACCCATTCCTGGGGCAATCCGAGTGATTCCCAAACCTGGGGGGCTCACTGTACTAATACTGAGATCTGCTCTAAGGGCACTTCCTTAACGTTCACTGAGAAAACAGTGAATAAATCAATCGTCATCCCGAACACAGGCAAAGGCAGCTTGCTCTCGGCAATAGTTGGAAGTCAATCATTCAGGCTGTGTAAATCGTGTGTAAATCATGTGTAAACGCAGGTGTCTGTTAAGCAAGCCGTGTAAACCGTGTACGAACTCATGTGTACAGAGGAATAACAGCTACACATGGTTTGCACAACTCGCTTGGCAAAACCCCAACTCACCGATGGACTGAATGAGTAACGAGCCAACCAGGCCAGAGGGTTCGTGAGCCATTGTTTAACCCAGACCGGTCTGGCTATTCTACGCAACGTGTCATGTGGCCTCACGTCGGCCATGTTGGGTTATTAACCCATGGCGGTGACTGGCAGAGCCGGGCGGAGGCAGTGAGATGGAAGGAGGGGCTAAGCGCTGGCTGGGGCTGGGGTACCTTGCAGGCCAAGTTCTCCACCAGGGCGATCATGGAGCCTTTGAACAGTGTGGCCGCTGTGAGAGGTCGCTTGGTGACCTCGGTGATGCTCAGCTTCCCCTCCGGCCACATCTTCCTCAGCACCGGGTTAGAGCTGTGGGCGAACGGCAGACACCAAAGTCACTCCCAAATCCAGGGTCAAGACCGGGAGTCGGCAACCGCACCTCCTGCTGGTAACCGGGAGTGAGGTCACCCCGAGCTCCACTGCAAATTGCTTAACGGGGCGGCGCAGTGTAGTGACTGTCATTTTGTTCGGACATGGCAGCCCGATTTACACACAGCCACGTCCCCGCAAACAGCCGTGAAGTGAGTGACCAATTTTATTTGTGGGGGGGATTGTCGGCCAGGGCACCCAGAGAGAGAGTAAACACCCTCTCTTTTCCCCGATAGCGTCCATGGGACCTTTAACTTCCACCAGGACAGGGCAGTTTGCTCACAACAGCACATCTGAAGGACGACACCCCTGACAATGAGGCGCTCTCCCCCACACACCCCCCTCGAACCCACACCCTCCTGACTCGGAGGCGAGAGCGCTACCCACTGGGCCGGGCTGACACCTCGGAAAGCAAACCTTAGGTAGGACACGAGACTGTGAGCTAAACAAAGAGGTGGCAAGGACATGCTGTACACCACCTCCATATACCCACTGGCAAGGACTCACTGCTGGATTTACCTGTTATACAGGAGCCGTTTGAAGTCCTGGAACAATGTGTCTTTGTTCTTGTCAATAAACCCCACAACGGAATACCTGTCATTAGGGAATAAAAGGAAAGCCCCTGGTGAGCCACAAGTTGCTTTCTTTCAGACGTTTCAGCGATGAGATAAGGGCTTATATCAAATGCGAGGATTATTATTATGACAATGTGAGCTCGAACACGGACAGCAAATGGGAACAGTGGACACAGAGGCTGGACATTTCAACAGCCGGGTGACAAAGCGGCCTTGGCAGAAATTGAAGGAAAGCAGGAAGTTCAGTCCATCTCTTCTCTCGGCCATAATATTATCTCTTGCTCTGTGACACTGGGCTCTGTGGTTCTCTGATGAAATGGGTGACCTCTTAACTGCTGATGCTGTTCACCCACACAACACAACACACCGAGACAGGAGATGGGAGGCTGGTCTACAGAGCAGCAGCCAACAAGCCGAGGCCTCAGTGACAATCAGACTTACACAACATTGCCAGCATAGTGTTTGATGCGGAAATCTCGGTCAAACTCCAGTTGCTTGTCGGTGGCACAAAGCTGTGAGGTGAGGGAGAGCATAGAGTCACACACTGTACAGTACCCAACAACCCTGTGTCTGTCAGCGTCCCCCCTCCTCCCAATGACAACCCAACGGCCAAGAATGTACCAATAATAATAATCCTTGCATTTGATACAGTGCCTTAAACACGTCTTCGAGACGTCTCAAAGCGCTTCACAGAACAGACTGTAGAGTGTAGTGACTGTGTGTTTTGTGGGCGAAATAGATCCTAACCATATACAATAGTTTACAGGCTGGGTGGTAACAAATTTGTGGGGGTGGGGGGGGGGGGGGGAGGCCAATGCAGAGGCTACAGAGCTCTCTCTCTCAGTATGTAGGACGGCAGGAAGTAGGTCAATGCAGTCGCCTTGTGCCTGTGCTTGTGCAGGAGAGAAGCCGTACATCACTGTGACAGCTGCCTCCGCACACACACTGCACCACGGCTCACAGCAGGAGCTCAACCAAGGTCAACATGGGGAGCTCAGTTCCCTCAGTGGTCAGATCGTCAACCCCTACTCCTCTCCCACCCACTCCCTCTCCTTCCCCCTCTCTTCTCTCCCCCCTTCTCCCTCCCCCCTCTCTCTCTCTCGCCCTTTGCCCCTTCCCCCTCTCTCTTGCTCTCCTCTCTCCCCCTCTCTCTCGCTCTCCTCTCTCCCGCACCCCACCCCTCTCCCTCTCTTACCCCCTCCCCGATGTGACTTTCCAATTAGCCTGTGGGTGGTGTAGGAAGTCGATCGATCCTATCTATTGATCCAGCCCACGAGCGCGAGGGTTAGAACCTCAGCACAAAGCAGGGAAGGAGAGGGAATGAGAAAATGCAGCAATTAGAGCAAGATGCACAGCCTGGTTTACTATTGGGGTTGGGCCTCCATAGCTAGAGAGTATTGAATAAAACCATGTTACTGTGAGGTTAAGGGTTTAGTGGAGAATGTTTCTGTGTATCCACGGTGTGTGTGTGTGCGCATGGCGTGTGTATGTGTGTGTATGGCGTGTGTACATATATGTTTGTGCACAGTATGTGTGTGTGCGGAAGCAGGATCTAGGTCAATGTGTAATAATGTCTCCTGAGGTCCCACAGCCACATCCACTTCCCGGCCAACCTACAGGGTCACATAATCAGGCTCCCAGCAGCATCTACAGTGCACCCCAGAGACAGACAGAGAGAGAGAGAGAGAGGGACACACAGAGACAGAGAGAGATACAGAGACACACACACACCCACACACACACACAAATACACCCACCCACACAGATAGAGAGACAGAAAGAGAGAGTCAGAGAGAGACAAACGCACACAGACATATAGAGAGACAGCACTTCCCCTCGAGCTCATCGCTGTCCATAAACAGCAACTGAAATAACTAGCGGAGAATGACTCCACGTTACCTCCTGCAGCTGCAACAAGCGGAACCCGACTGGTCAGAGCAAAGGCACGGGGCTCGGCCCAGCTCACTGACCAACGTCCGAATTACAGCTTTGTGGTCGGCCAACACACAGGCACACACAGCAGACACTCGCTTAATCTATTTATATATATATATAAATATATACACACGCACAATTGTTTGGCCGACGAAACACAGTCACTACACTTCACAATACAAAATGATATCTGTAAAGCGCCTTTCACATCGGGATATATATCCTGTGAAGCGCTTTGATACGTCTCAAAGGAGTGATAAGGCGCTATATCAAATGCAAGGATTATTATTATGTTATATATTATACATATATATACACACACACACACATACACCTACACAGCGATGTCACATTGACCCACAGTCCCAGGGCACTGGCTTATTGCAGCCTCAGTTTTGATTGAAAGGATTTTGACAAAGCGAGGATCTAAGCTGACAGCTATTACACACTGTAACCCTGAGTTATGGTTCATTTGGGTTTGAGATTGCTGTTGTCATTGCAAGAGCATTTCACCATTCACAACAAGGCCTGAATTTCAATCATTCAGCGGCAACCGCCATCACAGCAAAGGCTACAGAGCCCTCTGCAGGAGTAACAGGCACAGAGCAGAGAATGGGGTGAGAGTAGAGAGCTCCAGTGGGGGAGCGAGGCCCAGCACAGACACCATGGGGAGAGACAGAGAGAGCAGGGAATGGGGTGAGCGTAGAGAGCTCCAGTGGGGGAGCGAGCCCCAGCACAGACACCATGGGGAGAGAGAGAGAGAGAGCAGAGAATGGGGTTAGAGTAGAGAAATGACTGGCGCTGTGCGCTCTCACTGATATAAACGCAGGCTGGAAAAGCTTCACCGGGTGGTGTGTCTGACACAAGTGGGGAGAATTCCACAGCACATTTCCCCTACCCCCGCCAACCCCCCCACCACCACCACCCCACCACTCCCCTTCCCACCCCCTCCTCACCTTGCGACTGGAGTAATGGGCGTGTTTGCACAGCTTGTTGTTCAAAGCTTCCAGAAACATCCCATCGGTGACCTTGCCCACGTTGACTGAGGCGTCGTCCAGGATGGAGATGATGCCCTTGTGCTGCTGTTCCACCAGATCCACAATGATCTGATTATTAAAGTAGTCGATCTGCCACGACAACAAAAAGGGAGTGGGTGGGGGGGAACAAACCATGGTGGGTGGGTGCAAATCATGTGCAACGCGCAAAGCACGTGTGGAGTACCTGTGAGCCATGTGCACGATCATGCTAACCTGGGAACCACCCTATCCCACCACACACATACACCATAACATACCCCCGCACACCTACACACACACACATTCTCTCTCTCTCTCTCACACACAACAGCCCCACCTCGCAGGCCAGGGAGTCACTAAGTCATTAAATGTTTATATTTCTGCCGCTTTGCCCTGGCACAGTGCCAGCTTGGAGAGCAAGCGAGCGAGCGAGCGAAGAGCGTGACCGAGAGCGCGAGTGAGAGCGCAAGCGCGACCGAGAGGGAGAGCGCGACCGAGAGGGAGAGCGCGAGTGAGTGAGAGAGCGAGTGAGAGAGCGAATGCTTGCTCGCTGGTGCTCACATGTCTCCAGGGGATACCCTCACGCTGATACTCCTCCTGTTCCTGCTTTAACACCAGTTGGATGAAGAGTTGCTGCAGTTTCTCATTGCAGTAATTGATGCAGAACTGCTCCAGGCTGCGGAGACAACGGGCACGATGGGAGAAGGTTACGCAGGGACACGAGGCCAGGCTGACGCTCGCTGTGGGAAGCCGTGTGCCTGTGGGTGGGGTCTGTGGGAAGCCGTGTGTCTGTGGGTGGGGGCTGTGGGAAGCCACGTGCCTGTGGGTGGGGTCTGTGGGAAGCCGTGTGCCTGTGGGTGGGGGCTGTGGGAAGCCATGTGTCCCAGTGACTACCTGTTGTTGTCGAAGATCTCGAAGCCGTAGATGTCCAGGACGGCGATGACGGTATTCTTGCCGTGCACTGCGGCGTTGTAATCCTTCACCTCGATGATATCGTTGATTCTGCTCACGATCCAACAGAACAGACGATCGTAGATGGCCTGAGGAGCGAAAACACCCAGCGGGTCAGGGCAGCGTCAGCGAGAGCCAGAGACCATCACAGGCAATTACTGTGCCGTGTGGCCCCTGCAACAGCTCAGGCAATCCTGTAGCTCAGTGATTAGACCACTCGCCTCGCAAGCCAGAGGACGTTGGGTTCAGGGCGAAAACTTTGGCAAGTTTCCTTACTTCACACACACACACACACACACACTCCTGTTTACCAGCAGTCAGTAGGAACCCGCTTGTTAGTCGATGGCGGATCACTTTTCCGGGTAATAATAATCCCTCCAAAAATAAATAATATTTATTATTATTATTATTATTTGGTCACTCCATCCACGACTGTGTGTGGGACGCTGCTGTGCCCAATTGGCTGCCGCATTTTGCCCACAAAATGCACAGTCACTACACTTTACAGTGAAGCACTTCTGTGAAGCGCTTTGAGACTTTATAAGTCGCTATATCAAGAGCAAGGATTATTATTATTATTATGGTTGTTACTGTTATTATTGTTGTATTATTGTTATTATTATTGTATCATTGTTAATATTACTCTTGTTATTGCTATTATTGTTATTGTTAATATTATTATTGTTATTACTTATGTTATTGTTATTACTATTATTATTGTTAATAATATTATGATATGATTACCTTGGCGAAGGCGTCCCTCCCGTAGCTGGCCTCCCTGTCCGTGTGCTCCTTCTCGATGACGTCTCGGCCTGTGGCGACAGTGCGGTACAGCAGGGCTTTCTCCACGGCCTCGCTGCGTGTGGACAGCAGCTCAGCGATCACCGACACCAACTTACTGTTCTCAATGAAGGTCGTGTCACCGTCCACCACAAACTTCACATTGCCCTGGGGTCAACACAGACACCAGGGGGTCAGCGAGTCACACTGTGCTCCAGCGGGAGACCAAGACTGCACCCTGGGGCCAACCTACAGCTGTGTCAGCCTCACACACAGGCTACAGAGCCTCACACACCACAACTCTACCCCTCGCCTTCATTCATTCAGTATAAAAGGGTCTTGTTCTCCCCCCACCCCCCCTCCTCCCTCTGTTTGTGGTCACTGTGCTGGGAATGGTGAGCATGATGGGAATGGATGGGATGGAGTCGTTGGGGTTAGATGGGAATTGGATGAAAGTCCCGGGAACAAACCTTGGAAATAACGTCTACAGATTCTGGTACCTCGTGGGAGAAGTGGCTCTAGCAGAGGATTGGGGACGCCCAGAGATTAACCTGGTTGGGGCTTTGCTGTGTGGCCAACTAACATCTCAACAGAGACCTTATATGAGAGAGAGAGAGAGAGAGAGAGAGAGGAGTTAAGGAGAGTAGATGCATCTGAATCTCACGGACAGACAATTAATAAACCTGGAGTGGGTTAAGCAGAGCTAAGGTCATCACCAGTTGTTGTTTATGTTGAGAAAGTGTGAAACGTTAGTCGTTGGTGATGTTCGTGCAAGCAACAAAGGATGAGAGAGGGGAGGGAGGAAGGAATGGAGAGAAATAGGGGAAGGGAGGGGGGTATGAGGAGAGGGATGGGTGAAGAGGGGGGAAAGGAGGGGAGGGGGGGGAGGAAGAGAACGAGAAAGGCTCCGTGTTTCTCAACAGCGCACAAGCTCAGCGCCAGCTCCCAGGCCTGCTGGGGACCCTCAGCGATCACGGATTAGTGACGGGCTCCTGTTTAATAGGAAGCCGGGCAGTTGCTATGGGAACAATTGCTTAACGCAGGATTAAGCAGCGCGCGGAGGAAAGGAAGACAGATGCTGAGGCCTCGGGGGAGACCACAAAACCTGGCTGGGAAACGGTGGCCGGGGATCCCCTGCACTAGTCCAGGGCAGTAAACAACCCCACTCCCTCTGGACACCCCCTCCCCTCCCCTCCGGCCCCAGGGCTCACTTGCCGTCCATGTACCCAGAGGCTCATTCCCAATTGTGGATTGGAACCCTGTTGTTCCGGACGCCACCACCAGGTGCCGATGTTTCACAACCCACAGCTGTGTAGCCTCGACAGCTCACAACAACAGCGGCAAATATTTATATAGAGACCCTCGGGCCGGGCCAGGGACCCTCGGGCCGGGCCAGGGACCCTCGGGCCGGGCCAGGGACCCTCGGGCCGGGCCAGGGTCCCTCGGGCCGGGCACCCTCGGACAGGGGCAGCGCCCCAGAGAGTTCGACAGCGCTGTCCGTCGCTGGGACGTCTCGGGCCGGGCACTCACCAGGTGCAGGATGGTGGCCAGGATCTTGTACACCGTCTGGATCTCCTCCGCGGTGAAGCCAATCACTCTCATGGCGTCGGCCACCACCTTAAAGTTGGCGGCGTCGTTGATGTTGGACTGTGCGGAGACAGGAGAGAGTCACAACACAGTCTCCTCCCTCCCCTCCACTCGTACCAGCCTCCCTCCCCTCCTCCCCACTCACACCAGCCTCCCTCCCCTCCGCCCCACTCACACCAGCCTCCCTCCCCTCCGCCCCACTCACACCAGCCTCCCTCCCCTTCTCCCACCCGCACCCCCACCACCTCCCCCCCAACCTGCCCAGCCTCACCTTGACCACTCCCCCGCCCTTGATGAAGGTGTACACCGAGGGGTCCCTCTGCAGGTGCATGGAGCGGAGCAGCTGTTCGGGGGCTCCCAGTAGGAGCTGCAGGGAGAGAGCGAGTGAGAGGTTAGAGAGGGGAGAGGTTAGAGCCAGTGAGTGTGAATCACCGCCCAGCCAGGGGTCACCTCTTTCAGCCACACTTCCCTCCCATCCCTCCCCATCCCAATCCCCAGCTCAGGGGCAGCACCTTGGGACATGAAAGGCGCTGTGTGTAAATGTCATTTGTTGTTGTTGGATGGGGTGGGGAAGTGGTGGGGAGAAGAGAGTGGGGGTGGGGGGGGCATCGGGAGCTCGATGGAGATCAGGGTGAAACTAACAATCGTAATCTTAACAATCATAGAGGGCAACTCACATCAGGAGAACGTCTCAAAGCGCTTCACAGCACTTACTGTAGATATGGTGACTGGGAAACACCTTTGATCTGCACGTTAGTTATCAACGGGTGTACACTGTACAACACACACGCACGCACACTCACATACTCACACACGCACGCACGCTATCGGAGTCTGACCTGATAGAAGGAGTGGAAGCTCCTCTCTCCTCTTTGCTGTACGATCACCCTGGACTGTGAACAGGAAACATGTGTTTAGCGATGGGAGCGAGGGAGGCAGTGAGGGAGGGTGGGAGTGTGTCGGGGGGAGGGGGCCAGCGGTACCTTCTCCAGTAAGTAGTTGTTGATGTGGCCGCCGATCGGGTCCCCCTTGAAGTCGAAGTTGATGTCCATGTACTTGCCGAAACGGCTGGAGTTATCGTTACGGTTGGTCTTGGCGTTGCCGAACGTCTCGAGCACACAGTTCGACTTCAGCAGCATGTTCTTCACCCTGCAACACACAGAGGAGACGCCGGTCTCACCAAATTCCTGTGGCTCGGTGGTTAGAGCCCTCGCCTTGCAAGCGAGAGGTCATGGGTTTGATTTCCGCGTGGGTTGGGGTGAAAGCTCAGGCAAGTTTCCCTACTCCACACACAGGCCTCTGTTTACCAGCAGTGAGTAAGAACCTGGTCGCTAGTCGATTGGCGGATCGCTTTCCCCGGGGGGTGGGGTAATAATCCCTTCAAAAAAAAATAATAATTTGGTCGCTTAATCCACGATTGTTTGTGGGGACGCTGCTGTGCGAATTGGCTGCTGCATTTCGCCCACAAAATATACAGTCACCACACTTTACAGTGTATCCTGTGAAGCGCTTTGAGACGTCTCGAAGATGTGAGAAGGCGTTGTATCAAATGCAAGGATTATTATTGTTGTTATTATTATTATTATATTATTTTCCTACTGTTTGAGCAACAGGAAACCCTGACCCAGCCAGGCCTGTATCCACACGTGAAGTGTTTGATGCGATGCTCTTGTTACCTCTCCACTTCCTGCCGTTGGCTGGGGTTGGTGATGGCTGCGATGTACTGCATGATATATTTACTGGCCTCCGTCTTCCCCGCCCCGCTCTCACCTGCACTCACAGCGGAGAGAGAAACAGAGAGAGAGACAGAGAGAGAGAGAGAAGCGTTAGCGCAGGCACGGCGTGGCGAGATAGTGGAGAGATACCATACACCCGGCATAGTGAGGAACGAGTGTAAATAACGGCAACAACAAACAAAAATAAAATAAAAACAATAAAACATTTATTTGGGAGGTGAGAGAGGGCCTTGTAATTGGCTTCAGTGACCCTGGGCCAATGGATCTCGGTCTCCCCCCCACCATCCCCCCCCCCCCAGTGGTACAATATATAATATGGGACAGGATGGTGGAAGGCCAACTGGATGGACCTTGGTCAGCAAATTCTTATCAATCTTATGCCCCCCACTCCCCACCACAGCACCCCCCCGCCCCCCACCGCCGCGGCTATGTTTGCCCGTCACCTACCTGAGATGACGATACACGTGTCCTTTGACCTCCTCTTCATAGCTTTGTAAGCAGCGTCCGCGATGGCGAACAGGTGAGGTGGTCTCTCGTACAGCTCGCGGCCCTTGTACTGCTCGATCACCTCCTTGCCGTAGATGTTGAGGGCGCGATACGGGTTCAGAGACACCACCACTTCCCCGATGTAGGTGTAGATCCGCCCCTTCTCAAACCTGCAGCCAGAAAACAGAGGCCATCACTAACCCGAGTGTCCAAGCTCAGCTCACAGATCACAGGAGCCGTGTCCGGCACTTTGCTCGGAAACATCTCAATAAGTCCGAAAAGGCGCTGTTTCGCCCACAAAATACACAGTCACTCCTTTACAGTGTTTCCCGTGAAGCACTTTGAGGCGACTCAACAATGTGCTCAGACGCTGCATCAAATACAAGGATTATTATTATTATTATTATGACGTATGAAATCATAATATTATTTATTATGATGGATTATTGTCCGAGTTTAGTCCCACAAAATATACAGTCACTCCACTTTACAGTACACGCTGCGAAGCTCCTAGAGACGTCTCGAAGACGTGATTAGGCACTGCGTCAAATGCGAGGATTATTATTATTATTATTAATGCTCTGGTTACCAGGATGGGGAACATCCTGTATGTGGACAGCAGGGGACAGTGCAGAGTCTTTCTGAGCCAAGCCTTTGGCCAATGTCTCCTACCATTCCCCAGGCAGGCGCTGCCAAATCCCAGGGTGGTTGGTTCCTGTCTAATTGACAACATAAACCTCAGCCATTTCCTTCTTCCGCAGCAAACCTCGTCTCTCCCGCCAGGGACGCCTTGCCTGCCTACAGCTGCCTGTCCCTCAGCTCACAGTTCAGGAGGGACCTACACCCAGCAAAACCCCAAACCATCAACAACAACTTGCATTTATATAGCTCCCCTCACCCGGGGCAGGGTCCCGAAGCTCTCCATTCCCCTGTTTCCACTTGTAAACCTCCACAAACAACTCCCGCTCGGGCTTGGAGACGTCTCGAAGACGTGATAAGGCGCTGCATCAAATGCAAGGATTATGATCGTCAATTCCACAGCCCATCGTCAGTCCCTTTTACACGGCACGTTTTGCTGCTCAGGATCTTATCCTGATCTTAGTGGAGTCCTGTAGCTCAGTGGTTAGAGCACTCGCCTTGCAAGCGAGAGACCTGGGTTCAATTCCAGGCAGGTCAGGGCGAGACCTCGGGCAAGTTTCCTTACTCCACACAGAGCCTAATAATAATCCCTCCAAAACAAAACAATAATAAATTGGTCATTTCAATCCACGACTGTTTCGTTTCGCCCACAAACATACGGTCAATTCACTTTACAGTATATTCTGTGAAGCGCTTTGAGACGTCGAGAAGACGTGAAAAGTGCTGTATCAAATGCAAGTATTATTATTATTATCATCATCCACATGCGCATTCTTTTTCGGGCTGTTCTATTCACCAGCCCTCGGAGCTCATAGTCTAGGCTGAGCAGCGCAGTGCGGAGCTGGGGGAGCGCTGTGTTGTTGGGGGTGCCGTCCTTTGGATACAACGTTAAGCCGAGATCCCATCGTACCCCTCCTCACCCCCCCCCCCACTTCCCACCGTACCCTGGTCATACTGCTTCAAGATCTTAATCACCTCTAATCATATCCCTTCTCAATTTCCTCTCCTCAGGGCGGCGGTGGTGGTGTTGGTGGGGGGGTGAATGGGGGAATAGGGGGCGAGAGATTCCAATCTAGCCCAGCCCCCCCCCCCCCCCCTCTCTTCATATTGTCTCATATCCGTCACTGCTTTGAAGAGGCGAAGTGACTGAACACTAGACTGTGTCCGTGACCGATCGCTGCAGACTGTGTGAGTCATTAACTGCAGAGCGAGCTGGGGGGGTTGTGGGGGGAATGTTTATAAATGTTTACAACTCTGTTTAACCCCTTCAGCATCAGCCCCGAGACCAGACGTGACAGAGTGTCCCATCCGCTCTGCAGCTGCTGGTGAGACGTCGCTGTGCGCAGGCTGAGACTCACTAATAACATACACAGGGATTTAAAGACAGATGGGAGTGGGGAGGGGAGGGGAGGGTTGGGGAGAGAGAGACGGACGGACGGATAGAGAGAGGGATAGAGAGAGAACGGTGAGGGGAAGGGCTGTAGCCAGTTGAGATCCGAAGCGCTGGAGCTCGGACTTGGGAGCGTTTGCTCCTTTACCTCGTCACCAAATTTGGGAATAATCAGCCACTTCCTCAGTTTGGGTCTCACACTGGGAAACGCTTTGACACATCCTCCCGACGTGAAATACGTACCAAATACAAGGATTATTATCGTGATAATATTGAGGAGAGCTTCCCCCCCCCACCCCCACACACACACCATCCACACCCCACGAGGACACAGGGAGTGTGGTACCCACAGACCGGGACAGTTTGTTCTCAATCCTTGATCTTAGAAACGAAACACTAACTTGACTAACTTTTATCTGAGTGGCTCCACCACACTGAGTGTCCAGCACGTGACAGAGCCTGGTACCGGACCTCAGTGCCAACAGTTTTTGTCAAACAGGATCTTCAACGGACTATTGTTTTCTTAAGATAATGGCCACAAAAATGGGAGAGGTTTAAGAGAATTTTTAAAAAGATACACACACAGACAGACACACACACACACACACATACTCAGACATACACACACACACACACACATACAAAGACATCAGTTGATACTCAATCCACAAGGCTGCAGTTTTTGTTTTAAAAATTACATATTAGGATAAATATTTGCAGAATGTGATGTGAAGGGAAAGAGCCAAGTGGTGGGGGGTTGGGGGCGGGTGTGGGGGGAGAGGAGGAAAGGGGCGATAGGTGCGGTCGAAGCAGTGGACCTTTAAGATGGGATTTATAGACAGATAGAGAAGGAGGTGGGGGGGAGATGGAGGGATAGAGAGAGAATCTGAGAGCAGTCAGAGGAAGGGCTCTGGCCAGTTCAGACCCGAAACGCCGGAGCTCGGACATGGGAGCGTTTGCTCCTTTTACATTCCGCAATCTGGTCACCAAATTTGGGAATAATCAGCCACTTCCTCAGTTTAGGTCTCAGACTGGCAAACCAGCCAGTCCTGCTCCTCGCAGTAACATTGTTCTCTCCAGCCCCGCTTGTCAGCACTCGAAAGGCAGCAGTTAACTATTTCCGCACAGGTCCGGATTCAAATCGGTGAGAGAAATTCATCTGCCCTGCCTCTGTGCTGGCGTGATCCAGGTCACGGTATTAACATGGGGCACAGCTGCCCTCCTCTGTGCTGGGCAACAATACATGTATGCGTGATCCAGGTCACGGGATTAACACGCTGCCCCTGTACGGAATTCATAACAGACTTGTGGACCAGACTGTATAGAGGTGTTACTGTTAATATCAGACTATATAGTGGTGTCAGTGTTAATATCAGACTCTCTGTGAACTGACCAGTATCAGTTGTTGAGTTTCTCTGGACACCAGTCGCTATAAGAGTGAAAGCTGACAAATTATCAATACGCACGCTGTCTGTTTGGTGACCTTGTTATTCGAGGTTTGTTTAACTCCATCAGTTACATGGAGAGAACAGCCTGCTCCTCTCAGGGTTCCCCTCACTTCCCTTCCTCAGCTCAGCCCCTACAGTCAGCTCAGCCCCTACAGGAGGCTTAGCTTTTCACACGATATGCACGTGAGCCAGCGAGAGGTCTCCACATAATAGGGAAAGTGCTTTGAGACGTCTGGAACAACACCAACACACATATATATATATATATATATATATATATATCAGTGGCCTTGATGCAGGGTAGTGTCTTGGAGCACTTGTGATAAGGCGCTACATCAAATAAGATTATTATTCTTATAAGTTCCAATGGCCAATTAGACACACGGACACCACAGGAACATCTAAAAACCTGCTCAACATCTCAAGTGTATCAATCAAACAACTAATGGATCAATTCGATCAGCCGGAGCAGGACTGAGCCCCTGTCAGACTGTAGCCCCCGGCCCCCCGGGCCCAGCCTTTTGAGCCTTACAGTTCAGATACAGCAGTGACAGGTTGACTTTAAACCCCCCTCCGAGTCCCTCAGCTGGTTCCGTGTTCCTTTCTGGGTCATGGCTAATATAAACATTCCCGACTACAAGCGCAGCATTGTAACTGCATTCAGTGCAACTCCCTCACAGCCCAGCAACAGCCCAGCGCTGCTCCCAACCTCACACCAACAGCCGAGCACAACACCCAACCTCACACCAACAGCACAGCTCCCAACCTCACATCAACAGCCGAGCCCAGCTCCCAATATTACAGCAACAGCCCAGCCTCCAGCCCAGGTCTGAACTTCAACCCCCACCCCCGCCGCGCGCCCCCCCTCCACCCGCCACCATGTGGGAGCAAACCGCCTACCCTGACTCGCCAGCAGAACAGGTATTCCCCGCACCCCCCCCCCACCCACACACACACAAACTGATGCCCATTCATCCACGCTCCCAACCCCGCAAGAAATACACACCTACACGCAACGCACATGCAAGGCACACACAACACACATGTGTGAACATGCAAAGCACATGCAAGCTCACATGAAGCAATGCACACACCAGGCTAATATACCTCCGCACCCCCGTCATAAACACTAGATAGTAATTTAGTCCTTTATGTCCAATCATCCGCAAGTCAGTTACTTTGAAGAACTGGGGTGATGGTGTCTGGTCTATTCTCGTATCTAATGCACCCACAGGCACAGTCACACACACCCACACCCACGCACACACACACACTAACACGCACACGCCAAGAGGCAGCCATTGTAATAGCCATTCACAGGAAACCATCCTCCCCACCAGCACCCCTCACCCTATAATCAGGGCTATTTTCCTCCACTTAAATACCATTTCCAGTCTCCGAGCGCTGCCCTGCCCTGCACCGCCTGCGACTGTCATCAGCCACAGTCATTTCCCCCAGATGTTGTAAGAGGAGACAAAGCGGTACAGACAGTTGCCAGCTCCAGTTAAATGGAGCATCAACACATGGAGTGCCAGGGAGGCTGCGCGTTACTAGATTGACTCTTTTCCCCATCCCTGAAAATGAGTCAAATATTACAGCAGGAGTGCTGGGGTGCGGGGGGAGTGAGAGGGGGGATTGGGGAGGTGGTAGAGTGGACCAGGGGGGTTACAGAATGATAAAGATTGTAACACAG